TAATATATGACTTATCATTATCAGACAATATACAGTAGGATCACGTTATGCAAGAAAAGTTTAATACAGAAAAATAACTCCCTAAAATCGTATCGAGTTAAAATGAATGATTTACTAACAAGAGGCTCAACTAGGAAAACGTAAAAGGAGCGAGCCAATAGAGGTAAAAAATTTCAGTTACCCTTCTTCAATTCTTCAATTGTGTGCCGTTTTGCTGCATGATCTTTTTGTTGGCGGGATAAATTCTTGGTCACATTGAAAAACTTTATTGAGGAAAAAAGCCATATTTGCTCAGCTATATAAACGCAGTATGCTACAGTTATATGAATTCTTTGTTAAAGTTTTGTAACATTGGTTTGTGTAACTAATTCTTGTAACAGCCATTAGTTGGTAAAGCAAATGTAAGAACTTGTTTACATCAAAGTGCACGCGCTTGTCTGACCGTATACGGCTTCTTCTACCGACTTTATTACACTCTATAAGCCAATTCTCTTCATCTTGATTTTTTCATTTCTTTCGATGATCCATACAATGTTGTGACAATAACGTAGATATTTGTAGAACTGGTTGAGTAATATCATATCATTATATAAATAGACATAAATAGAGTAATTTTTTCGACAATATAACTCATCACGTATAACTCATCACAAACGAAAACCTTTGCACATAGGAACCGTTCTCAATTAATTGCCATACTTCAATACACACCAATACAATCGGTCAACAAACTCTCACAACTCTCTCAATGTTATCCAATGGCTGACCTTGATTAGCTATCGTACAAGAGTAAGACGACGAAATTCACAGCGAATGTCTCTTATCGACTGATTTCCCGCCGCGTCATTTGTTTTCTCTCACTTTTACGTGATTCATCTTTCATCTTTTTCATTTTTTAGCTTTTGCTTTCATTATTGTTCATAACTATATCTCTTGTTTTCTCAGATTTCAAGTTTGTATCTCGCGACTCTTCGCAATCTGACAAAGTTTACCTTATTACATCTTTCGCGTGATTTTGTATTCACGAAACAATCATGAAAGTCATTATGTAGCTTACTTTCATCGCATTGAATGATAGATCTATAATAAATACTAAGTTTTTTATATTTCACAAAATACTGAAACTATTTACAACGCCAATATATTATATTGTAAGAAATATATTTTTCCTCTAATTATACTTTATTCACAACTTTATTGTACAACTGTACACTCATGGTAATAAATAACTCAATGCAAACGACGAAAACAATTTGATTGAGTAGCGTGAAGCGAACGAGTAGTTGGCTAGGTAATAAACTGGGCGGTGATATAATTTCATAGTTTCTGTCTGTCGTCGAGCGTCTTTATACAGAAGACAACACAATAACAACGTACTCCCTACAAGCGTGGGAGTTGGACAATACATTTCACTATTGCACATATTGCGTTTCATGGGAATAAAGCCTCACTCGTGAGATTGCAAAATTAGAAATCGAATGTCACGTTTTATCAGCAAATAATGTGTGGCAGGCGTATGGATGCACATATGCTTGTTCCAATAATAAATGGTAAAGACTAGCTTTTATCAGTCATTCAATCTTGAAGCCATATTAAAAAAAAAAATTCCGAAAAGGAGTTGTCGTGTAATATATATTTTTTGCGCGATGATTTCTAATAGAACATACGTAGAACGTTATTGAAAACTAATATTCAAATTACAAGTCAATTGATATGATTTTCGTCTGTAATTGTTATTGTCAAATCTCCTATTTACGTGACTCGTCTTAATACACCTACTGCACCATACAATATGCAATAATCATAATAAATAAAAGTTAATGCTCGAGAAATTCGTTTGTATTTTCCTAGCCGCTATGAAAAAAGTTCCGCTACATGTTATTTTGGAAACGAAAGAATCAAGGTAGGAGTAAGTACTTTGGAAATGAAACTCAAACTTCAGCCACGTGTGCATTGTATAAATTTCTCTTGAATGTGATATGAGGGACAATCGAAAGTAACATTATCGTATTCTCTGCGTATAATTATATGATTAAATGAATATACTTGTAAGTGAAGATTTCTGAAAAGACCAAATACGTAGTTCTCGCGACTTTAAGTCGACCTGGATCGATTTTCAACAATTTTATTTAAAGTTTCAGACTAAATAAAATAAAACGGTAGAGGCGCTATCGGCGCCCTCGTATAACTCTTCCACCTTTGTGATTTCATCCGGTACTCTTGCTTTTATGAGTTTGAAGCTCTGTCATTCCAAATTTTCTCCCCATGTGTGCTCCCTGATTTGCCGATCGTATATAATATATGCAGCCTCCTATTAAGCGTGCTGATCTTGGCTCTCTTCAATACTCCCCAAGCTGAATTTGTAGCCCTCCGTGCTTTCTGTGCCATCCTCTTAATGTGCGTGCCGTATCTTCCTCCCGTTGCGTAACAAAATCCTAGATACTTTTATTCATTCACTACCTCCAAATTTTTACCGTCATACTTACATTTTTTTGAATTTTTAAATAGTTGCTTTTGAAATGATAAGATATCAGAGATAGGACTTTGATTATTTATTAAGGCGCTCATATAATTATAATAGAACTTTACTTACGGGTAAGTTCTTTTAATCATGTAATTGTCTTATGTTCTTCTTCCTCACAGTCCAAGACATAAATGTTTAAAGCCGTTACAACGGTCGAGAATAATCAAGATATATCGATACTTAATATAGTCCTTGATAATTTTATTCTTTGTTTATTATATGTTTATTATTTATTATTATAAAGTTTCGGCTGTAACAGTTTTGTACGGTTTTTATTTTTTCCAGTAACCCAAACTCTTTTCCCTTTACTGAAAGATCCCCAGCTTGATAATGCACCGTCCGAGAAGATCTCGAGGAAAATAACGAATTATGTTTGATCGATTATTTCGGTATAAAAAATTTTGAGGTCCCTCATTTTAATTCTTTATATAATTTATTATATATTATCATCTTTGTTTTATAAATATCATTGCTAATTATCGACGCAAGATTTTTCTTAAAAGCTTTCTTCTTTTGCAGTTTTAAAAGCAATGCTGACATATTCAACGTATCACTGTCGATAAAACTCAGTTGGTATAAAGATCTTTGATTCGGTACATAAAAGGAATTTAATAGCTTTTAATCCATGAACAAATCGTATTGTCCGAAGTTATCTTTTCCAAATATGGTGTGTTTATACAAAAAGTGAAGTCTACCTGCTATATAACTTACAGGCATTATTGCTTTTGATGGTGAGACTGACGTTGGTCTCTCCTCAATCAATTATTTAGCAATCTCTGATTGTCGTACAGGTTTCGATGGTAAGAATGCTATCCATCCAACAGTGCTCTGAGTTAGATCTTGGAGTAGTGGAGCGTATACTTCCAATTTTCTGGGCTTCTTTGACGAAGTTTTGGACCGCAGCTGACGTAATTCGTCGAAGGTTATAGTTAGCGCTTTAACCAACTTAATGATCTCTTTAAGTTTATTCCCGAACAAGTTTTCGCCAATTGTCGATTCTTTCCAGATTTTCTTCAGCACAGTATCATATTCCATCATACGGAAATATCGATGAAGTGCTGAAACCTAGCAAGAATAAGATTCTTATAGCGTTGAGGAGATGGTAATCACTACAGTGACTTCAGAAGTTCTTCGTGTGTACTAGATTCACTAGAGTAAGAGTAATATCTCTTATATCCATGATTGAAAAAACCAAGTATTACTTTGACACAAAGCGAAAGAATGAGAGCGCCAGCGTCGGCCGGGATCACAGACGTGCAAGTGCTGAACAAGGGGGGTGGTAGCACCTCTATCTATCATTTTTTTTATTTAATTTGGAGCTTTGAATAAAATTGTGAAAAATAGGACCAGGTTGACCTGAAGTCGAAAGGAATACGTGTTTGATCACGATGAAGAGACGCATAATTCATTTATAATTACCGTATTAGATCCTCGGCAGAATTATTGTAGCACGTAATCCTTATTGAACTGCGTCTATAATCATCTTCGTACAGATACTCGAACCTTCTATATCGAAGTTATTTTTAATTAAAATATAATTAAAAAAGAACGTTGACAAATAGTAACTCATGAAATATAAAAAGGAGTTATTGCATAACGCATAAATAAGCAATATAATCGTCGCGCTCATTGTTGCTGCATTTCTAAATAAACGCATAATAAAGCAAGTCGAAGAATCCATTGAGCCGTGAACCTGGCATCTGCAACAGTCAGTATATAACCTGCTGTGTATCTTAGCAGACGACGAAGACGACAAAATGTCTAGATGGGAAATGTCCTCTCTCTCTCTCTCTCTGCCTGTTCAAAGCTACGTGAATACTTGTCACACAAGCAAGCAAGCTGCTCGCTAAACGCGTCCTCAAGGGAGAACTTCAACAATGAAAGCTTTAGAGAAAGAGGTATGGGGCATGGATTATGTAATGCCACTTGAGGCTGCTAGCTACAAAGCTGGTCGATGGCGTTGGGTGCTCGCGGCTCTACTTTACACGTTGCCAAGAGAAAGGCTACTGCGGACGATTACAGTCCTTTTTTAGCCTTGTAGACATTTAGACTTTTAAAAATTTCTGTGCTTGTTCTATCTTATTAAACTGGGTACTCGAAACCATTGTTATATTGAGCTTATGATCAAAGAGCCAATTTTACGACCAGTATCTGGATAATTTTATGAAATGTTATGCGTGTATATATTCGCTAATCGTTAACCTCTAATTATTGATACGGGATTATTTAAGGTGTCTGTTTAATCACAGTGTATCTACAACTACACAACTGGAGAGTACACATTGCTAATAAGTTTGTTAAGTCGCCTGAGTGCAAATACAATCGATGAACAAGTTATAATAAAGCCTACAGGTGTTTCTAATAAAAATTAATTATTTTGTTTGAAACATTTATTTATTAATTACATTGATGTACAGGCAATATATTGCGTGTACATAATACAATCATATTGTTCTTTGCAGTATATGTTAAAAACGTTGAGAAAAGGCCTAAAATAAAAAAATTTTTTTTAATAATATTAGGAATTTTCAAACAGCGTGCGATAATCGCTAACACCTGTTGGTTAACGTGCCGCGGTAGAAGAAAACTCCAGAAGACGCGTGGCCCGTGCGAAATAAAAGTATCCACCTCGCTGTTACTGATACTAACCAGAAAAACTCAACGCGTTTGAGCGAAAAACGTTTAAGCACGTAGAGTAATTAGGGAAAAGCGTAGCTCCTTTCAAGAGCCTCGACTCTTGGAGGTCGTTAGACCTCGCGAGAAGTTCAACTTCCGGGTATTGTAGATTGTCCAGGGACGGTAATGATAAGCTGCAAAGTTGACCTGAGGGCCGGTGTAGTCTATTGAGCGTAATAACGAGTGAAAGAGCGTGAGTTCGAGTAAGCGGGGATGTGGTCAAACTCTGTGGCGTGTAAGGCCTAACGAGGGAGGTTACCCTTGCAAGGCTGCTGTGGCGGCTCGAGTGAGACGCACCGCGGACAGTTTTTATTTGGTTCCGGGTCAATTACATCCAGGGCGCGCGGCAGGCCAGTTCCTTTGCCCGCAAACGGATTTGTAAAAGTTTGTTTATAAAAGCACTTAGTTTTATATATTTTACTTGTTAATTTACTTCAGGCTTTTCTCTACGGAGTTCTTATGCCTTTTATATTGTTTTGTTTTATAAATTTCATTTTTGTTATCTTCCACTAAAATAAAACTTTTTTATTTTTGCTCACCCCGTCCCTTTTAGTATATAAAAATGGAAACTTGACTGAGTATCACGAGAATGCTTTCTTAATACATAATTTCTCAAGACACGTTGAATTATAAAACATATTAACGTTGAAAAAGAGAGAGATCTTTGAGTGTCACAGTTATAATCTCCCGAATAGAGCTTTCTTAAGTACCTAATATGAGAACAATAAAAATATTATCAATTTATATAGAATAATAAATTATAGAGAGCTTCATTTCTTTACCTGAAATTTGTAACAACTTGGTATCGAACATTGGTTTAAATTTGAAAAGTTTGGAGTATCGCTTGAGCAGCTTTTTCCAATAGCACATTACATCGGATAATTTGAGATTTTTCCAAATAAAATTCCGTCCTCTATCAGCGATTTTCTTAGCGATAGCATCATTATCTATAGCAAATTGAATCAGTTCTCTGTAAAATAAAATAGAATGTTATTTATTCAATTCCCAGCGGAATATGCTTGTTGAGTTTGCAAAAGTTTGCTTCGTATCACTTGAAAAACGCTATAGAAAGAGATGAAAGCTTGTTAAACGAAAGATAATTTAAAAATTACTTTGCGAACAATTGCAGCTGTTTGTTTCCATAATAATTTTCTGAGATTGTTCGTAAGGAACTAATTGAACGAAAAATTAATTAAAAAGTCAACCCTTGTGCCTTAGAAGACTCTACAATAAGATTCAAAATTATGTCGTTGCATAATCATAGTAGAATGAATCAAAGAGTACAAAAATAACTGTCATATCAGTGTTTAAAAAATAATACATACTCTAGTTGATCTTGTGTAGCATGACTCGGTACAGGAATATAATGAATCCAAGGCTTCATAACGTCGTAATAAAATTCTGTCCATTCCTCGCCAACGTGAAAGACAAGAGAGCCACAGAGGAACAAGTGTTTGTGTCTAAACGATGCAGCGACGCCGCGATAATTAAACAGATACTTATAAGCGCAATGGGACTCTAGCGAGACTTCCGTGGCGGCTGGCGCGTTTAGCGTATCCTGCAACATTTTCGCGACGATACTAAGTGACGCATTATTAGTCGCGATATACTCGTTGCAACTAAATTATCTCACGTATTATTTTTCGAGGAAAAAGTATTCACATTAAAGTGCGACAGTGAGACAGACAGAAAACGAATTTGAACAGTGTTTCTGTTTTGACCCTGGTTTCTCAGATATATTGTATTCATATTATGATAGTATCATTTACAAAGAAAAATCTTGAAATACAAAATTATTGTTCCTAAGATTAGATGCAAAAAGAATAAACACTTGGAATTCACAAAAATGAGAAACCAAAAGCTGTTTTTTAAATAACAAATTTTTGAAAATATTTATTAGACTTTTAAGTAGGTTTCTCTGTCAATTTTAGAACAGTTTTTTATTCTAAGATGTAATATCATTAAGTTAATATTGAGATGATACTAGTTTTAAAAAATTTCGTGAAATAAGAAAAATTTTGCAAAAAGAGAAATTTTGTAAAATAATAACTTTTTTTTCATGAATTAAGAACCTTAAAATAAAATATTAATTTTAATATTATTTCCCAGAATAATAAAACTGCTTTAATTCAACAAAGAAAAGTACTATTAAAAATTACTAACTATAAGAAAAAACTTTCTTACCCGGTCTTTTTAGTTTCTTATTATTAGTATTGTTAGTGTTGTGATATATTCATTTTTGTGCAGTGTAATATAATTTATTCGATATTTGAACATCGATGGCAAAAAATCTTAAAGTTAATTTACCTTCTCTGACTTCCACGCCTGATTTTTAGTGTATTGAGCATCAACGAGTTGAGGCTTAGCACGGCTAAGTAGAACTAAGTTATCTCTTTCAGAGCTGGTTCTCGAGCCACGAAAAAATACTTTGGATACTTTCGTTTCCCAAGGATATTTCTCTTTGGCCTCGTGCAAAGATTTCCTGTGCTGATCCCATCGACCCAATCCACGTGGATATAATTTGATAGCTGGGCCACCTTCCCAAAAAGCCCATGCCGGATACATTATATCGTAGTACTGCGAAGTCTGTTGGAAATAAAAATAATGTATAAGTATTCCATTAGCCAAGGTAAGAAGCTATTAGACTTTTTTATTTATTTATTTTTTAATTTGTGCTTGTACAGATAAAAAAAGAAAGAAGTTTGATATCACATTGGGTTCTAAGGCAAAATTCATTCAGACATTTATTTTTTGTCGGAAAAAAAGGACCGGAATGAAATAGAGAAAATAGAAGCTCTTTTGATTAGAGTGAGTCTAGAAATAAATGCTGCTATACACGAAAAATAAAATATATTGTTCATGAAACAAAAACTATATAAAAAAATCACGATGAGATATTTATCGTAAAAAAGGAATCTCACCTTACTAAAAGAAAAAACAGGTAACGCTTCGCCAAAATGTTTACTCGATTGCGGATAGTCTCTCGTATTGATAACCATACTGATATCGGAAACATTAGCGATAACTTTAGTTATGAAATACTCTATACCAATACACCTTGATGGGAACATACAATTTTTCTCTCTGTACAATTTACCATTGATCACCTGATAGAACGTACCTCTACAAATAATAACAACAAATTAACGGATTATTTCTTTATATTTCACGCAATTTAAAAAGTGAAAGCTTTGTCACCTAGGTCTTGCTGCTTCAATCAACTTTTCGTCAATGCCGTGTTTGGCGAATGTACTCAAGTCTCTCGTTATGACGTTAGCTAAGCACTTGCACTTGTTTAAGTCGCATTCTTTGTAATTGGTTTCAGCCGCTTCAATCGCAGACAGATATTTTTCGTACTTGCCATTCGCATCTATACCAAACATTTTTAGTGAAGTTATTGAAAGTGTTTCAAAGTCAATTGTACGTATACGATGTATAAATGCGCACACACTCGAGATATATATTGCATGATATACCTTTAGAGTATTTATTCGTAGCTTCCTTTACGTTGCAAGTATTGGTTGTACAGGTGTCGCTTGTACATTGATTGACATAAATTACAATAATGAAAAGTAATTTCATTAGAGATGACATAATTCTTTATTACTTCATCAAGCTTTGCTCGTAAAAGGCTGCTCTACATTAGTTAATACTGATTTCTGTAACTAATTAATGTTTTGATTAGTTGTCGATTGTATTTGAATTATGGATTATTAGGTTAAAATTGAAAGTCGTTAAAAAAACTATTTGATTTGTAGAACTCGACTTGTAATTAACGTAATAATGGTTTTTCAATGAAATTAAACTTTGAATTGGTGGAAAATTTTCTAATGTAAATAGAGAATTTAGATTTGTTTCATAACTAAATTTGCTAAACTCGTTCCATTATAATGCAAATAGCTTTACTTTGAATCCAAACAATATTACTTCTGTAACTAGTAATCTTGGAATAAGGGATGTCAAGTATATTCCGTGCATGTAACTGAGCAACGCATGAACGCGGATATAACTTGGAAGATAATGCTATATTAATTTTCTCGAGGCGTAGCTAATTTCCTGTCTGTTATCAAAGTACTAATGAAGTGGGATTGGCCTATTGACCTCTAAAGAAATAGTATAGTTTTCATCCTCAAAAACATTAATTTATCGTTTTTTCTCAAAGTTAAACTCGACGAAGTTTCGGATAAGGATAACATCATCTTAACTTGCTGCAGCAAGTTTCGAGAGAGTTGCAAAGTCAGAAAGCTTTGCATAAAATAATGGCATTAGATGTGTATGAGAGTGATATGTGGCAATGTTAATGAACATAACAAGTAATTAACAATAATACAAATGAAGTCCTATAATGCTCATGGCCATTGGCATTGAGACTGTCAATAACAGATTCGTAGAATATCAAATGGGCACGTGCGGCGTGTACTTCTGGTCCGTCATTATCAGACGGACTCTGTTGCAGATGACCCTTTTACGTAATGATCACGCATTCCCGTACACAATCCACAGATTTACACGTTTAATTAGGCTGCAGAGTTGTGCGCTACAGTGATTCGTTAATTAAACTCTGTCCTCCAGCGGGGGTATAAGCATCGTTCACGCCGCCGCTAATGGAATTTGCTGATCTGGATTTAGATTTCTCGTTATCAATTATTCGCATGGAATACATGGCAACAAGCTTATTATCGATGAGCTTTATTCTCTTTTTTTGCAAGCTCTGCAGATATTTTAATAAATGAGCGTGTTTTTTTAGTTGAAGATTCTAATAATTATTTTAGGGCTGTTCCAATGCCTCGTATTTGCCTTGAATTTTTTCAAAGGAAACATCATTACAGCTCATTACATCAAATCACCATAAGTAGTTATAGATTGCAGAACATATTCATTATTCGTTGAGTTAAAGATGTCGGCGTGGATGTGACTTATATTTCCACATTTCTATGGAACAAATTATAATTTACCGTGAAAGAAAAACTGTTTGTATATGTCAATATAAGAAATATATACTGAATTTCTGTAATTTTAACGTAGGCTTAAAAAATACCTAAACATCTTTTATTCTAATTGCACTGTCGTAAGTATTATATTGTACTAACACTGCTAGTATGGAGAACAGCAAGAAAGTTTAATCAATATACAATCCTTCTACCAAATGTAATACAAGCTCATCAGTATTTTCCAGTGTAAACACATTTTCACTTTAATCAATCTTTTCTTGGTATTTAACTACTATCGTATATTTGAATAACAGTAGATAAATAAATGGAAGCTCATTATTGAATATTTGTTATAAGTGCTTTAATTGCCTTCAATTTGTCGTGTTCCTATTGTAAATCGGAAGTTCCTGTTTGTGTTATCAGAAATCATCTTCTACAACTAAGAAGAAATTAATGTCATTAATGCTTCTAGAAATTATTTAAAAGTTGATAACAATGAGAAATTTTAATTTATTTAAAAAGAGAATTACGAAATCCCAATTAAATTAAATGTTTCAGAGTAAATAAGATTGCCGGAATAATGATATATTAACAAGGCCCATTTTCATTCAAATTTTTTAAAATGATAATAAAAATAATAATCCTTTCAATATAGTCCGATTTAATTTAAATGAATTAATTTAATAATATATTAAAACTAAATAAGATGCAATATTTTTAAGAAGATTTATTCTTTAAAATATCGATAACTTTACAGTTTGATTTATTAAGGTTTACAGTGAATCGTTAACTCATCAGGTCGACATACAAATTATCGATAATATTATTTGCATTAGCAAAATTATTTTGCCTTAATGCATTTCGAATGTCTGCTAGATTTACAATTTTAAAGCATAAGAGTACTTACTAAATCTTAATAATTCCATTTATCTAGTGCCAAACAAAAAAATAAAATTCTAAAAATCTATTCCGTACTCGTGTATACTCTAACTGCCAATCAGCTCACTATGTGACTTTTTTTGCGGTTACATGTGTATGTGATGCTCTTCATTCGACTAAATTATCGATTAGAAAACGATGTCAATAAATAAACATATGACACTTTCAAGTAAGTGTTAAGTGAAACTATTATGTAAAAAGAATTAGTTGCATCAATATTATTTTTTACACCATATTAACTCTGTAAGAAATGAAATCTTTACGCCTTATCTTTTCTTTGACATCATAAAAGTTGTTTAACAAAGTATTTTTATATTAACTTTGTCAACTATTAAAATTGTATAATTAACTAAATGTGTACTTTTCCATTAACTAAAATTAATAAAACTAATTACATTATGCAAAAATCGTACATATCATCGACGACGTAGAAAGTAACTTGCATTAATTATACAGAAGACACTGAAGTTTATGCCAGCCAACAAGAGAATCTGTAGAAAAAAACACAACCTAACACCTCAATCATAGACGTTACCGCGATTGATGTTCTTTGGCGAAACCATGTTTAATCCGTCGTCGAGAATCAGATGCAATTGCAATTATGTGCATGAGCGACAGGAGGCAACATCGAAACCAGGAGCTCCACATCTATAGCAAAACTTTCTTTGCCGTGGCATGTTACAATGATTGAATCTATGTCCAGGGCAATTGCAATTCCAGCAGGTTTCCTCTTGAATATTCGGCGGTGGTACGTAGATTTCTAGAAGACTTGGAATCTTCGGTTTAAGATCCATCAATTTTGGAATCGACTGATCCGCTTGTCGTCTCAATTCTTCTTCTCGGTCGAGTTTCTCCCTCAACGCTTGGGCTACTGCAATAATCTCCTCGATTTGTTGCTTAGTCTTGTACTCTTCTCTCAAGTATTCTTCCTCGGTCATATGCTCAACATCCACAGCCGGTGAAGAATCATCGTAATCATCATACGGTTCAGGTTCCAGTTGACGATCGAGGTTCGCGAAATCTGTTCTCACTGGTTCGACATCGTGAGGTAATAAGAGTGGTTGTGGTGGTATCTCCAAGTTCAGAAGTGATGGTATGTTATTGCTGCTGGAGCTTGCTTGTTGTGAACGTTGACCCGAATGGTTTCTGTTATATGGATGTGGGCCTCTCTGAGTTTTTCGAACAAAGTGTGGCATTTCTGGTTGATAGTCTGGATCTATCGGTGAGAAACGTTTGTTCCATGGATTGTAGTTGATTGCTTGTTCCGAGTTGGTGAATCTTGAACTTCGGAACGAACGGCCATGTTCCTGCCTCGATATTTCCATGTTCACCTGGAACCGGAGGTTTGTATTTGCATTACTCATGTGGTGAATAAATTAGTCGAGTGTGGGAACCGTCTACGTCTCGCAGCTGTTATATGCAATTGTAAATATGTTTGATGATACTTGAGATATAGTCTTGTCTTTTTAGCGGATTAATTAGCGGAGAGACGTACGGCGTAATTTTATTGATTCATTGTCAAATTTGAAGGTTTGAGTGGAACACATTGTTTTGAATTACACTTTTTACTTCCTTTTTACAGATCTTGGAACTCTGACTTTTATCTACATCAACTGCAAATATGTATTATGTTCATGTTTTTAGTTCTTATTTTGAAGTGCACGCGTCGATTAAAATTATTTTGGATAAGATGGATGTAGTTAATATTTTAATAAACGATTGTTGCACGGCTTATAAATGCGAATTAAAATTTTCCATTAAAACTCTTACAAAATCTCTTTTGAATAACGTATAGTCTTATGAAAAATGTTGCTTATCCTATTTTATTTTATCGTTGATCAATAAACTTTCGCCCATTATGTAATCTCTTACTTTTATAAAATATAATTTTAGGAGTTATCCAAATGTATTTATTTTAGAATTTATATAACAGTACAAAAATTATAACTATAATCAGGATTTGTTGAAATTCGATTATAGAAAGGCTCATGTCTATATTTACTGCGAAGGGTTATGGTTGTCATTTCTATTCTTAATACTGAAAGTTTTATTTTGCTCAATACGAAAAAAATACTCTTCAAAGAACTGTAAATTCTCAATTCATCTTGATAAGAAAATGCGAATGATGCTATAAACCTTATTTTATCAATTTATTTAGTAATTAAATTCCTAATAATTAATATAATGTACCAAGAACAACAAACAATCAAAGCCATCGCTATCACTGCGACCAAGTGAAACAATCAGCAAGAAATAAGATACAAATGGAAAAAATGAAATAAGGGTTTCGTAACAGAGAACCGAATCCTCTGGATTTTGCATTACGTAAAGTCGCCGCATCACGTGCAAGGGCACGCGATTAATCCGTAGGAGATCGACGAGCCGCGTGAGACGAGTGAAGCGTGGCCCGCATGTTAAAAGCATTTTCAGTCGGCATGTTTTTTTTTGCTTTCTTAGCTTCGAATGCAGAATTTTCACTCAGACAACTGCATCGATGTTCTTTATTGCGCATTGATTTTCCTATATTTGCCGGCTGACTTTTCGAGCTTTCATAGGGAGATGCGTAGTGGTGTAACTTACGATTTTAACTGAAAATTAATGACAAATTTCATATAAGAAGATTTATGCGCAGTTGAATTTAAAATTTTGGTGAGAGAAATTTTTGGCAGAGTTTTTAAGAGTGGAATGAATATTATACTCTCGTTGCAAATGAAGTATTCACTACTCTTTTTTTTGTTAAATAACCATTTAAATTTTCTGTCTAGCAGCCCGAAAATACCATTTCCCCGCCGCAGCTCGGTCAGTAACATGGTAATTTCGTCTTCGCTGGGCAAAAATATTAAATTACGTATACCCAGGCTGGAAAAGTATTGGTAGGTCCATAGCACGTGAAAATTGACAATCGAAATAAAGTCTGGTTACGTAATCTACTATTTATTATATATATACGAATTGATTTAAATAATATTCTTCCAATATTACATTAACAGGTTAATATACGTTAGAATCGAAGAAAATTACAACTATCAGCAATCGTATAACTTTTATCATACCCTGTGATGCTGGTACATCTATATGACGTTTGTCAAGACTTTTCTTAATGAATTCACCATCCATTCAAAACTTGTGTTATATTTGGTATTTTCAAACGACTATCAACAAATATAACAAAATGTAACCGTTTGATGGAAAATCTCTGCAAAACTTTAATTTGGTAAATAATTTTTATAAATTGAAATAATTTATCTATTACAATAAAAAACATTGAATTTAATACACAAGTTTGAATGAACAAAAAAAAATTATAGGTGTGAAGTAGTGATGATATTTTTTATGCTCTAAAAACTAATGATACATTAAGTAAATCAGCACTTTCATTTAATAAATTAATCTATTAGCCCTACTTTGCATTTATTGAGATTTATTTCCTCCCTCCTAGATAGATAAAAAGATTTTCCTATAAATGTACAACTTATGCAAAATCGAAGATCTCATCCCGAAGCCGTTTTATTGACTTTCAGCTGGAGCAAATGCAGCTTTACTTTCAAAGAGTTTTATGCATGAATTAAAGTCTTAAGTCGGATTATACTTTTCCATTAGGATCTGTTCATTCGTAACTGGATGTTGTAGAAACTCGAGTGCTCTTTTCTCTCATTAATTTGCCCAGTTAAAAAATAATTTTATTTCCGAAATTGCTTTAACTACTTTTTACATCAATTTTAATAACACTTTCGAAACTCAGATAATTTTTACTCTAAATATGCTAGAATAAAATGTTTAGATTACAACATATTTTTATGCAGTTAAAAATATGTAGTGCAATCCAAGATTAATTTTCTATCATAAAATAAAATTCAAGAAATAGGATTTAATAATTCGAAATACAGTTTGAAGAAGTACATATTATAACCAGTATAAACATCCGGTAATCAATAGCATATTGTCATTCTATGGTAAAAAATACCGAGACTCGCAAGAATCGATTAAATGCTTAAAAATGATGAAATATAGGTCAAGCCTCACCATGTTGGTACTCTTCCTTGTATGAATACAAACGAATGTGTGTGTGTGTGTGTGTGTGTGTGTGTGTGTGTGTGTGTGTGTGTGTGTGTGTGTGTGTGTGTGTGTGTGCGTGTGTGTTGACTTCAACTCCATTATTGTTATCGGAAAATATGATAAAACTTCAATATAAAACATCGCAATATATTGTAAACAAATAAAAATAATCGTTGAAAGAAAAGTTACTCTAATAATAAAAGCGTAAACATCGAAAATAAAGAGGAAATCGGCTATAAAAAGATGCATATTAATGAAAAGGTACCTGCCTCTCAATACAACTGTGGAAAAGGCGCATCATCGTCATCGAATGGTAAACGAGACACGCAAGCGAACGCGACAAGCGGGTCGAGTGGCGTTTTCGAAATCAATTTTTCAATTGACTATGTAGAAGACGTTTAACAGGGAGGAGGGGTTATAATGCAAGAGACAAGAAGAACTTTATTAATTTCACGACTACGTCTTTATACACTGAGCCTCCGAAGACAATTAAAACTTGGCAATATTCCGATTCTGTTTAGAGCGTTGCAACTTTTATCTCGCATTTTTAACACACTTACAATATCCGTCTTCAATTCCTACCCCCTTATGAACGAACTTCTTGTTTATGTCTAACTTGAATAGAAAATGCTAAAAGCATAAAACGACTTGAACTTTCATCATTGTTTTCCTTAATTACATGAGCTTTTTCATTTCTGTTTATGAATTCTATGTTAATGCAGTTATATACCGCGCTACAACTAACTTATGAAAGCTTGATTAATAAAGTTTCGCATCTTCAATTTATCCGAATATCTCTTATCGTTTCAATGTTTTCACTTTAAGTCGTCAAGTTTTGGAAGTAGATAAAATTAAATTAATTTCAATTCGACGAGTTCCTTTCAATACCAATTACTTTTTTTATTAATACTGCTTTAAACTTTGAAAATATGGTTGTGATTATATAATTTATCGAAACTACTAAATTATTTAGAAAAAGCTATAGTAAATTTTTGAAATTCCATATCTTCAACATTTAAACTAACTTAAGTAAAAAAAACTAGATTTTTAAAGATATAAATTAAAAAAATATATGTAAAAACTGACGATCTGACATGATCAGTAATAATATTAATGGATGTGTACTCTAATCACAGCATATTTACAAATAATAAGTGATAGGAAGTGCATTTAATACGTCATTATCTAGTTTGTGATATGACAATATAAAATTAATACATTTTATAATGTGTCATTGAAACAAACTATTTTTTAATTTTTTTTCACTAATATTTCAAATTGAATAGTTAATCGTTGTAGTATCTATGAGTAATAAATTTTAAAAATAGTAATAAAAAATTTATTTTGAAATAGTAGTTGTATTGATGAAGATATTTTATTTTATTTTTATCTGTATTTAAGATGATTGAATATTTACTTTTTTAATATTTATTACAATAAAAAAAAGTGTAGTAACAGATATGATCCCATTAAGTTTAAAAAAAATTTGTACGAATAACAATGTTTGTATATTATATCTTTATTGATTTAAAAAATAAATTCTTATTATTCATTTTTCAAATGAGATTCTTCTTTACTATGGTTGTTCAAATAAAATCTTATGATATGTAAGATAATTTGTTGGATTTATTTTTAACAATACTTACAATTCAAGAGTATTGTCTAATCTCTGACTAAGCGACAAATTGATCTGAAAATATAATTAAAACAATTAAAATAAATACATTACAAATTTAACCTATTCTTTACATAAATTTTGCTATTTTTTCATCAGTAATTATTTTCCAATAATCAAGTTTTAGATACTCTACCTCATGGAAAATTGAAATAATTATGATTAACCAAATAACTTTTTTGAATCAGTTTGAATGATTGAACATTAGCCTACATAGATATTAGATTATATGAGTATGCTTAACTTAAATGTTCATAACAAAGCTAAAAATAGCTTTTACATATGTGAATGAAAAAAGAATTGTGTCACTATTTGAATATATTTTTATTAAATATTGATTTCCATTTGATTTTTCATGAATTTAAACAGTACTGATTTGAAGCAATATGGAATTTATAGCCTTTGAAGGTATATTCGATTAAATTAGTTCTAATAATCATATTATTATTACTGGTTTCTACTTTTCTCTTTCACAGAAAACGCTCAGCGTATACAATCAAAAGGAGTGTTTATCGATATGATTGTTTGACATGTTTCATTTGTAAACATGTAATTTCCAGGTTAAATTTATTTGAAATGCAATATTTTACTTTCTGACAAGTGTTAATAGTTATAGACTCTACATATTAACATTAAAACATGTTTAAAAAGAAATGATTATGAATAGGTTAAAAAATGTATTCTGCTAAACACAGTGATAGATATTTACATTTACATTGTAATTAAAACGCAACAATAGTGTAAAATACAAGAAATTTGACGTCTGTTTAAGAGAACTTGCTACTTTAGTAAATTTTTTCATAAATAAAGATTAATGAAAACAAACTAAATAAGCTAACCTATACCTAATGACTCTATCGCGTTTTAGTCAAGTATTCTGACCTTTACGAATACTATTCTTTATCTTATATATACTTTAATATTATATCGTATTAGTGCAAATATAAATTATAAAATTTTTTATCAAATACTTACTATTTTTTCTCTATTAACTCACTGATTGTACGAATTCTTATATATTTTTCACTTCAATCAAAATGTGTCACTAACACACACAGAAAGTTACATGTATGCATGCAACGATGCATATACGATTGTATATGATTATGTTGGCCCTTGGTAAATCGCAAGCAATGGATGGCCGATGATGTGCACTAGTTACTGCCCTTGGCACTATCGCGGAAAGTGCGGATATCTCTGGAACAGAAATTTGGAATACCAATGCACGGATAAAAAAAAAACAACGCGTTTAATACGTATTTCAATCAATATTTATATTGATATGGAAAAAATTTACCTCAATTTATACTAACAAATTTTTTTATTATTACTCTGATAACATAAGTCATTTGTTCAAACAGCATACATTAATAAAAATTATATATTCATATTCTTCAAAATTACTAAATTTTACAATAATTTTAACAATAATTCCTTTGAATCCTTAAATAAATATTTTTTGTTAACAATTAATCAGTTCTAAACTATATATACTTGCAATTTGCAATTTATCAAAATTATTAATAATAGAATATATAAAATATAAAAGATGATATTGTTTAAACTTTTAATTAGTACTCAACTAATTTTTGATTAGCACTATTATCAAACTTTTAACATTTTATTTTTACTAATTTATGAATTATTTCAAATTTCCTCAGTCTTTTATAATTGAAAAATACATTAGCTATACTATATGCCCTGTACTAGAATATAATCAGATATAGATTAGCGATGGATACAATTACAACTTTGACTTTTCTTTTGTCGAATTGTGCTTATTGATTGTTGAAGGAGATAATTTATAATCGTTGTAATCTTAAACAGCAGTGTTTTATCTACTTATTAGTTTTTTCCATATCACCTACTGTCTATTTTATAGCTTTGGTATAATACATGTGATTAATCTAATTCAATCTTAGTATAATGATATCATTTATGATATAAATAACATATTTCGATATAGAGAGTTACGGTTGTTGCTGAAACGAAATTTTCTATTTTACACAACTTAATCAAGCTAGAATTACTGTACAATATTTTATTACGATAACCTATCGATTTATATATTTTATTGCCTATATTTTGTTTATTTGAAGCTATAAATTTTTACATATATAGCAAAGTTTAATTAATTTCTCCTTCGAGGTATCGGTCGGTTTGTATTTTGAGGTTAGAGTATGTTTGGACCAATCGATTCATAAAATTCGTCATTTATATTGATACACAAATATTTTATCATCTACGAAAATCTGCAGTAATATTTTATTTATGAGCATATACAACATATATATTATTATATACTATAACACATCTGATCACGTGACTATCTTTCAGTCAATCAGATCACATTACGAATAAACTGCCTTCGGTTTGTCAGATTCTCTTTTTTTATAAGAGAGGAGGAGGATCAAGCTTTCAAGCAGTTAAACTGTGAGGATATTCTTTCGATGTAACATCTTTGACTTGTTCAACCTAAGAAAAGTTATGTAAATTTATGTGAAAATTTTTTTTTATAATCAATAGCTTATGAAACATATTCTAGATAACATACATGTGTTGTCTCACTCAAATTTTGGTTGTTAAAACATTTACCAAACATTGAAGTCATTGTCTTCATTAATCTAAAGAAAAGATAATTAGTTTTGCCTTTAACATAATCAAGATACACTTCTTACTACTTTTCAAAAAATTCCATTGGATCTTGAAGCTAGTAAATTAAGTTATACATAATTTTTAATTTCCTATATTTGAAGTGCAGAAACAATGACAATGTCATTTTTTTTACAATGGCATCTTTACTTGCATATAATTAAATTTAGTATTTTATAAAAATTAATGGAAAAAACAAAAACAGCAAAGTAGAATTTCTTTTATCGAATAATTCTTATTTAGATACATCATTAATTAAAATATGATTAATTTTTTCTACATTAGAATGAGAAGTGAAATTTTGTTATTGGAACTCAATCGCTCTGATATATAAAATAATTTTTATGAATTTAAAAATTTTTACTAAACTTATTTATAATAAATCAAAACATAATACCTTTTTGTTTTTTTGTTTTTTACATACTGGTTGACCATAAAGGATTATCATCAATATTATAAAAAAAAAAATTTTGTTAAAAATAAATGTACATTTTTATCTTGACCAAAAGTTAAAACTGAAACATTTACTATTTTATCAATGATTTTTTCTCTAAGTCCTCTTTTAATCTAATGATTTCTTGTAAATATTTCTAATCTGTAAATTCTTGATTCATATAGCCTTGAGCTATTACATTTTTAAAATAACAGCTTCATCTTAACAACAATAAATTTTGTCAAAATTATTTCAAAATCAATTATTTTATTTAACTAAACTCATTGTTTGCAAGATACACATTTGAATTAGATTGACTATTGTACATTATTAATCAAAACTGATTTTTACCAATTTTGGGTTTGCAGTTTTGCGTATGAAAATCTTTCTCAAAATATATAAGTCCAAGTGACAAGCCTTTTTTTCAGATCATAACAAATTAATTACCTCTCACAAATATTGTCATACCAAGAGAGGTGTCTTTAGTTATACTCTGAAATAATTTGTGTGAATTCACAATTTAATTATACTGCAATCATCACAGAAAATATCACAAGAGCTTTTCTGAAAGCACAAGAAGATTATGACTATATTTGTGGATTAATAAATAACAATAAATTCAAAGCAAAATGAAACGTTAAATTTCAATAAAGACAAATTTAATATTTTCGCAATTTTCAATATAAAAAAAATATGTATATAATATTAAATTTAATAATGTGCACACTTTTAATACAAAATATATGTAAAAATGATACACGTATAAATTTTTGATACAAATTATTATCACAACACTTTTAGAGTTGAAATATCAAGATAAAATTGAAACCTATTTAAAAATACTTTCCACATATTAGTATTAAAGCAACTTTATATTATAACTCTGATGAATGGCTATTATTGCCTTCATTGAAATCATTGCTTTTATGCTCTTTTAGAGATGAACATCTTTCTTTATAGTCATTGAATGCTAAAATAGCAACATTTCTACCACCTACAGCACTCATTTCCATGGCACTTGCAGCCCATTCTATAGCATTCAAGTAGTACATATAGTTGTCTATTTTGAATTTATCAAGTCTTGGAACAGTTGAGTAGCTAGGGTATGCTTTCCATTTCTTTTCCTTGACTTCATCAACCTTGAAATAATATTCATATATTAAATTTAGTAATTTATTAATTTACTGAAAGATTACAATGCCTAACTAAAATTAACACTTTATTATTATAAACTTACGTTTCGAAATAGCTTATTTATTAATGACTTGTTTATTTTTTCACGGCTGAATATTTTCCAAATATTCATTTGATTATTTTGCTTATTATCAACAGATGACAATCTCGATATAGAACTTATTATAGTTTGTTTCGGATTACAACTGAGTATTCCTCTGATCTCCTCATCCAACCCAAAGTAAGAAAAATTAGCATTTCCTTTAATGAACGTTGCATATGTCACTTGGTAATCTCCCGTGAATTTTAAATTTGAATTTTGAAAGTTATTGAAAGTTATAGGTGATTCTTGATCGCTAGTCATTGGAGCAGCAATAATAACAATGTCATATATTTTAGTAGTAAGTTGATCCTCATCTACAAACAAAGTAATATGTAAATAGAGATGAACAGGTTATTATATTTTACATAAAATTGAATAATATAAGAATAATATTATTTACTTTTTTTATGATAAAATAATTCATATTTTGGTGTATTATCTGTAATAATACGGTCTATTCTTTTCACAATTGAATGTATTAATGAAATTTGTTTATTCTTATAAATCAAAAGTTCTGGTACCTAGAATACAAATTTTTCTATAAATCTAGAATTAACTACAATAATATTTTATGAAACATATAAAAAGGAACAATATTACCTGTTTATTTCCACCATTCACTGCCCACAAGTTTGTTCCAGCACCAGCAACTGACACACAGCCTACGAAGGATTGCACATTTGTATCCTGTCCATAATTAACAACAAGTGTAGCTTCAACTAATTCATTTATAATCTTTTCATGGTAATTGAGTTTAATTAGATGATCTTTCATTGATGTTTGCAACAAATTAACAAATTCTTGATTCATAGCACCTATAAGTGCTGTCACATTTTCAAAACCAATTCCTTTATCTTGAAGAGAATATATTTTTTCAAAATCATCCATGATGGAATCTACATATCTATGTAGATAAAAGGGTTGCAAACCATATCTATAGATGAGTCTAATTAATGTAAGGATTTGATAGTTACTTTCCTGTACCACTAATTCTTTACCATTCCATATACCAAATCGATCATCATTAAGCAGATCATTTGAGTGTGTTGTGTTTAAGTTGAGTAATTTAACAAAATCTTGCATATATTTGTTTCTTGGATGTATAATTGCTCCGCCTGCTTCAAATTCTTTGTTTCCAAACTTTACAGTAGCGAGGCGACCTCCAACAATATTAGATTCAAAAATATCTATATCAATATTTTTATCAAAAAGTTCTGTTAAAAAATAAGATGCTGAGGCCCCACCAATGCCAGCTCCTATGATAGCTGTAAAATTGAAATAGATAAATTATAACCAACCCAATATTTTTAGTAAGTAGTGTTATGAATAAGTGAATAAATTTAACAATTTTATCAGTTATCACTTGCCTACTTTAGGTCTGCATATTTGGGAACAATAAACATTTTTAAAACTTATTACTCGAAATAAAAAAAAAAGTAATAAGAGCTTCTTCTGTAACATATTACATGAAAGTGGTAACTTCAAGTTCAAGTTATAATTTTGTGTGGATTCATTTGTGCGGTGAGCCTAGCGAAGTGTCGCCATGCGCACCCTACCGGCTCTCAAGCGTCTCACAGAGTTAGAGCTTAGAGCGCAGATTAAAACAGCGTTGGCACTTTGTAAATAGTTGATATATTTATGAAGGTTAACAGCGTCATTTATACACAAAAGCTTTGCACGCCTTAGTTACTAAAGTGCTTGCAAGCGTGCTCGTGAGAGTGAATTTTTTGCCTATCAAGCCGGAGCTGTTGCCGATTCGGATCCGGGGAGCTGAATGAGTCGTCGACTCGGTTCTTCTTCTTGCACTCCAAAAATGATAATGACCAGCCTCGAAGCAAGGAATTTCCTTGCTCGTCTGTCTGTACCGCCACAATTTTCTTTGACAATGTCACCATCACGACTTTGTTTACTATTTTAAAAAGCTACTATTAGTTTTCGTAACTTAATTAGGTACGGTATCGTCATTCTTCATTGTAATTTGTATGAACATGATTTGATCTAAAAAAAAATAAAAAATCAATAAATAACTAGAAGAATACAAACATGCCGATTGTTGGTAACAATACAATTTGGAAAATCGAAAAGTTTTTAAATTTAACAAATTAAATTAAGTTAAATTAAGTTTTTAAATTCAAAAAATTTCATATATGATATTACAAAACAATTAATTTTAAATATAATGAAGAACATTATTACAAATAATAAGATATGTATATGTATTAAAGTTTAAAAGACTACGATGTTTGTTCATAATTTTTCATTATTTTTTTAAAGGATCATATCATAATTTTTTTGCATGATAATTATCAAAAATATACTTATAAATAATAATTTATCAAACGAAATAAATTTCAAGGTAAATTGTCAAGCAGTAAATTGTTAGATACAGAATTGGAAATCATTGTGGCATTTTCTCTCCAATGATTTGGCTAAATGTTAGATATCGGGAATACGAACAAATTATTATAAATAAATTTATATGATATATCTATTCGTTAACATTCAAAGTCAATAATCTATCTAAATCCAAAGATATAAAAATACCAAGGCATTTCCATTTTTCCGGTGTGTCGATATTAGTTCTATATAATTATACAATTATCGGTACAATTAGAACTTGATGTTAATACATAAGTACATGTGTTACCAATGTTGCCAAACCTTTACCTCAACAAGTAATACATTTTTCTAAAAATATGCTCACTTTAGCTTCATTTTTTTGTAATTTCTTATAAAGTTATGCTTCAATAAAGTTAATAGTGAAACAAAACCATCAAACTTGAAGTTTGATTCATAAAATAAAAATTCAAAACTAACAAAATTAAAAAACTTGCACGTTTGAGTGAGACTTATAGATTTTTAAATGCATATTTTTATCTCCAAGGATCGAAATTATGAGTTAAAATTAAATCCACATATAGTTTACAACGTATTAGAATCTGTCAAATTGAATTTTAAACCCAGGTTAATGTTATCACTTACTGTTAAAATTCAACAGATAAGTTTTCTATACGACATATCTTATAGGATTTGCTTATGAATTTTTATTTTTGGTTTGATAGGGCATCACAACTAAATAGAACATTTTTGTAGGTTCCCGAAAAATGAATAAATCACTTTTTTTATAACAGATATATCCCATTTTTAGAGAATAACTTTCTCAATCATAAACTTATTTACTTATGTACACTGTTGCACCTCGAAGCATTTATATATAATTGAATTCCATAAGACTACTAAGACTTGCTATCAAACCACTCTTTAAGGATTTAATCGTTAACTCAAAATTTTCAAAAACATGACATATCCATTTCCTTTGAGAAGCCACAGATTTATTATAAATGGTACACATTACATAAATCATTGTACAGTTTGATAAGATTAAAACTCTAAATAACGAAAAATTTCACGTGTGATTCTTTGTAATCATTATTATGCCGGTACGTTAGTTTTCTGTTTTTCCTGAATCGACGCTATCTTATTAATTCACAAATTTATACAAATCTTATAAAATATTAATAATTTTATCACAAAATTCGGTAACATAACTTATAACGCATTCCACAGGATCAACCTAAAGCACATCGTGATTTCCGTATGGTGAGAACGACATCTGCGATGTCAATAAATCACACACGTTATTCGAATCAAAAAGCATTTACACTTATATATCGATTAGCAGTCGTCGCGCTTGGCTATTACGAAATGTATTCATATTGGATCAAGCATAATATGTACGAAACATGTCACTGGATAACGTTTTCATTTCGTATTACGTTAAGACATTATGTAAATTCGTCTTGCATGCTAATTAAAATTTAAATTGATCTAAGTAATATAAGTTTTTTCAAAAGCGTATTTAGATTCAAAATAAAAAGCATTGTACAAATAAAATTGACAATCGCAAAGAATATTCAGTGGGAAAGCAATAATCTTGTATCCAAATTATTTAATATAATCCTAGTAACAAAAAAAATTGGCATCCTCTACATAGCATCAATTTTAGTAAAGCCATTTGAGGCGTATATACGAACATATAGATACACGCAATAATCTCGTCAGTTTTCTATTCCCTTAATGAATTAAGCGCAGATGGGGCCTATCTCTCTCTCTCTCTCTCTTTCTCTCTCCCTTTCTCTCTATCTATCTTTCTCCCTCAAAGCAATATTTCGTTTCTAACGCCAGCCTCTCATGGCTAAATAGATCTTAAGGAAAAGTCAGACAGGCAATGCAGCGCGGCTGCTCGATCGCGCGTTCTCTTTTCCACCTCTCTTACTCTCCCTATTGATTTTCCGGGTGGCAAGTTTGCTCCCCTGCGCACGCAGATAGGAAAGCAGCAGCAGCACGCACCTGGCTTTGGTGCTTGGCGCCACTCGCACCTCTGTGTTAGTTGATGCTGTACTCGCTTGCGCAGCATCAGTTGGCAGCCGAGTGAGCTCGACGATGTGAGCATCGTCTCCCTCTATACTTGAGAGAGAGAGAGAGAGAGAGAGAGCACAAGGCAGGTTACTGACAAGCAGAGACACACACACACACATATACAGCGGGTTGTCTTGCATAGCGAGAGAAAGAGAGAGCCACAAACCAAAGAGAGTGCCAACTCGAGGCGGAGATCCACGTGCAAGTGGAACAGGTAAAGCTTCAGTCCGACTACTTTATCCTTTATGTCCATCGCTCTTTTGCTACTGTTTTATTTTTGTTTTGTTTCTCCTTTTCTCAGTACAGCGAGTCTTAAAAAAAAAGAAGAAGCGAGGCAGTGCGTGTTGTGCGTGGATGGTGGTGGTGGTGGGTGGGTTTGTTTGGTTTTACACCAGTTATTTTTTCTACGGCTGTGAAGGGAAGGCCTCGTAAGGGGCCGGCGAAATCGGCGCGACGGCAGATGTCAGGATGCCGGAACAGAGCAATGACTATCGGGTCGTGGTGTTCGGCGCTGGTGGCGTCGGCAAAAGTTCACTTGTATTACGATTCGTGAAGGGCACCTTTCGTGAATCCTATGTACCCACCATCGAGGATACCTATCGGCAGGTAACGCACATTTGTATAATTTTTTGTCCGCACCCTCCACACTATGTTGTTGTTATTTTGATGGATAGAACGGTCATTGATCGTAACTATAACTTGTGTGTGTATGTGCGTGTGCGTGTATGCGTATGAGCGATGAGTCGGTTTGTTCTTAGCTTGCTTTCCTGTTTCGAATGATGGCTTAGTTCAAAATGTCACACTCATGGCCTGAGTAAACGAGTAGTCAATGATAAAGCCCAGCATAGTCGTCCCTTTTCATTTTGATACACGTCTATTAGGAAAGTTCGTGGATCATCGTTTTTTGGGATACACGCAAGCACGAAATTGTACGGCAATATGTAAAATGAGTAAATAAATGAATCATTTGAAAATATTGATCAACGAACATGCAATTTTCAATTTAATTCAGTGAAATTACGTAAATGGAAAGCGTAGAAAATGTATCCAGGTTAAATGTGTTATTTTTCCATTGAATCTCCCGGTGAATCGCAGATTGGAAAGTTCATAGGTCGATGATGAAGATATTTGAAAGCTAAAACTCAAGCGGAATTTTCGCGTAAAGGTGGCACAGCGCGAACAAGATTTATAGTGGTATAGAGTCGCTACTGGCGAAATGTAAGAACTTAAGGACCGAGATTGAATAAAATTCAAAGCGAGCTTTTGCTCGTTATCTGAAAAGAAAATGGAATATTTTACTCAACTGCTATTACGAAATAGTTACTCAGCTCTATGACAATGCTTTGCTCACGTCGATTTTCGTTCTAATGATAGAGCAAAATTCATAAGGACAATGTTTTGGAACAAGTGTTAAATGAAAATTTAGGACAACGTGGATATTACTACTGAACAAATCATGAACCACAGAAATTTTTAATTCTTTGATGTAGCAGTAAAATGTCAGTGAAACGTTGGAAATTTGGAAAGAAGTAAATATTAGTTTATCATTTCATAGGTTTTACCTTCTCATCTCCTACTACCACCAGAAAATATCATGGAAGGTATCAACAATAATTAAAAAAATGAAATAGATGGGCTGAAATCGAATTACATTCGAAAGGAAGAACCCAACGACACTCGGATTTCTTAGCGAAAAATATATGAGGCACTATATACCCTGCCACTAGAGATTGATATTTGATATTCGATAATGTCGAAGCTCGAATTAAAATGCTAATTGAATGTTAAAGACGAAGAAAAAGAAGAAGAATAGAACGCTTGTATAACAAAATTTAAGGAAAATCCTATTGAATTTGCACGTTGATTGAAAAAATAAAAAAAAGAGTAAATGAAACGTGATGACATCGTTTTATTCACGACGTGTCGAGCTAAAAGACTATACTGACGTGATCAAAACGGAACGTCATTATCACGCCTCGCTGATATCATTATCGCACTACTACTGCGGAAACTACAAAATTGAGATGCGAAAATTTACGGCAATCTCGAAAAAATATCAATAAAAGAGTAATATGGACGTCAAGTCTAGTTTAGCTACATATAATAATATTTTACAATTCCAGTTATAACGACTTGTGGCTGTAGCTCTTAAATATTTAAAAAGGCGTGAGGGTACTGCAAGATCGTCATGTTGTAATTACGATCCATTTATATTATGCATCTCATGTCGATGTTAATTGACTCTGCGTGCAACTTTATGAAAAAGAATAAAAGCAAAATCAGAATCAAGCTATTGTAGAGCTTATTTCCGTTTTCATCCCGTGTTGTTAAACGAGGAATGTGTATGTCACGCCTTCCATAGAGTGTATAGAGCTAGCAGATGATTAACTTATTAGTGCAATTTGTGCAAGCCGCTCGTTTGATTCCCAAGTTACAAGCTTATTGATGTCCATTGAGCAGTTGAAAATTTCAATTACCATTTAAAAGTCGGCTTGTCCACTCGAAAAAATTGGAATTCGTTTCGTTATTCGAATAAATCCGAGGAAGAAGAAGAAAGTATCGATGTACTTCAAGCTAGTAAATAATGGATAACACGTGGTTGATTTTGCATGTAGAACGTGGCGAGTCGACAAGACTTAGAAAACCCTTATGCAATATTTACCTACTGCTGCAACGCTTGGATGTATATATATCTATATATGCTGCTCATGCTGTCCATCCATATACACCGAGATAAAGGCAAAGGCACAATATTGATACAAGGTATATGTACATTCTATTACAAGTCAAACTTATACTTACGATAAACAAAAGAAATCCGACGTGAAAATCATCGATTGGACTAATGCCAATGTTCTAAGCACAATGTAGGCTTGTGTATTATAATTACACGCGACACTCTGACTAATTGTATTTGTATATCAGCTTTCTTATCTCAGCAAAAGCTCACCCAAACACTTAAATTATTTGGCAGCTTACCAATACACCCTGCGGGAATTTCGTGAGCTTCTGCTCGCCACAGTGACAGTAGCTAAAAGTTACTTGTGAAAGAAAAATCCCAAGCCGAATAGACACATTGTAAGGTGTCATATCGGAATAACAGTATCAATTTTTCAAAGACGTTTATTTATAGCAGATGTGATTTATATTTCACGGTGCGATAGATATTGTAAAAAATTTGATTGCCGTGAATAATGTAGAACGGACATTTTCCTCATTGTTAGCGAGCGAGTGTTATCATTCATCATTCGTGACCGCGCTGATTTAATCTCACTCTCAGTCAAGTAAATAATTCAGTGATTTAACGCTCGATATTTCTCGTTTTTTTGTTTCGCGTTCGTATCGGAAACAGGAAAAGGTATTACACGATTTGTATTTCTGCGTGATAGCACGTGTCAGAGAAAACTTAAGCCCAGAGTAAAGTTCAATAAAACTATCAAAAGCCTACCCATATAAGCATTACTGCAAATGAATCGTTTCTTACATACTAGCTGCGGTGTGCGTATCGGCGAAAGTAAAACAATGCGAGAAGCGTTTGTGCTGTCGTCGTCGCGGGAAAACTATCACAAATTTCAGAGCGCCAGCAATGACTAATGTTTTGATTACTATTCAAATTTCGTACGCTCGGAATCCCGTCGTGCACGCCCACCTCGTTGACCGCATTTTTCTCGTGTTTCTGTAAAAGAAATGGGAAAAGGGAATCTTCTTCTTCCCTCTTTGGCTCATACACCTAAGAAAAAAAGCCAAATGCTTTAGCGGAAAGAAATCACGACGTGTATCATGCGTGACTTGGTGTACTTTGACCTCGCTTAAGTTAAGTTCTCTCTTGCTGTAGAGGAAGAAAAAACGAAAAACTCGAACTCAACCTTCCTTTTCCTCTCTCAGACTTTTTAATACGGCATGTAGTTACAGCTTTATAAAAAGTCTGCTTTGCGGGAAGAGGATGCTTTTTTTTAAGCCTATGAAAAATAGTTCAATATATAAAACTTGATATTTCGAAATGTAGCATGTGGTATACGAGCATATCATTTTTTGCTTTTTGTTGAAAGCTTCTATTTACTAGTAATATATGCTTTCGATGCTCTTTGTGCCGAGCCTAAAACCGTTTTCATCACGTGACGCACATATAAAGCAGTTCAATGTGAATAGGCAAGTAATCCACACAAAAATTTTATTTCGTTACATAAAAATACAAGATTTATCATTGGAATGCTAAAAGAATTTTTATTCGGTTTATTTCATCATGACGAAGAGACTGACTTTTTTTTAGAAATAACATTCGTGATATTAATTGCTACACGACAAACAGGTGAAGAAAAAAAGTTTTTTTATTACTCAATAATACGTGACATCCTTCGGAACACCTCAAATACTGCTATAATAAAACTGATATTACTTTTATTGAAACTCCTGGTCACTCTCGCAAAAAAAGTGAATCATTGACATCGATAATGTCCGCAAAAAGATGTCCATCCGTCGACGCGCGCGCGATTTACATATTAATAAAGAAATTATTAATATGTATAACATTACAGGAAAGGGTTTGATTTCTATATGTTATAATTAACGCATGTTAAAATCGGAATTCTGCATGTGTATGCACGCATTAACCTCTCAGTTCCTAAAATTAGCATTTGAATTATTCCCGATCGTTACGTAGGACACTCACGTAGGCGTGCACACGTAAGCTTATCAAGCTCATCGAGATACACACACACACACACATACACACATATAAAGAGAGAAAGAACGATTGTATGTGAGTAGAGTGCGTATAGAAACGATCAATCAATCACTTTCTCGATTCTCATCTTCCCACTCTTCTATTTCCCCTATTCTCGCACTGAAAGATGCATGCGACGCACGAACTTTTTCTTGCGACACAGATAACGCACAAAAATCAATATAACCAAAATATCAAAATGTCGAGTTTGAAAAGTTTTGCAGGATATGAAACAAATATATTATTTAAAAAAACGAGAGAAATGGTGACGCATGGCTACGTTTCATGGGGATGGGATATCTTGGAAAGAAGAAAAGAGACTTACTTGGTCATCGTCAGTTGATCACCGCACACTTTTTGTGATGGGAAAGAAACATCCTGCTTTGATCCTTTCACAATAAAGAACCTTTTTCTTTTTTTTCTACCCCAGAAACTTTGGTCATGATGCGATGAAATAAAAATGCCGAGTGCGAGAAAAAGACAGGACTCAAGTTGTTATAGCTTCTTGGGATTCGATTCCACCACCGATGAGAGTTGAAGCCTTATTGTCGGCTTAACCCTGCAGCTATATAATTTATATTTAATGAAAGCGCCATATTGGTATTCCTCTGGCATTAAACGATCATTCTAATCAATCTAATTTTGCGAATTCGGTCAAGTCAATTTCAAAATTAAAAAACAAAATATTCTTTTGAATTTTCTTCTGCTAGAACATTAAAACACATAATAATTTCAACAGCATATTCGTTAAAAAAAATGGTTAATGCGAAATCATAAGCCAAATAATGCGAAGAGCTTTAGCTTAGGAAATCGGCGGAAATGTCGTTTACTCTAACAATCATCGAAAGCTAAAAACTTATCTGGAGGGAAAAAATGAAAGAAGAGCAAAAAGGAGTATTGTAGAATTGTTTATCGGTTTTCACTACTATCGGTCTCTGCGAGTTAATCCTGAGTTCTATTTCTTGTTCTTTTTATCGATTTTCTTCGAATGCTCAAGTTGAGTCAAGTGCACCGAACAACTAATGGATTTGTGATAAAAGCATCGTTCGATTAACAGCTTATTTTTGAGAATTTTACAATGAGGCTTGATTTGTATAGCTAATTATCAGGAAAATAACATTTAACAACATTTATTTTATTTTCACAAGATTCTAATAAGCAAAATAACTTAAACATCAATGCGTTCTTTAAAAATATCGCTAAAACTTCTTCAATAGAAATAGAGTAGAACGACAATGAAGCTCCAATTTCCTGTTTTCAAAGTTGAAATTCATTCTATTGCTCCATAATCACATTCAAAGTACTACTATTTTTCCAAAAGTTATTATCCAATATTTTAATTTCCATTCAACTAAAAAATTGAATTAACTTTTACATCACCAACTTATGGTTTTCATCAAACTTCCTACTCCCATAACCCATCAACCTTCATTTAAAAATATGAAAAAAATTAATGAGTATAAGAAACTGTTCGAAAATCTTTGAAGAGAAAATACGCAACATGACAAAAGCCTATTCATAATAAAAAACTTAGTTTAGTTAGGAAATGGGTGTTCTCTTTTCTATCATTTTATCCGTTATAACATAGTACGGAGACACGACAAAGCAATAGCCCATTTCTTACTGAGAGTACAAAGGCGATGATCTCTTGACGATACTCACCGACGGTCTATTTCTCTTCTCTTGAGGCATATATATCCATCCTACATGTAACGTGGACAGAAAAGAAGATGATGACGACGACGAAAGAGAAGTTCACGGGAGACTGGTGGCATTCCTTGTTATGTTCGCGATGAGAACTCGTGTTAATCCTTTCCTAAAGCTTATCATTTAGCAACTGACCTTTCAATTGCAGATATATTTTTAAAAAACGGTATTTTTCTATAAAGATGCTAATTTTGTTACTTTTGCATATTTTACTGTCAATTCCATTTTATTTTTTTTGTCATTTGTTTCGTGTCGTACATGTATGTGTGTATGTCTGTATGTATGTATGTAAGTATGTATGTATGTAAGTATGTATGTATGTATGTATGTATGTATATGTATCTATTATTAAAGTCGAATTTATAAATTTTTTTATTTAATCGATGACTAAATTCTTCAAATAAAATCGATGTAGATGTGTTTCGTCAGTTGGATAAAACCAATGAAAACGTTTTATGTGGTAGTTACTGCCGTTTTGTTGAGCTCTTGCCTACGTGTTTTTACGACCAATTGTTGCATCGATTTTACAATTTCGCCGAGGTAGCTTTTTTCGTCTTTAATGAACACGTCATGAATGTGAACTGTTATAATTGAAATCCATTAACCTTAACGAATGTTAGACTTGCACAAAGATTACTGTAATTGTTTTTTAAACTTAACGGGACAAGTACACGATACTTTGCTAATAAATTTGTAAAAGTTGTGTAATCGAGTTTGTCGTTTTAAGCACGTGAATTTTAGGAAATATATTTTCGCAAACTTCAAAGCAAAGCTAACGTTAAAAGTAGTTTTACGGAATATTTCCATTTATTATGAATTTATTCATTTGAATTGGCGTATCGCCACGTTTTGAGAGACTAAACTATTGAAATTAATCGAGCGTATTATCATTTTCGAACTTGGAAACGCAAGCAAAAATATTAATTGGCATGAGTGGATTGCATCGAAACGATGTCAAACGGAATCGAGTTGAGTGTACGAAAATAAGTAGTGCAAAGCAATAAATCTAATGAAGCGCGCGAGAGAGAAAGGATTTGAAAAAGGCTAGATCGTTGCTGACTGGGCATTTGCAGGTGATAAGCTGCAACAAAAACATATGCACGCTTCAAATAACGGACACAACGGGGTCCCACCAGTTTCCCGCAATGCAACGGCTCTCGATAAGCAAAGGCCATGCCTTCATCCTTGTCTACTCGGTGTCCTCGAGACAGAGCTTTGAGGAGTTAAGGCCCATCTGGACTGTCATACATGAGATCAAAGGACAAGATACCTCGCAAATACCTATTATGCTGGTAAATATCTCACATACTTTTTCTCACATTTTCCTCATCTATATTCCCCTTTTATATTTTTGCATGAGAATTTCAATTCTTAACTAAATATACAATATAGCGCATTATTTTCAATCGATACATGTAAATGTGCGTCAAAATTATTTGAGTATAAGCCTTATGATTGAATATTAATGCAGTAATCTTTCAACCTGTCGCGAGATTGGACTGAACACTCGTGAACGCGCGCCAATCATTGGATCAGGTCACGTGTAAAGAGGAACTTGTTGCAAAACAATTTACATCGGAGAACACAAATGTCGGTATATTCGTTACTCGTAACTCGTGTGCAATTCAAAAATTGGTTTTTTAAACGCTAAAAGCAATCTCGCTAGGCGTTTTCATCACGAAAGCAGAAAAAAAGAAGCGTCCATTTGCTTCGCGTCGTGCATTTATCGAAGCTTATAGTGAGCAAATCCTGATGCACTCGCTCACGAAAGAGACGAAAACAACAACAATGTGTTAAGGCATCGCATACTCGAGAGAAGATGACGAAAAAAGCAGCTCTCGAGGGCCTTTTTCTTTCGAGAACGTCTTTTCTTATAGCTCCTTGTCACTCTGCCCCATCGACGAGCGCCAAAGCCTTCTATCGTAAAAACGTTGAAATGCAACCCTGCGCACACATACAATGCGTATTTCGGTATAAAGTACAAAAGAGAAATGCGCCCAAGGCGACACAAAACTTTTGCTTTGTTCTTCGTTGGCAAAATTATGGCACAGGCACGTCGTGGAAAGTCGAGTTTCGACGTAAAAAAGAGAGCTAAAGCGATATTGTCGCACGCCTCTTACTACGTTTAAATAATTTCGTTAAGTTTTAAAATTTTCCACGGGGAAGATACACATATATGTTCTTTGTAACTTTGCTATCGCTCAATATTGTAGACGCGTGAATTACACATACACTGCAAGTGAAAATTGTTCGAGATTAGGTCAGATGCGCTATCGATTTTTCTTTAAATTCAGGATATCGTTATCGAATTCGATAAATAAGTTGAATTATCATCTGTCGAATGTTCGAAAATACATTGGCATCGACCGAATATATACCACTTTCGTTAAATATTTCAGAGCTTAAACTGCTATAAAATTTATAATCCATCGATCGAGAGAGAGAGAGAGAGAGAGAGAGAGAGAGAGAGAGAGAGAGAAAGAGAGAGCTTTTCAATGTCAAAACCATCTACCGAGGTATGTTTATATATTTTGTTCGAGTTGAAAACGATTGCAAAGCTCTATTACTACTAGTTTAAAGTTAGTCGACAGTGAGTTCAATTTACACGGCTCTCGAGCGAAAGTTTTGATGAATGAAACATCACAAGTGCGTTTGCTTCAAAGAGAAACATGCTAGCTTTTCGCAGCTAGCTAGATGATCATAAAATACGCGTTAAACGAGCTTGACAATTCTTCTTTAGAGTAGCTGTAGCAATACAGATACCGTTGGCTCGCTTGACGTGCCGTCAATGAAAAATGTTTGTGCGCAAATCGCTTTTTGTAAAACTTGTTTATATCGTAATTAAATGGGCTTAGTTTAACGTTTTACAATGGATTTTTTTGTAGTTTGCCATAATCTTGAATATCTCCGAGGGATTCGGACTCCTTCCAGAAAAAGTGCATAAAGCAATTGTTAAAGTCATTTTCTCGCTTCTATTAAAATAAAAAAAAAGCAATTAAGGATTCAACGCGAAACCAGCCAACGGTACAATTAAAAGTCTCAAAGGATTAGCGCGCGTAGATAAATAAGCAGAGAGAATTTTCGCTCAAAGTAAAAGCGCTTAAAAGTACATTACACAAGAGCCTCGGTAAAAATAAAATAAGCCAGCAGCTTTGCAGGAATATTCGATGATGTATTATTTGCACTGCCACCGAATAAAAAAACCGTTCTACATCTGAGATCTATGTATATTAAGCAGAGTTTCTAGTATGAACTTCTAATCTCAGAAAGCTTTCTGTCTTGGCTAATATGCCTATCCGAGCATCTCTCTAACTACGACCGTATCTCGAGAGAAAGAAACGCAGAGAGAGCTGCGAAATTAGTGTTCCGCCGTAGCTCACTCTCTCGTTAAAGTGCAAACGCCTTGTTGAATTCATCAGGCCGCGCAATTTTCCGATTGCAAATATTTCTTTTCTTTTTCTTTGGCACACAAGTGGTACTGCTGATACAGATTTTAAGTAGGAATATATACATTCATTTAATTAACGCCGACTAGAAACTTTGAACGTTTCATTTGCAATGGATGTGCTGAAAATTAAAGCGATTTTTCAACTCGACAAATGAATCTTTTCATATTTAACGAGTATTGTCTTACGAGACTTTTACCTTTCTTTTTCTTTTTTTGACGCATTATCATTTGCTTTTCTTTCTCTTTCACTCTGCTACTTATAGACTAGTTAGATAGTTTTTATGAGCTATTATAATGCTATGACGAAGACTATTAAGTATTTCTTTTTGAAAAAATGTCCTTTTTCCTTTTATGAAAAATATCGTCAAAGTTGAAGGCGAAGCTACGCGAAAACTTTGGAAACATATTTACGCCTGACTATAACGAACTTTTTCTACTTCTGCGCACAGTAGCCTACGTTTTTCTTTCTCTGGAAACTATTCATGCCTGGGCAGTAAATTCTTTAGTCTGCTTTTTTCTACTGGATGTTTAATTTGGTGAGTTGCTGGGATTTAGCGTGCATTCTTTGTATTTTTAGTCCTCTCGTGACAAAAAAGTGTGTCAAAAGGGTAAATGTCTCGACAGACACGTACTAATACTTATATACGTTGCGGTATTGATTTTTCTAAGTACATCTGTATTTTTTCAAACATTTTTAAAAATAAGAGTTGAATTAGTCTGATTTACATACTTGTACGGAGATTCGAAATAAAATTATTAACGTGTCTCAAGATATAATATATATTGATCGCGGACTCACGAACTAATTGGATTATTATAAATAGAAGGATTCGATATATTGAAATAATTTTCCAGAGCCAAATCTGATGGCTTTGCCAGTATAATTTTTTTGCCTTATGTGTGTGATAATTATTACCTTTCCGTATTTAATTAGCCTTATAGTCTATTTATTTTATCGCTAGTTGACTCATTTTACTTTTGTTCACATGAAATTTCCTTCACTTTTATTCGTGGAATAAACTGTCTTTTCATAGTATTTTGTAATAACTTGCGAAGTTATTATAAAGCATAACCGTCTGAATATTTCAAAACTATAATTTCTCGTCGGACTATATCTTGCAAGCGCGTGCAATCGATCGCCTGAAAATATCGCACACGCGTGTGTGCAGTGCGTCGCGCCAGGAAGGCAATCAATCTTACATACAAGACATTACTCCGCAGTAGACACAATTAGCTACTATAAAATATGTATTTTGCGTAGGTGGGCAACAAGTCAGACGAATCGCCAGCTAGAAGGGAGGTGACGGAGAGCGAAGGTCAAGCGGAAGCGGAGCGTTGGGGCTGTGGATTTTTGGAGACGTCAGCCAAGACCAATCACAACGTGAACGCGCTGTTTCGCGACCTGCTCACACTCGAGAAGAATCGATCGGTCTCGCTACAACCGGTGCAGAGCAATAACACAAACAGCCTTAAGGAGAAGTGCGTGCTCATGTGAACGCTGCGATGACGACGATGATACCTCAAGCGCTGCATCGACTCTGTCTCTCTCGCTGCCTTTTCATTCAACGTTGCTTGAAAGCTTAGCTTCTCGGTTTCCCTCGAAAAGCTTCTCAATATCCGAAACCTAGCAACTCGAGCCATTGCACGAGAAGAAGAGTGCCTTTGACGACATGCCAAAAGCTATCTCTATCAGGACTGCCGAGATTTTATGCCCCCGAGCATCCGAGAATATCGTCCCCACTTCACGTAATTGAATCGTCGCCTCCGCGTCACGTGCGCCGTCGCTTGTCAACGAGGTACATAGATTTCTTTCTCTCTTTTGCCATCTGCTTCCGTTTCAGAGAAAAATGCCTTCGGAAATTAGTCAGAGACGAAAGCTGTTGCGAAAACTTTGTTCACGATCAAACTGTAGCTAATTGATTTTTGACTTCCCCTTACCAAACGAGAAAATCAATATCGAGCTTGCGGGCCGACAGAGAAAAAGAAAGAAGACTAATAGCTTTTTTTTCCTTTCTACGCCCTCCCTTTTTTTCGTTTTCTCTTCCAATCGATTGGAAGAGTTGTCTCAACCCGCCTCACTGAATTACAATAGTGTGCCTATCCAAACGCTGAAAGCGTCATTGAAAATCACACGCGACAAATGGCAATTCGGTGAAAATCTCATTAAACGGCAATCATAGGGCGCAGAAACAATAAAATAATCGTTCGCGCAATAAAAGCCCAGTCGAAGAAATGAATTTTACAGCAACGGTTCTTTATTTCTCCGTCAATGCAAGCAACACAAACAATGCGACCGAGCAGTAGCAAACTCCCACACTAGCAGCAAAATGGCAATACGCAAAAATTCCTACGTACACAATAATTGTTTCGTCTCTATCTTCTTGTTTTCCTATCCCTATTAGGTGACAAAAGAGAGACAGAGAATAGGTTAGAAAAAGACAAAAGCAGTTGACGTTTCGCTATTTTTCTCATTAACCTCGCGCCTCTACATTTATTTGAAAAAGTACATATACGTCGCAATTCCTTTTGTATCGTACGTAAAGGTAAGCGACAGTTTGCTGAAGAATAAATGTATATATAAAGCGGAGAGTAATTTCCCTATACATCGCACGCACAAAGCTGAGCGCGAAAAGGAAACATACTGTTTAGCGCGCCCAGAAGAAATTAGCGAAACAACGGCGATACGATCACGCATACGCACGCACACATTGAGCGCGCCCTCTATAAAAAACCAAACTTACGTATGAATTGTTATTGTGGAGATTGGTTTTTGTTGAATAGTTGTGTAAGGTCTTTTTGTAATATTACCATTTAAAAGGTTTATTAATCGCCGTGTGCGTATATAATACATCGCTGCATATATAAAGAACAAAAGCCAGAAAGATTATGCATATAAAAGATACGAAAAAAGAGAGAAATAATTAGACACGCCGCGATGATGAGGACCGGTAGGCGAGAGATGATACGTTTTTGCAGGTGAATGCATATGACAGTTATACACTAGTTCGTTTAATTTTCAACAAAAATTGAACGACCCGTCCGTGTGAAAATTAAAAAAAACGATATGCTCAGGGCTATGTAGCACGCAGATTAATCTCGCATAGTGGTAACAAAACCAACGTATTCAACGTTCAGTAAAAAAGTGTACACACAAATACGAGGGTTATCATTCGGTAGTGGCGCAAATAAAAGTATATATGTGTCCACGCGTGTGCCAGTGTCGATGTAATAATAATCATGACTTTATGTTATTTTTAATAGAAACCCGTGGTATTCCCAGAGTAATACAAAATAGACATCAGATAGATAACTTATTGGACATTACTGTCAAAAACAGGCGTATAACAAGTAATAAAAAAGAAAAAAAATAGAATTGAAAAAATCACGAAAAATAAGTAATATAGTTCTAGTTTTTATGTGCAGACAGCTTTCACGAAGCTATATAGTCGCGTTATTCACTTTATTTAATCTCATGGCGGCTTTTTATCTTGCGCCACAAAATATTGTATTCCATCCTGTTTTTAGCGTTGAAATAATGTACGCCGGATATGAAATAATGTAAAAGAAAAAGTCGATGATGAGTGTCGTTTCAGTCGTTCAGTGTTATATTCATCAAGACAATGGCATATGTAAATAAAAAAGGATGAACACATTACGCTTTCTTAATTTCAAAAAAGAAAGCTTGTTACACGCAATCAACATCATTGTTCCATCGGTTAAATAGCAACATAATGATTACCATATCAAGAATATATTCATATGACACCAATTAATAAAAGAAGAAAGAATAAATAAAAATAATTATTATAAAAAAGTATATTATACAACAACATAAAAATTATAAGTCGTTGTTGTAATCTCGTTTTTACTTGAAAATTATATAGTGATAATTATCGACATGTAATAACCATTTGCATAAAACTTGTAGCATGCATTTTTTAAAAGTGACTTACATATCTCGCATGACTTTTACTCAATTAAATACGTAAATGATGATATAGAAATGTTATTTTAAAAGTAACAAGTATTGTAGAATTTAAAAATTGTAGTAGAAAACTTAAGAAAACATTGGTATGCTGGGAGAAATGAGAATGAAGTTGGATCTTATGAAATAATTCTAATATACATTTACAGTTGTAGAAGTCAACCGAGTTAGAGATTATTTTTTGGTGAGATAATTTCAATGATTCAGTACTTTTTTTATGATATCAATAGTTTTTTTATCGTAGTCAATAAAATAATACTTTATACATCTCTGACACTAAAATGTCAAGGAAATTAAGTAAAAAACATCGATTAATTCAATAAATATGCATATGACTTACAACGATATTTATTGTTTCCAATCGAAATCATATCTAGATGTGATAACTTAATAATTTAATGGCTTTAAGACTCAAAGTAACAGCTCGAGATTATTAGTGCGACTTTGAGTAATCTTCTAATTTTTCGGGGCCAATTGAAGATGTTGCGGAGAATATGTCAAAAACTAAAGAGCACGCACAAATTATATAGTTGCACGTCAATAAATCTTTCAACCTAAGACATTCGGATACGTTACTTTAACACTTTTAGTTCATTCTTTTCAGTTACAGACAAAAAATAACAACACGTGCAACGTAAGAAATTTCTTTGGATTACATTTTAATATTCTACTATCTTTTTTACTTACATTATATATCTCAAGAAAAAAGGAATCTTTGAAATAGCTATGTAACTATCATGTGTAGTAATTACATATAAGTATACTCTCTAAATAATTATATCAAGTCTTTCACAACTATAGCGAATCGTTAAGTACAACAAATTATTCTGTGAATAATTTTACGTCTTTATATTATTCAATTTCCGACGATAGCATATGTAAGACCCTTTATTCTTTCGCATATATGTCCAAAAACTATCTGTTTGAACTTCGACATATTATATCAAGCTCATAGATTCTTCCTTACAGAATGATTTTAATGAATTATCGAATAATTTAAGAATTTAGAAGATATAGAAACAATCTGAGACTATCTACAAATATTTAAACATTATAATAAATAAATCTATATAAATCATATTTCTTGAGCTGGTACAATGAAAATAATTCATTATATGGTATACATATACGATGCGTTGATATAATTTTTAATTTCTTACTATGGTGGAAATATAACTTTGATTTTATTATATCCATATTAATTGGTCAATTATAAAAACGTATTATAAATTTAACTATATCTATTTTTTCAATCATGCCAATTTCATATTAATAACGTAAATCAATTTTTTTTCATCATTCGCATTTATATGTATTAATATATTCAAAAATATATTATATAATAATACGTTTCTAAGATGAATAATCTATTTAAATTACTTAATAATTTGAAATGAATCATTCAATTTTTAGATTTAATTATTCTTCGAATAATATTGTATTTCTAAGGTATTCCTAAAAGTACGCCAAAAAAAAACTTTCTACATATTTATTTGAATAAAATACTTGAAGCTACATGCAACATTTATCTTATTGATATATGATACTTTATTTTTATGCATTTATGACATTTTAACTATATTAGACTTATACTGGGATATAAAGCCATATTATAAAATTAAGAACATTATTATTTTGAATCCGTCACTATTTGTCAACGTTATTTTTAAATAGTGAAATCAAATCTATTCTACATCAACTTTGGAATATATTTGAATTAGTTTTTGTATATTGTAAATTTAATATATAGTGTAAGATTGTAAATCTCAAATTCAACAAATATTTAAAATATGATTTTTATCTAATTTATTCGAAAAGGTTACACATATCATTACATATATCACGAAATAAATAATGATTTGATCAACGAATAAACTAAATACACGAAACAAGAAAAGCCACAAATATATTGACATACGTATATATGTATAAAGAATCATCTACGTAAAGTTAGAACTCACATCATCAAAATTATTAAAAGTCGATAAGTTAATATTAAATTCTAATCACTATGAGTAATTGAAAGTTCAATATTCTAAAAATATGAAAATTGTTGATTTTTCATAAAATCAGTGCATCATAAGTGTAAAGTGAATATTACTGACTGAAATTTAAATTCTCAGAAGTTATGTAAATTTCTTTGTACATACTCATGAGAAGTAAGTATTAGCACAATTAATATTCAACATCGAACATTTCATAAAACAGTATATTTGAACTAGTTTTCACAAATGTTTACATAATTTTATCGTCTGCTGCACTAGTAAAAAGTAAATGTAATTGCATGAAAGACAATATAGAGTAACATAACGACTCGTTTTAGCGCTTCATTAAGTTCTTTATAAAATGATAGAACAATAAATAAAAAATAAATTTTTTTAATCTAAACATAATATATATCTGTTTTTATCAAAAAAACATTATAATAAAAATCAATATGCACATGTAAGAATGCTGATATCAGTACTAGTTTTTCTTACATTTCCATCATTATTTTTCTGACAATGAATTAATTGAAAAAAAATACGATTACTATGTACAATTACATCTATGATAAAAAATATATGAACACACATTATATATAACAACGTATTGATAATAATCGTGAAAACAGTCTTAAAAAAAGATATAAAAACGCAGAACTCTATAATAAAAAAACTCGTTAAAAATGAGTCATTGTTAAGAATAAGTGATTTTTTGTTATTATTGGTTTTATATCATTTAATACATAGCATGATTAGACATAGATTTAAATAAACAAGTTCTATTCGTCCAGAAATATGCATAGAAATTTATAGGCTGGTATATTTGGCTTTTTCCATATCGCGTCGATTGACGGTTGAAGTTTATATTGTTTCAAGTTATATATCAGTTTCTTTCTCTACATTATGTATTTTGAGTACAGGATATCTACGTGAGGGAAGTCCTCTACTTCCCTTGTTTGGGCTCTTAGTTATTTCTAAGAGGGAGAAGCTGATAGATTATATTAGTTCGCTCTGCAGCAATTGATGGTACCTATTAGTCAACGGGTTAGGCCTTTTTTGACAAACCAGGGTTTTGCGCAGTCATAGTAATAAAAAGTTAATAAGTTGCATTGAAGAAATTGTAAAAGCAAGATTATAAAAAAATCGTTATCACGTATATTATCTGTTATTAAATGAATGAATAGAAATATTGTTATTGTCTAAAATTAAACTGCCGCGGACGGCGTGACGAAATTTATGGCATGTAAAAGTATAAGGTACATTTAATAATAATCATTGTCTTTTCTAAGAAACATTTGTTTTTTTATATTTTATTTTTTCATAAGAATTTGAGTCACATGAACATTTGCTAAAGCTTGTATGAGTAACATATGCAAACTACAGTAAGGAAAAAATTGCATTGATAAAATTTTTATCCGAAAAGAGTGGACATGTCGTATCTTTAGCGATTGTCATAATATTAAAAATGGCTTTGTCTTAAAAAATAGCATTGGGACCTAATCGAGAAAAATATTGTTAAACTGTTGCGAGTTGGATAAAAAAATATTGTTACCTATACAGATGAAAATAACTACGTGATGTATTTGTACGATGGCTCTGTTCGATCATTATACTGGCTAGAAACATAAAATAACAATTCTGTAATTAAAACACGTACGAATTATACAATCTTTCATTCTCGGCATAGAAAATGCATTTTATTATCTTATAATACCTGTATATCAATTTTTCCCGAAAGTTATAGTGAAATAATAGATTTTTACTATAATACACTACAAATATTGCACAGTAACTAATGGTAATATAAAAGTTTTTTAATAAATCATGAAAAATTATAGTATATTCGGAATAAATTCCACAAATTTTTTTAACGTAGAAGAGGACTAAAAATACATCAGCTTTAATGAATAATTTTGAAGATCAGCACAACTGACAGTTTCATCATTAAAACAAATTTTTAATTATTTATAACGATTGCGTATAAAGATATAGAGAGCGTTGAAATACAGTGAAACCTCGATAATTTGAAGTTAGAACAATAACTCTTGAAGCATTTTACTATGTATTTTTACCTTGATAATTCTAAAACTTCTTCAATTATAGTTAATATCCACATACTTGAGTTTTGAATTGTCAAGATTTTGCTGTATAATATTAGTAGCTATTGAAAATATGTTCAACTTGATTAAAATTATTTTGTTCAAACATTACATATTGTTTGCGAGTAATATTTGTATCAATACAATTAACATAATTGAACTCATTGTCTATTATTTCGTGGTACTTCAAATTAAATTTTAAATTATTATTTTATCTAGTATATTTGAAAATTAAGCTTATATTAAGTTCTTATTTTATTGCTTTCAGTTTTTTTTTGTTTTTTTTCAAAAGAAGAAAAGTAAAAGTTGAATACGGAGTGCTTTGTGTTCGAGTAAAAGGCTTTTTCATAAATTTTAAGCTTAAGTTTTATATGCCGAATCATGATTTTCTACACCAATGATAACTTTCCAATTCATGGCTAGACAAAAAATAGTTAAATATTGAGCAACACACTCATAGTCGTTAGATAACAATCTGCAAAATCATGAAATCACGGACATTGATAGAAAGATAAATGTAGCAATCTCAAATTGAACATCATTTTCATATCAGCTTGAATAGAGCAGGATTCAAATGAGAATTAATAATTTTAAAACCAACTGTCTCTCACAACCAACTGTTACAGCCAACTTCGATTGATTTCAAACATTTTATTCATTGAATTCACTCCGAAAGTATATTTCTTAAGTAAGTATATTCAACAAATTTTATTTGTACATATATGAAACAATTATTTTAATATGACATATATCAATCAATTTGTAATTACATGATGCTGAATTACTCTTAGAATATGTAAAAGTGTTTTCAATTCTGGATTGATTTTTGGATTTACATTGCTTTTCCTTGTTATTAAGTGAAAATGGATTGATTTCAATTGCATATAAATTTGTCTGAAAAAAGAAAAATTTAATTTCGAAAATGTAATACAGTGCCGCTCACGCACTTTTACCCCCCCCCCCCCCCCCCACGGGCAAAATCAGTCTAACTTCAAAGTTTTATATCTCTGGTAGAAATTAACGTACAGAGACGCGCGTGGGTGCGTTTGAAAGGTCTTTCGGAGAGCTTTCAAATGATATGACTCACGGTTGCCATCGATTGTTTTTTTAAATTTTGCAACAATTATGCAAAATTGAAAATTCTGAAATTTTTTTATTATTTTTGACAATTAGCCAATTTTGGAAAAAAAATCGTACGAAAATTTGAAGTACACCATTTTTTAGCTATTACCAAGCCCTATCTGAATCACTCATCAAAAAAATTTTTCGAAAAACCAAAAAAAAAATTATTGCAGTATTCTACGTGAAACAACAAACATTTTTTCTCCTATAAATTTTTTTCGATTGTTACAATTTGACGGAGATAAAAAATGTTGAAAAAAACTGTCACTTCCAGGAAAAAATGCCCGTGCGCTCGTCATATTTGACGAAAATAAATTTTTGATGAGTGATTCAGATAGGGCTTGGTAATAGCTAAAAAATGGTGTACTTCAAATTTTCGTACGATTTTTTTTCCAAAATTGGCTAATTGTCAAAAATAATAAAAAAATTTCAGAATTTTCAATTTTGCATAATTGTTGCAAAATTTAAAAAAACAATCGATGGCAACCGTGAGTCATATCATTTGAAAGCTCTCCGAAAGACCTTTCAAACGCACCCACGCGCGTCTCTGTACGTTAATTTCTACCAGAGATATAAAACTTTGAAGTTAGACTGATTTTGCCCGTGGGGGGGTAAAAGTGCGTGAGCGGCACTGTATGTACCTTAAAATACCAAATAAAATTATTCACGAAATAAGCTTCGTCATAACTCGATTTGTCTGAACATTTATTAAAGTATTTACGTATACGTAAAAACATTGCTATTAATATTATGTCTTTACATATGATATCATTTCTAAATTTTTCCTTCATGAAAAGAAATAAATATAACGTTTATTGACTGAAAAACGTTTTTTTTTCCTAAAATGCAAATTACTATTACCAAGTATTTAATTTCTGTTAAATTCAAAGTCCGTATAGGTACGTTTTTGAAAATATCATTTTCATAATTATTAAGTAAAATGAAATTTTTTGACAATCTTTGACAATCATGTAAAATATACATTATTCTAATAAAATGAATTATTATTACTATTAACCTACGTAATTAAATTGTTGAAAAAAAAGAATAGCTAAAATTAATAAAGACATATTGTTATGATTTCAACAATTATAACGAAACAATGATATGTAAATTCACAAAGCCGAATTTCAAGTTTAGAATGAATATATTTTGTACTCAAGAGTTTTCAAATGTTATACTTTTTGTAACAGGCTGCCGTCTAATCAATAAGTCCTTAGATATACCTAAAAGTGACCAGACGACGCCTAGTTATCTATGCGCTCGATGCGCATTAACCTACCTTGTCTCGGAGTGCGCCTGCGCAGAGATTCCTCACGAGTCCGAGTTGGGTTCCCCCAACTCACCGCTTGGCGGCGCTGTCGCCCCTTGCTTGTAGCGCTCGTGCGGTCGCCGCCGGAACCCAAGTCGTCGACTCGCGTCTATCGATAATCGCACGATCCGTGCTACGCAACCGGCGAATTCGAATCCCCTGAAAATAAACACTGGCGCGACCTCCGGACAAAGGAAAGACCAAATAACGACTATTTAACTCGAAAGTAATGATCAACATGCACTTTATTGATGCAATTTAACTACACGGGAGTTTTGCCGAGAGACTTTCGCACGCTCGCGTGAATGACAAGACACGCTATTTGAGAGAGAGAGAAAAAAACCGCGATTACCGCGAACTACCTGCTCGCACGCAATAGATAAATTCTTCGCGCTCGCTGCGCGGATTCGCACGCAAATTATAACAGCGATTGACAATGGGAAGAAGGTGCACCTACCGCAAGGACGATGTGGATACGGTGGCCAACCGTATCCGAATAACACGCTGTTACTAAGCTGCTCCGCTGCTTGCGGTACCACCTCGATTTCTGTTGCTGCTGTTGTTATTGTTGATGCTGTTGCTGCTGATGCTACTATTGCTGTTGCTGCTGCTGTCGCTGTGGCTGCTACGAGCACACCGCACCAAAGTTCGCACTATCACCAGGAACCAAAACAATGCACGAAACTTGAACGGCTCAAAAATAGGTTAGGCGCACGAACTGACTGAGTGGCACAGTCATACTGCCGGTCGGAGCCTCCCCTCCCGGTCATTGCCCCTTACGCTCTCTCTCTCTCTCTCACGGACCGAACGCGGCTCCTCTCGCTTAGCCGCTCGCTAACCTCGCGCGAGTCTACGATTTTCGGTAATCGTTGCATTTTTTATTAATATTAAAAAATCGATTACACTCAAACGTATTCTATTTTATGAAAGGATACTATCGGTTCTACTATTCCATCACATGGCTTTGAAATGGTGTCATAACTAACTTATTATAATATGTCAAGAAATAAGAAAATTTTTAAACCAATAGATATGAAATGCTTATTTTAATAGACGACTCTGCTTTAATCACAGGTAAGTATTATGCAGTCTGACATTCTTTTTGTAATTAACAAATATTTTTATCAGCATATGTTACCCTGGTTGAGATGGTATAAAAACTATTAATGAAAGTCGGTCAATATTAATGAAAGTCAGTCATAATCAACCTATTGATCATATTAAAAGAATCAGAATGAATAATATCCTCTTTAAAATATTTCTGTATTATGAAGTATAAACTTTAAACAATTCAACCTATGACTTATTTTAATCCATATTCTAGGTAGTTTGAAATATCAGTACAACTGACAGTTGCATCATTGAAGATGTGTTTTAATTATATTCAAAAAGTAATTTAATTTAAATATATTACATTGTTGGTATGAAAATGTTATGAAAGTACCTTTCTAATAAGTTAAAGTATCGTAAAGTGTCGAAAATTTAAGTGCATCTTGATTCGTCTGAGCAATCTTTAAAACATTTACGTAAGCAAAAGTAGATTAATATAATAAATATAATAAATATAATAATAATAATTAATGTATTAATTAATAAATATAATTAATTAATAATTAATTAACTAATTATTTCTCAAATTCACACTTGATAAAAAGGAAATAATTGGCAGCAGAATTTTCGGAGTTAATATAATATTTACCAAATATTTCATTCTTTTTGAATGTAAAGTTCGCATGGATACATTTTTGAAGACTTTATTTTCTCTATTTTGTAGGCGGAATGGAAATGATTATTTCCATATTGAATATTAAATTTTTTAAATTTTATGATATTATATACGCTATAGAATTTTGTTGGCTAAAGTCGGACTTTAAAGAAATTGCCAATTTAATAACTTAAGATATATAAAATTGTCATGAAGTTTTAGTTATCATTATCGCGTTCATACGTTAGCAGTTCCTTTTAATATTGCACTCGTTTCTACTGTAAATAATCATATATATTTTTAAACTTTACTTATTGTAACTTAAGTTATCTCTGCAAATTTACAAAATAACTGTGACATATCAATATTGGATATAAAAGATTTATAAAGTATATGAGTTGATTGAAGGAAGCATAAGTTTTACATCGGCAACTGACCGACTTTCATTAATTAACTAAAATATTATCTAAAGATTTGAATAAAACTAAATAATATCCTCATACCCGTCAATTGAAACATATACTTATCGATGTACCTATCGTAAATTCAATTATCCCCGATAATCAATCTCTAATACGTATATATACATTCATGCTTATAATGGCAGCAGTAGCAGTGAATCCTCTCGCAGATACAAGATATAAAGGGGGAATGACAATGACAGCGATATACGAAAAACAAAGAGAATCTCTTGAGATACATTAACCAACAGATGAATGATGTTAGCCGCCGCAATGCATACATACATATATTGTACAGAGTGAAACAAAGACCGGTGTGTAAGGCGTGGAAGGTAAACAATCGGCAGCCAATCGCGAAGAGATACGGACCAACCCCTAAAGCTTTGGAGGCTGGCCGAGATTGCGCGCTTTATATCTTGCTCGCCTCGTTACTTTCGCAACTACTTTTGCCGTGGATTTAGTCGCTGTCGCGTGCTGCTTATCCTATTTTTCTCGGCTTTGTGGATGTAACAAAAGGATTTTCAATTTTGATCATTTCATCAATGATTATTATACGATATAAGTTTGATTCGTTATTAAGTCGTTAGCTTTTCGAAGATATTTTGCTATGTTTAACGTCCATTTTTCACATACTACGTTTACGAGTTTATCAAAATTATCGCTTTAAAATACATTAATTTGTCGAGTAGATTAATAATGCTACGAAACAAGGTGAAAAAATCAGAAGTGGAAGAAGAGAATAGCAGTGAATCGAAGCAGCGAAGACCGAAATGCGCTAGATGCAGAAACCACGGATTGATTTCGTGGTTGAGGGGACACAAGAGAGAATGTCGTTACCGCGAATGCATGTGTCCAAAATGTTCTCTCATTGCGGAGAGACAGAGAGTAATGGCTGCGCAGGTAAGAATATTTCATTACCTATGCGTGCTCTCCTAAATTAACGATTAAATTTATTAATCGTTGTGTTCTTGCGTTCAGTTGTGATTCTTGCTATAATTCTATTTATTTATAAATAAAATGTCCAAAGTATAAAAAATTCTTTATAATACTCAGAATTCATTTAAATTCTGTTCTTGATAAAAATGGTCAATTCATCACAGCTCTTCATTAATCTATGTCCAATTGAATGTAAAAATAAAGCTATGACAAAGGAAAGGTATATAATGCTCTCGTAGACTAAAAAGTTGTCAGTCAAGTCGAGGGGTGGTACAAGCAAACGTTTCAATCCGCGAGACGAACTCAAATCCATTAACGCGGCGTTGACTTTCATTTCTGTTTACATAGGCATTATGATACCCGATCTATTTTCGATAGGGGTGCTGCTTGATGACTTATCTTCTTGTGTGACGCACTTGAGGCCACGCTGCGTTAACTTGTCACGTAATATTTATTGACGGGTAACATATTTTTAACGATTTTACATTGATAGGAATTAGTTACGAGCAAGCATTTTTCCTCCATTACTTGTATTTTTTGAAAATTGAAAATTAAACAAGCTAAGTGTTGTTCAATACGACAATGAAAATCGTTAATATGATGAAAAATAGTATGCATATTGTATACTGTTTTTTTACTTTGAAGAAAAATATGAATTATTTTTGAAAATTTGCACAACAAAGTGAACTTTTAGGTAGCATTAAAACGACAACAAGCTGCCGAAGATGCCATAGCACTGAGTATGGCCAAAGTGACAACGGGTACTAAATTGAATCGTTTACCTCCTGGAAAAATTTTTGGGATGACAGTGACGGAACCCGACACAGTTCCAAAAATGAATGTTGATACGTCTAACACTAGTGCCAAGCCAATCTTCACTGATTTCAAAGCGCATTCTCAAAAAGAACATGCCGATCAAGAAAAAAACAGTTCTCCTAAAGTTTTAATAAAAGCTTCACAAGTACGAACAATTTTTAGACCAACTACATAATTTTTGTCATCATTTATTTGTATATTGATTCTTATAGTCATCCGAAGAAAAATCAGACGAGCCGTCACAACCTCGAGCCGATTCGGAGAATAAATCATCCCCAGCAACAATCTCGCAAGCATCAATCGACACCTTAGCTCGTCTTTTTCCTGGTACCAAATTATCAGTATTGCAACTGGTACTTCAACGCTGTGGTCAAGATCTACTCAAAGCTATTGAGTATTTCGCGAGCGACAACGAACGTGGATGCTCAGCTTTTAAACCACCTGCTGAATTATGTCAGACGGTATCGCAATCGAAACATCAGCCGGTGGTTGAAACAGCTGCACTCCCTGTAGAGAGGCAACCTGAAAGTTTTGCTCTGCCGCCGATTTGTTCGGCCAATTATCATGCTGACGCCTCGCTTGTGAGTTGGTTTAGAAATTAATTTACTTATTTGACTGAGTATTATTTATAAATAGCCTAATTGTAGAATAAATATACTCAACAATTGTAAAGCGTTGTTAAATGCTATACTGTAATGCATGAGTACAATCGATCTTTTTCCAGCAAGGATGTTGTTTCGTGAATGTTGTTTCTGATTCGATGCCGAGAAGCCTTGAGGTCTACACTGGCTTTCCACTCGGTAAACAAACGAGCTACGAATCAAGCTTCTTCGATGCTGGTCTACAACCATCTCAACAATCTCAATTAGCTCAAAGACCCGTATTTCATTTGCCCTCGTTTATACCAAGAATACCATGTGTGCAACCAAATTGTTTGTTGTGTTATAAGTTTTCATAGTCTGTTCATTTTATATTTTTATTTCTGTTTTCAAAATTAATTATTATTTATTTTATTAGATATTTAGCGGTTTTTTAATTTATTATTCATTGATTAAAGTAAGCTTTTGTTTATTGAGAAGGTGGTCTATTGTGGTCAACAACTTTTAATTAAAAAAATGAAAAACTATTATCAAAAAGTGATGTTATTTTGAAAACGTAATTAACTAGGAACCTGAAGACATAATAATAAAATTAATAATTAGCATTGAAAAATTTCATATAGTAATTATTATATAAACAAATATTTCTATTCTGTGAATTCTTTTATTTCTATATAACCACATTCATGTGTCTGCATAATCTTTCGTATTGTTATCCATTCTTCTAAATTCATATAAACATTTTCTTTACGATTCAAATATATTCTATAACACATTTTTTTATTTAATTTTTATTCATTGGACGTACGATATATTTTTAATATCAGAATATTTTACTATGATTGCAGCAATTTAAAGTGAAAGTCTGATTGAAAAGAGTGTAATATATACGCATCAAAGCGTATAATATAAGACAATAAAGATCAGGAAAAAGATAAAAAGATAATAGAAGAAGATCCAAGCCAGAGGTTTCGGAGAGATCGCAATTGAATGTGTAAACTTACAAAACTATACCGTATGAGGTAAATAAAAAAAAAGGATAGAGAACATGAGAGACAGGGAGAAAGAGAGAGAGAGAGAGAGAGAGAGACACACACACACACACAGCCAGACAGAGATGGAAAAAGAGATAGGTAAGAGAGCAATCGAGTTAACAAAATTCGATCGGATGTATAAACAAGTAGAAAAAGCCCGCGAGGGTTTACTTTTACGATTCGGCCGCGTTGCGCGGCTATCGAGCATGAGCGAGAAATAGAGCGAAGTTGATCTGGAGAATAAAGCCTCGACCCTAAAGGTCCTCAGGCCTGACTTTTATCAGCATTCCGTGACTTGAATTTAACGAGGTGAGATATATGCCTACTTTTATTTATACGTACCGTCTTTTCAATTTTATTACTGTCGCATTAATATAATTGTCTAATTTTTATTTCATTTTTATCTTCATAACTTTGTTTCAAAATTTAATTTTTTTCCAATAAGCAGTATTTTACTGCTATAAATCGAGATTTACTTGCCATCACTATATTATGAAAATGATTTACAAACCTGAATCTATAAAAATTCTATTTAATTGAAGATGTATATAATATACGTAAAAACTATCTGAACAATATATTAATAAGCAACATTCGTGAAAGACCAGCAGTGACGCAAAAAGAATAAAAAGGCCTGAAAAAATACACACGCAATCAGATGGGTCCGTGGATTATAATTGAGTAGTTAATTGCGTTCACACTGGAACGCTTGTAGATTTCCAAAAAGAAAGCGCCATCTATCTATTTGGCAGAGGCAACTCACAGTACACTGTACAGCATGTTGTGTCGGATAGGGTACTTGTTAAAGCCAGTCCTGAATAACAAATGTGCATTCTTGCCAAATAGTTTTACAATGAAAAATAACGATGATTAGTATTTTAATGTAGAGAAGGACTCTTTGACTTTTAAAAGGTGATCTATTGTGATCAACAATTTTTAATTCAGAAAATGAAAAACTATTGTCAAAAAGTGATATTATTTTAAAACCGTAATCGTCTAAGAACCTAAAGATATAATAAAATTAATAATTACTATTGAAAAATTTCATATAGTAATTATTATATCAATAAATAGTTCTATTCTGTGAATTCTTTTATTTTCATATAACTACACTCATGTTACTAAGCAATAATAAATGTTCTTCATTTATTTTTGCCTATTCATCGTATAACTACGGCAAGAACTGTTGATAGTAACCATACACGCGTCGCACGCAAAATTTAGTGGGATCAATTGTTGATCGGTAGAGTTTTATTTTTTATAACAATAATTTATCGAGATATATCAATCTTTTACAAGCTTTTTGAATACATTAACACGAAGATCGGACACAAAGATCTAATAACAAGAGAAGAATAAGAATAACAAGATTAAATTTGAGAAGTAGTGGACGCAAATTTAAAAATATTATCTGCAAACGAAAAGGTGACATTTTCGGTGATGGATATTAATTTAAAATTCAAGAATGAATTCAATTGATTAAAATGTTTAAATATGAAAAAAATTATAAGACTCATTTTATTAGTTTTTTATAATTCCATAAACGTTTTGATGTACAATTTATTGACAATCATGAAATAATTAAGTTGAATTTCAAATGTTATTAAATATAAGCTAATCTTTGCCATTTATGCTAGTTGAATCGTGGAGAAATAATTTGCTGATTAAAATTTTTCAAGATCATCCTATATAATGGTTGAGATTCAATTATCAATTCTTAGATCAATTATCAACAACAAATTGTACGTTTAAGCAAAACTGAATATAAGAGAAATTAGTGTTTAATTTTTTCAAACGTACGTAAATAAAAATTGAAAACGGAAATTTTTTGCACTTTGCAAATAAAATGCCAATAAAAAGAAATTCTAAACAAAATTAGTTCGAAACCTTTAATAAGACGGTGTAATCACATGTAATCCAAATTCTCATTTTATTCGATAAAAAATATAAATTCATATTGAAATCATCGATTAAGTTCATAGTTGTCAAAAAATTAATTTACTGACAATAAGATGACTAATTCATACCACGGAGTTTAAATTTACTTGACGATCCAAGTCTGAATATCGGCCAAAAATCGCAAAGGCTAATATGTTATTTTTAGGTTTCTTCAATTGGAGCTGATATGTTGAAACGTTACCAAAATCTAAAGATCCTAAAGAAAAATCGGTGGCATTAAAGGGAATCATTTTTTGCGAGTATGTTGAAGGCAATACAAAAATATTGTCATTAGTAATATTTGGCGTTGATATTTTCAACGATGTAAAAGTTATCGGTGTGATAGTTTTTTTGTTGTTATGAAAAATAATTCCGCAGCTATCTTTGGTGTCATTGGCACAAGCTATTATGGCACACGAGTTGATTCCCTCCAAACCGAGGTACTCTTCGTACTGAGTTTTATTTACAGCTCCAAAACGATATCTGGAAATCGATTATCAAAAATAATCAAATGTGTTATAAAAAATGAATGTGCTCATGTGAAAATATCATAAAAATCTAAAAATATTCATATAACTTACCGATAATACTGTGAACCATTTGTGATGCTACTTTGATCAAAGTCAATCGTTAATTCAAAATCACAGCAAAATGATCGGTCGCAAACGGTTTTGCTTTGGGATTTATCGTTGAGATTAATTAATTCCGTTGAAAATAATTTTAAGAACGGATCAACTTTATAATGTTCTTTAAGGATAACGGTTTCTTCAGTAGATATTTCTTCCTTCGTGAATTCATAAACGTGCACCTTACTTCTATCAATACTTCGCGTGCGCTGTCCTTTGATTACTTTTGGTATTTCAGCTACCAAGAGAATATTCGATCTTTTGTTCTTTGATATAACATCTATGTAACCCTGTTTACCTAGATAGATACCGGAACCTTGAATTATAATAAATAATCGACTAGTTCTTGTAATTTGATAATGTAGGTAAATAAATAATTAGCTACATTACCAGTGTTATCAGTATCTGGACGGCTAATGCCCGAAGCTAGTAAATTAATATCAGTTCCATAGGCAAAACTAGCTTGTATCTCAGTAGCAAAGAGGAAAGGCGATAAATTGAACCAGTGCGTTGGATACAGAATGTCCGTGACAGCGAGATCACGGATTAAGGTTAGTGCGGGTGTCGGGAACTGTATATCGAAGCAGATGAACGTTCCAAAAGTAACTCCAAAGTCTGTGGTGAATGCCGTAGGAATTGATTTGGTGCGGTTTACCCCGACCTCATGGAATAAATGATATTTTCGATATCTAGCAATTACTTTGCCGTTTCTATCGAACGCTACGTTTGTATTGTAGATTAACAAACCATCGTTCGGGCAACCATTTCCAGGAGTACAATCCACTTTTTCCCGATGATTTACTAATACGTAGATCTGATAATCTCTCGCTGCGCACGACATACTTCTAAATGACTATATTTCAATGAATATTTTGCTTTGTCGGCTCTTTTATTGTTAATTATATCATAAACTTACGTATTCATAAGGTCTGGATTTGTCAATGCACGGAATTATATTGTCGACTGGATCTGGGATGTATGAGGCTAGATGACTTCGGGTGAATGTGACATTTTTGTACGAAGATATTGTGAGACTAGATTCCGGAAATACTATTATATCTATTGCCTCAAAACACATGTGAAATTATTCTTTTTGTCAATGTTTTCTATGTATAGTTATTAAGGAATATTAACATTCGCATCGACAAAAAAAATATAAATAAATTTACACACGGTGAACAAATTTTCCTTATCAGCGTCACAGTGAATAGTAATTAAACAATTGAATTATTTTCACTGTTCACAGTAGCTAAACATAATATGATGCTAATGATGTGTGTGTGTGAGTGTGTATGTACGTGTACGCACGTGTGTGTGAATATTATTATGCAATAAATTAAAAATTTGAAAATACTGGTTACGATTCCAAATAAGATATGTTGACACTTACATAACTAGCAGCTTTATCAATAATTTTCAAATAATTTTCCGCGTTCAACTGTCCTAGATTTTGATTATCCATTGAATAAATAATAGGACTATATTCAACAACAGCTGCCATATAACTTGAATCATAATGAGAACGCTGTTGTGGATAATGTTCTTCATGATAAATTATTGCATTTTCATTTTTTCCATGTAAATTTTCTCATCAATTACCTGAACTGTTTTTGTCTGCCACCATAACAACATTAAAGTAATGTGCAACTTCATCTTTAATACTGTTTAAGAATTTTTAAATATTTATTTTGACAAAAATTACAACTAAAATCTTCAAGGCGTTAAACTATGAATGGTTTAATCTTGAAGAATTATTTTCATTTTTCTAAATAAACAGCGCAAGGTAATTTACCTAATGGTTTGAGGAAGTTATTAAACTATACCTAATTATTTTATAATGACATGTTATATTACTTGATAAGATATTGAGTAAAATTAATGTAGTATAAAGAGTAACCTTTGACAATTTTCGTATATTGTAATATATTCAAATATTTCTCTTGTTCTAGAAAGAATTTTTCCTCAACAGAGGTGCGAAATATATATCGTTTTCATAAAAAATGTTGATAAACATAAAAAAATTACTTTTAAAAAAGTGTATTTTAATTTTCAATTGATTTTAGTAATTACATCTCGGTAAAATTTGTACATCATTTAAATGAATAAGTATTTTGCATAAACTATAACCAGTTACTTTAATCTAACTTTTATCTGAATTATTAAAGACGCATTTTTTTCAAAAGTAAGTGGATTCAACATCGAACATTATACGGCTATATTAACGAAATACTAAGAAAAATTTATCTGTATGAAAATGCAAATTCAACTTGCTATGTGCTCTCTTGGAAAAATTTAATTTGGTTGGTAAAAAACATCGCTAATGACATGGCTATTTCATGAATAATAATTTGATTCTAATACAATTTCTAATAAAACATGATATTGCATCAACTTAAAAATTATTAATTTCGCATTATCGTACAATACGCTTGTAAAGTTATTCATTGCTTAGTTCTAATTTATAATTATAACCGTTTTAAAAAAAGGAATAATTAACAACAATAATTGCCAACAGAAGTACTGGTGAAATTGTAAGTATGTTTGAATTATTAGGAGTAATTTCAGTACCATCTTTAGAAAAATCACGGCCGTAAATAGCAAACGTCTGTAAATTATTAACTGGCTTTGTTAATGCCATATGATAAGTGGAATATTGGCCTGGATTAGTTGAAATAAAAGTGAAGTCTGTTACATTGAGTGGAACTAGTTTTTGCGAAGTTATAGGCATATATAAAGTTATAGGCATGAAAAAAATGTTCTCGTTGGTCTTGTTAAACGATGATATTTCCAAGGTTGTGAAAGCTATTGGTGTAATAGTCTTGATATCAAAAAGATGTCCACAGCTATTAAGAGTATCGTTAATGCAGGCGATTATTCCGCAAGTTTTGATTCCACCTGTAGCCACTCCGTTAAATGTGCGAGTTCCATTGAAAACTGCAAATCGATAGCTGTAACGTTATATTAAATATTTGAAAATTTTTTTTTATTATTAATATGTCGCATTCTCAACTTAATAATGTGTTATAACAATTTCAACCATATATATTTTTAAGCTCTATACTTACTGGTAATAGTTGGAATTATTTTTAGTACTTGTTTCATCAAACGCAATTTCCACTTTAAAATTGCAACAAAAACCTCTATCACAAATGGTCTTATTGTAATTTCTTTGTTTGATATCAATCAATTCCGTTGAATAAACGGATAAATCATCTGTTATATAACGCCATTCTTGATCATTGGCATTTTCACTAGTGCTTATTTCTTCGTTTGAAAACTCATAAATTTGCACGCTATCTCTATTCACATTTTGCGTTCGCTTTCCGTTGATTACTTTTGGGACTTCAGCTACAACAAGTATATTGGACCGCTTATTTTCTGATATCACTGCTACGTGCCCTTGTTTGCCTATATAGATACCTGCACCTGTTACATGAATCACAATTATCATATTAATCATGCATTCGAAATAATCGTCTTCATAAATCATGAGTATTTATAAAGTATGAGCATACAGAATATGCTGAATATCTTTTAATGCTCACTTTGAAAAAGTTACATTTATTTTTAAATGTAAATGTTAAGGGGACCAGAGGGTGTTTCGTAGTGAAAAATTAACACTTTGTTTATTGCCGCGTAGAAATCATTCTACTGAAGATATCGATGTAGGACTTTTTTCAGCTGAAAGTATTCTATATAAGCTTTCATTTTCTTTGTTATAAGTTCCAGAATAATCATTGTACACCTAATATGGACACAACAAAGACCAAGCTCTATTTTTCAAAAAATGGGGCTTTGCCACGCCTTTCTGAACGCCAGAGTGGACAAAAATCGTTTTGTGAGAGCTCATTTTTTTTGTTATGAACCGGACTACAGAATGAGCGGAGCACTTTTATAAAAAAGATAATTTTTCCTATTTTTTGAGGATAATTTGCAAAAAAAATTTTTTTGAAAAATTAAAATTTCATATATTGGCTCAAAAAAATAGGAAGAATTATCTTTTTTATAAAAGTGCTCCGCTCATTCTGTAGTCCGGTTCATAACAAAAAAAATGAGCTCTCACAAAACGATTTTTGTCTACTCTGGCGTTCAGAAAGGCGTGGCAAAGCCCCATTTTTTGAAAAATAGAGCTTGGTCTTTGTTGTGTCCATATTAGGTGTACAATGATTATTCTGGAACTTATAACAAAGAAAATGAAAGCTTATATAGAATACTTTCAGCTGAAAAAAGTCCTACATCGATATCGTCAGTAGAATGATTTCTACGCGGCAATAAACAAAGTGTTAATTTTTCACTACGAAACACCCTCTGGTCCCCTTAATTCTAGTATGATAACGTATTGCCTTAACAATCTAGAAATTCGGCGTAACAAAAAAGCTAAAAATAAAGATTACCTCCACTAGCGGTTTTTGGATAGTTATAACTTGATGCGAGAAAATTGACGTCATTAGCGTAAGCCCAAGCAGCCTGTGCTTCAATAGCGTAAAGATAAGGCATTTCAGAGAACCAATGTGTCGAATAGAGTATATCAGTGACTTTAAGATCATGGGTCAAGTTCAATGTAGGCTTTTGAAAGAGTATATCGAAGCATATGAAAGTGCCAAAAGTTACACCGAAATCCGTGTCGAATGTCGTGGGTATCGCCTCAGAAATATTTTTCTCGTACTCGCCGAAAAGATTATACTTTCGGTACCTTGCGATCACTTTACCCTTCCTGTCGAAAGCAACGTTCGTATTGTAAATGAGGAAACCATCAGTCGGGCAGCCTTGTCCGAAAGTGCAATTGACCTTCTCGCGATGATTTATTAGTACGTAAATTTGATATTCTTTTGCCGCACATGATATAGCCTTTAGTGACTGCAACAATAAAATAGAGATCGATTGGCATTATTAGGATTTTAAACAAAATAGTTTTGTTGTCAATTTGAATATACATACGTACATATTCGTAAGATTCAGATTTGTCATCGCAAGGGCTAATTTTATCGGCTGGGTCTGGAATGTAGGATGCACCCTGACTTCGTCTGACTGTTTCATTTTTCGCTGTGCTAATCGAAAGACTAGATTCTGGGAAGACGATTATGTCTACATTCTGCAATTTTTAAAGTTTCTTCTTTTATTTATTTAAAAGTCTAATATCTCTATTGACGACGTTCAATTATGTTATTTTGCAATGTTATCTTTCGAATGGTAAAAACCATATTCATAAAATCAAAATTAAAATACACGTTGCCATTCACTTTGCAGGATAATTTCCATAAACAAAATGTATAGAATTGAAAAATGAACATTTATTAAGTGTATGTGAGATACCGATTTGTGTATCACAAAATTTTTTTTATTCATATCTCTAACAACATTTTTTTGTCTAACGGTAATAGAGCTTATTTTCTAAGTGATTTGCAATTATTAATATAAGTATGATACAATACATAATTCAATGTATAGTAGTAATACAGTATAAATAAAGCTGGCGTATCGACGTGTATTAGAATAAGAAATGTAAATTTTCATCTACAATTTTTTTCTAAAATATTAAAAAATATATTGCTGAAGTAGCAGCAATTTTAATATTGCGTTTTTAATATTTACCTGACCGGATGATTTTCTTAGTACTGAGTACTTTTAATAAAAGTTCCATGTATATATATATATACATACTTACATACGTAATAGCTGTAGCTAAAATTTTCAAGTAATTTTTTGCATTCAATTCTCCTAAATTTTCTTCGTTTGGTGAAGTAACAACAGGGCTATATTCTACAATTCCTGCCACGTATGTCAATGAACTATTATCGGAAACCTATTGAAACGTGTAATTTATTGAATATTTCCTTGCATTATTACAGTAGGAGTTTCTAGTTACATCTTACTTGTAATGTGCTGCTTGGCCATAAAACCAGAATAAACATTATTCTTTGAAACATCATTTCCATTTAGGTAATCTGTAATCAATCAATTTGATATATATAATTATCGAGTAAATAATTTATAAAACTCTCAATTTTATTCATATGAATAATATTCTAATTTGACTTTTAACTTTTTAACAACAAATTTGCAAAGTATGAACGATTATTTCATTACTGTGGCTTCCTGATCACTAAAACGTGTTTTCCATCGGTCAGGATTCATAGCAACTGGTACATTTTCAATGTAAGTTAGTAAATCAGGAGATAATCCAGATATGTCTAATTTTTAAGTATTATCTGATAAGATAGAGTCAGACAGATCATGACAATTAATAATGTGTAATCAATACGTCTATATACATGTTTTATGAAAAAGTTACAATAGGAAAAAAAAAGCATAAATGGTATTTTTCCTACATAAGAATGACATGTGTCTTAAACATAGGCGGTGATAAGCTATATCTGGGCGTTACATTTTTTGTAGAAACTATAAATAAGTTTTATAACATAAACATTTGATTTTACTAAGAAACGTTTATATCGAGCAGTGGGTACAGTTTACTTTTGACCAATGCCCTCGTCAGCTCTTTTTTATAAGCAGTAATGGTTATTTCGACTTCGACAAATAGTTACAATGAGTTCGCGATTAAGGTTACATGATATAAACCAGGGTCTGACTACAGATATTAGACGCGCTTCGCGCACTTTATTGTTATTTTTCTGTTTTATAGCTCTCTCTCTCTCTCTCTCTCTCTCTCTATATATATATATATATATATACAGTGCCGGTCAGCCACTTTTACCCCCCCACGGGCGAAATCAGTCTAACTTCAAAGTTTTATATCTCTGGTAGAAATTAACGTACAGAGACGCGCATGGGTGCATTTGAAAGGTCTTTCGGAGAGCTTTCAAATGATATGACGCACGGTTGCCATCGATTGTTTTTTTAAATTTTGCAACAATTATGCAAAATTGAAAATTCTGAAATTTTTTTATTATTTTTGACAATTAGCCAATTTTGGAAAAAAAATCGTACGAAAATTTGAAGTACACCATTTTTTAGCTATTACCAAGCCCTATCTGAATCACTCATCAAAAATTTATTTTCGTCAAATATGACGCGCGCACGGGCATTTTTTCCTGGAAGTGACAGTTTTTTTCAACATTTTTTATCTCCGTCAAATTGTAACAATCGAAAAAAATTTTATAGGGGAAAAAATGTTTGTTTTTTCACGTAGAATACTGCAATAATTTTTTTTTCGGTTTTTCGAAACATTTTTCTTTTCGGTTTTTTTCAATTTTTTTTTCTCACAGTCGGTACGCTAAAAAGATGAGAAACCACAAAAAAAATTTTTTTCCACCCATTCAATAATACTACATAACAAATATCGTAAATTACATAAAAAAAAAATCTTTTTTTTTCGACCTTGAAAAATAATTTAAACCGAAAAAAAAAATTTTTCGAAAAACCGAAAAAAAAATATTGCAGTATTCTACGTGAAAAAACAAACATTTTTTCCCCTATAAAATTTTTTTCGATTGTTACAATTTGACGGAGATAAAAAATGTTGAAAAAAACTGTCACTTCCAGGAAAAAATGCCCGTGCGCGCGTCATATTTGACGAAAATAAATTTTTGATGAGTGATTCAGATAGGGCTTGGTAATAGCTAAAAAATGGTGTACTTCAAATTTTCGTACGATTTTTTTTCCAAAATTGGCTAATTGTCAAAAATAATAAAAAAATTTCAGAATTTTCAATTTTGCATAATTGTTGCAAAATTTAAAAAAACAATCGATGGCAACCGTGCGTCATATCATTTGAAAGCGCTCCGAAAGACCTTTCAAACGCACCCACGCGCGTCTCTGTACGTTAATTTCTACCAGAGATATAAAACTTTGAAGTTAGACTGATTTTGCCCGTGGGGGGGTAAAAGTGGCTGACCGGCACTGTATATATATATGTAACATGACGTAAATAATTTTGTTATCTGTTATCTGTTGGTGGTATAGTAATATTCTGTTATCATATATAATCATAATTTTAGTCAATAGCAGTGGTTTTCTAGGATCTCAGTAATAATCACCGTTTAGATGAAGGTAACAATAATAGAGGAAATTTAGTACTTTATTTTGCAAAACTCTTTTTACAATTTTTCCTTTTGCCTAAGCCAAGATTTCACAGCATTCCCTCTCTTGCTCCCTGCTAGCAGCGAGGGCGTCGCTATCTTGGGGCCTTTCGTTTTGTATTGCTTGCCCCCTGATCGCCCTACCGCCAGACAGTCTCGGCTAGCCCCAAGCGGAATCGAGTCCGCAGATGACCTTCAAGACCCTTTCTGTATTGTAGGGTCGAGTGCAATCTTGAAGACGAATCTTCGAACTACCTGGGCGGGAGGTCCAAAATCTGTTGCTGCGTCAGCGCACACATAGGCGATTACCGCACTGCATAGACACGTGCCTTTTATGGTTTAATGATCTGCGCACGTCTAAGGGCTGCCCCATCACCTTCCTTACTCTTCGACAGGGTTTCCTAGCAAGCTTATCTTACGAGGGTCGCTTGAAAAGTCCGTGCAAACTCAGAGATTATTCATATTCCACAACGTAGGCCAAGCAACAGGGCTTGAAAAGAGTGATTTCGTGACAAAAATACTACCTGGAAACCGAGTGTGCAATCGTGTGCAGATAAGTTGAGACATTATTGGTGTTATGTTTTGGACACGCAACTCCTGTCACCCTATTTGTTATAAACATTTTAAACGAAAAAAAGGCATTTTTTTTAGTTTTTTGTTAATAACTCTGCGAATAATGTAGCGATGTTAATGATATAGGTACACAAAATGTAGGTAAAACAATTACGAACAAAACTAGACCTCGAGCGACAAAATCGGATAATTAGGAACCGAGGAAAACCCGGAAAAGTGGCGAAATTTAACATTTATTTAAAAATTCATATCTCCGTCACTTTTTATTTTGTAGGACTGAGTCTCTGCGAAAATGTAATGTTATTTATGTACTTCATGTGTGCCAAAAGCTGACGCTGTGAAGTAAATAGTTTTCATGTAATCGTAATTTCAGTTTTTCTAAGCGATATTTTTCATCATCTCTCCTTGCGACAGTGATTTTTTCATCTTAAATTTGAAAACGGTTTTAAAAAATGCAGATTCCACCCAACAAAACGTATATTCTAGTTTTTCACTTAAATTTTTGCAAGTGTGTGATAAATGCCGGGAAAGTCGACTAAAAACGGCTGAGCGCACGGAAACGTTCGAGTGGTGGGGGAAGCAGCAGCCGAGGAGAGGCACACATAGTAATAGAGGCGCGCTGCGCCCTCTTATAATTTTTCCATCTCAATATCTCTGCAACCATAAATGTTATCTTAACAATTTTTTTTTTATTTCGGATCTACTGAACTCCGGGAAATCAAATATTTATTTAGAATTCGTAAATAATAAAAGGCTAAGCATAAATTGTTGAAATTAAAAAAAAATTTAACTTAATTTTATCGGTAAAGAAATAAATGATTGTGAAAATATGCAGAGAGAAAGTATAAGAGAGAGGGAGAAATAGTATTCCATTGGAAGAGAGAAAGAGACAGAGAGAGAGAGACAGAGAAAGAGAGAAGGAGAGAGATAGATGAAAAGAAAAGGGAATGGGGGCTGGACCAAAATCCAGCTTCGTAAACATAATGACAACATTTATTTTGAAGAACATCGGAAAGTAATTAATTTATTGATTATTTATAAATTCTAAATAAATAATTGATTTCCCGGAGTTCAGTAGATCCGAAATAAAAAAAATTGTTAAGATAACATTTATGGTTGCAGAGATATTGAGATGGAAAAATTATATGAGGGCGTAGCGCGCCTCTATTACTATATATGTGTGCCTCTCTTCGGCTGCTGTTCCCCCCACCACTCGAACGTTTCCGTGCGCTCAGCCGTTTTTAGTCGACTTTCCCGGCATTTATCACACACTTGCAAAAATTTAAGTGAAAAACTAGAATATACGTTTTGTTGGGTGGAATCTGCATTTTTTAAAACCGTTTTCAAATTTAAGATGAAAAAATCACTGTCGCAAGGAGAGATGATGAAAAATATCGCTTAGAAAAACTGAAAATACGATTACATGAAAACTATTTACTTCACAGCGTCAGCTTTTGGCACACATGAAGTACATAAATAACACTACATTTTCGCAAAGACTCAGTCCTACAAAATAAAAAGTGACGGAGATATGAATTTTTAAATAAATGTTAAATTTCGCCACTTTTCCGGGTTTTCCTCGGTTCCTAATTATCCGATTTTGTCGCTCGAGGTCTAGTTTTGTTCGTAATTGTTTTACCTACATTTTGTGTACCTATATCATTAACATCGCTACATTATTCGCAGAGTTATTAACAAAAAACTAAAAAAAATGCCTTTTTTTCGTTTAAAATGTTTATAACAAATAGGGTGACAGGAGTTGCGTGTCCAAAACATAACACCAATGATGTCTCAACTTATCTGCACACGATTGCACACTTGGTTTCCAGGTAGTATTTTTGTCATGAAAAAATCCCTGTTGCTTGGCCTAAACGGTCTTTTTCTTTGTGTTTGACATTCGTTCAACTTCAGGAAGTCGAGTGATTTTCAAAAAATGGACGAAAAAGAATTTTGTGTGTTGATTAAACATTACTTTATGAAAGGCAAAACACCTCAGGAGACTAAAGAGAAGCTTGATAAACATTATGATAACTCTGCACCTATGGTTAGAACAGTTTATAAATAGTTTCAAAATTTTCGGAGTGGCCACATGAGAGACGCTGAACGTGGAGGCCGTGTCGAGTTCACTACTCTAGAAATCATTGATAAAATCCATGGTATGAATAATACTAGTTTTCATTTTTGCACGGATTTTTCAAACGTCCCTCGTAGGTATCAACGCTTATAATAACATGCGCTCGGCACATGTTTCGTCACGACACCGTCGTCTTGCCGCACGTAGGCATGCAAACGATCCGCCACGTTTATTACAGCTGGAACCCACGTGAGTCCCGTCCTCTGTCGGTTTCTTACTTCGCGCTTTACCTCCAGCCTATTGTCTCTAATGTGTGCGTCGCTGCGGAAAATTAAATTACTTATTTTTTTTTTAATCGACGCCGGTGATTCTATTGTTAACAATCAATACCCATTACTATTAGTAATACATTTCAATATCGTATATTCTCTTGTTTCCTCATTGAAAACTCCCGTGAATATTTTTCTAATATAATATTCTAATATAGTGAATTTCCTTTTTTCGCAAAGCTCTCACTTTACAAATATGTCAAATAATAAAAATGTAATTGTTCTTATTTTATTCTAATAAATTTTTTTTCTTCTGTGACGTCGAAGTCACTCTCAGGTACGCTTGGAGTAAGCGTAGACCCAGACTTGCTCTGATTTGGCTTGTGCGTAACACTTTAGTCGGGACAAGCAATATTGATGCTCCAGAAACTCCTAATTATGGGGATAATAATAACCAAATGTTATTATGAGCACACCAGACTTCTAGCTTAATGTGCTCTTAAGGGGGCTTGAATGGAAATCCACCAGACTCAAGCTTAATGGATTTCCGAAATGTGGTAACTATTACATAAGGAAAAGATAGCCAAATAAATTTTGTAACTTACTCTTTTTCATTTATTTCGAAGTAAGGAAGATTTCTTTCTTAAAAGTCACTCTTGCTCTCTCTATCTTGCTCTCGCTCTCTCTAAATCCGGCTAGTTTCCTTCGGGCTGATGATGTTTCTTAAAGTAGTTTTGGCTCCTTGAACTTGAATTCGACTTTACTAAATTTCACTGGACTTCTCGAATAACTTGAACTTGATTAATTTCCACTAGACTTCTCTAATAACTTGAACTTGAATCTGAGTTTACTAATTTCCATTGAACTGCTTAAAATAATCTGACTTTATTAATTTTCACTAGACTTCTCTAATAACTTGAACTTGAATCTGAGTTTACTAATTTCCACTGAACTGCTTAAAATAATCTGACTTTATTAATTTTCACTAGATTGCTTATCGCGGCCTTGTACAGGGCTTTTTATAACCTGGGGGCGGTTGGGTGGAAATCCCCTTCTTCAGGCCCATGGAGTGACAAACTCAAAGTTTTCCGTATTGGCCGAAGGATTTTCTTGGTCGAACCGGAATACATAATTGGTCGAAGAGCGTGAGTTTTCAGAGAGAGAGAGAGGGCGGTTCTTTTCTAAACTTGGGCCCTTTTCTCCAGAGATGGCTCTTAGAGTTTCATTTTTTTGAGAGCAAGAGTGACGCTATTATTTTTAATTAATTAACGCAAACGAATGTTAATCAGAGTACATAATTGTAATTTTACATTATCACTTAATACTAGGGAATCGATTACAAGTTGAAATAATACTAAAAATGTAAAAATTCTATGATTAATTATTATAAACGAATTTAGAATATTTGTGAATTTGTCTGAACTTAGTGTTACGTTATTAGTTGCTATAGACTATTGTTGCTTATGATCCTATTATTTAACTTAAATTGTATGTTTTGATGTTTGAAAATGGCGAGTCGATAAAAGAATGAGGAGAGCCATAAATAGTTATTTATAATAGAAGGTGAAAGGTTAATTTTTATAATTTCAATATTTCTATTTCATTCTCTTTGAATGGTACAAAATTTTTTGTCTTCTTAAAAGAGAAGAATTCGGTGGGAAAAATTAGTACGGGAAACAGATTGCAGTTTTATGGTCCTCTTCTCTCATCGGCATCTCAGCACTCACGTGTTCGGAGGCTATATGCACTTCATATGTAAGTGTGAAGATACGAAGGGCAGAATAGCGTATTGAAAAAAATGAATGCACGCTTGTATAAATTTAGACTATAGGTTCTACTGCTTGGAGACTATCAAGAAGAATTTCCCTGCGATACTCGGCTCGGTTACCACAGCTCATGGGAAGCGGTTTCAACTCTGCCTCTCTTCTCTTTTTTCTCTTAGAAAAATTATTCTTGTGAAATTAAAAAATTTTAATCATATATGGCCCGCCGTCACACTTTCAATCACATTGTAAGATAACATTGTTAATTTCACAGATGGTAATCAAATTATCGATTCGTACTAACTATGCATTCCAGGATAATTTGGAAAGATGATTGTTTATTTTGTTAAAACAATTTATTAACGGCATATTTCCGTTTTTGCAGACTATTATCCATATTAATTATTCATAAATTGAATTCACTGCTGCAATATAAATTGTGCACTCCTATATATATAATACAAATATTCCAAAGTATATGAAAATTCAGATTTTCTCGCTTTTTCTTAGTACCAATTAATCACAACACTGGATGTCGGTGACTCATCATTTTTGTAAAATAGGATAAATTAGTACAAAGATGACATTTATTTGTTCTTTAATCCACGAAGCTAAGTTAAATGACTTAAACGAAGATAAATGTTAAAAAATTCTAGTCAATTATTTAATTCTGCTAGCGCACTTATTTTTTCATCTTTTTCTCGTATTCATTTTAATGTAAGGTTGGCACAATCAACAATCATGTCTGACTCTGTAGACTGCTAACGTGACACTGGCAATGAACATTTATCGAAAATACAATTATTTACAAATTTAGAAATCTATCAAGTCATATGTCGCTTTAGGATTCCAGTAAATATTCTTTACTTAATATCACTTTGGAGGGCGTACGCTTTTTACACAACTAATGGAATAAAAGCTGGCAATTAATTGCGTCAAAATAAATTGAATTTTCTTTTAAAATAAGATATATATTCTTTTCTGATAAACAAAACTTGAGTTATTGATAATTTCTATATACATTCTGCATTCTATACACAAACGTACATCCATACACACCCACGCAAAGAAGTTTTTCAAAACTGTATATTCTGATTCCTGAGACTACAATAGCACATTACGATACAAGTGCGAGAAAATAGATTCTTGTCTCATGTGGCGTTTATGCCCGAGCGAAGCGAGGGTGGAAAGGTACACGAGACGAGAAACTCTTTCCCGAACATGTGCCGTAATGTACTATTTCGCTAAACTTAACCTGTGCAGTGTGATACGGAAAGGCAATTGAGTGTTAGAAGACGTACGGAGTTATTTCAAATACCGGGTTTATAGGAATTATAATAATCTCTGCTATTTTGCATTAAGATCAAAAGGAGCAAAGACGAAAGTATGCTTTAAAAATAATTGTTATTTATTCTATTGCCAGCGAAGGTAGCTTATTGATAATTTTTCTTGTAATATTCTCAAGTTCGGTAGCTTTTTTGTTATCAATATTATTAAATGTTTATAATACTTCTTTTCGATTGGTGTTCTGTTTTGGACTTCAAGGTTTTCGTTGTTCTGCGATTATTCTTTGATGAGGTTCGAATATTGTACGATTTGCGACAAATTATTTGCGGTGATTTTTTTTTTGTTGAAAATGAAAATCACATTCATTTTCTAAAACAAAGGTTGACTAATATATATATATATATATATATATATATATATATATATATATATATATATATATATATATATATATATATATATATATATATATATATATATATATATTTAAATAATCGGCTTGATTAGCCAAACAAACTATAATTGAATCGTATATGCGTTATTTTCCATATCTTAGTGTGCTATCATCTTGTAGCAACATAGTACTCCCTACAAAATTATTAGTTTTAATACATAACTGCATATTATAACTACATATTTATTCTTTACCGACTAACTTGTATGCTAGTAAGATAAACAAAACTAGTCCGGTCTTATCTATTTAAATGCAAGGCTATTTTAAGAAATGACATACATTATTGTTGCACAACTATATTAAAAGTATATGACAGTCGGATAATGCTTTAGAATACACGAAATATCTGTAAATAAATTAAACACAAATGTAAAAAATTCATTTTCTAGTAGATAAAAAATACTTTTTTTTTGTAAAAAGGCTCATGGAGTTACTATTTTTTACATTGATTATTAAAATAAACATATCGAAAATATGTACAAAAAAAATTTATAATTTTTGATTCACAAAAAGTAAAGTTCTCACATATAAAAGTCAAGTGCAGTATATAATAATCATATCCAATCCTCTCTCATAATTAATATACTTGACAATCAAATGAACATCATTTGCAATTTCTTAAAGTCATAAGTATCATTATCATCATCACGACAACAAATGACGGAGTAATGCTAGGTCCATTGGATTTAGGTCGAGTCACTTCTTCTCCATCTCTGTCAAATTTCCTGCCATAAATGGCAAAAGTCATAACATCGCTTTTTGGTCTAACAAGATACATTAGCAGTAAACTAGAATTCTTGTGACCACTGATGACGTAAGCGAAATCTCCATTGTCGATAGGTTGGCGGTCCGTCATGGTCAAAGTCGATGGTTCGTAAAACACTCGACTACTTAGATTAGCACGACGAGTGATTATAAACGAGTCGAACGTCGTCGGTTGTACTACCGACAAGTTTGCGTGATAAATCGAGCCACAATCTTCGATACGGTCACCTGCACATGCTATCAAAGCGCATACTTCCAGACCCGCGGTTGTTTGATTCATTACATTGCGAACCCCATTGAACACGGCTACGCGATACCTGTAACGAAACGTTACAATTGTACTTCTTTAAATATACCAAATTGCTTATGGAAATATAACTAATCTTGCTAGAATTATCGGTTTAATGTTCAACTACACAATTTATTTTTAAATATTCTTTTTAGCGCGATTTAATAATAAATGACAATAATGCATTTGAATCTTCGATAATATACTCCATGTTTAATTAATCAATTTGAATATGTATTAGTTTCCTAAAAAATATTTTTTAAAGCTTGTACGTACATTGAGTACGCATAAAGATCCAAATTTCAGTTTACTCTTGAATTTGTTTAAACAAGTGTCGACGTGTGAGACGATAATTGATTTAAGAACGTATTAAGTAAATATCAACTTTGCGCCAGCGATGTATTACGATCTCAATAAGAAATAGGCATCGTTAAAATCAATAATGAAATTGAATTATTTTGAAATCTGAATCATGGAAAATTCACTTGTCCATTTTCCGCTTCACTCATAAATTTTCCGCAAAGACTAACAAAGTCAACATCATTGTAATCCGAATCGAAATCTTTTAATAATATATCTTGACAGGCTTTTATTAAAGATATCAAACGGTCATTAATTGATCAAATATGCAAATCAGATGGTGACTCACTTGTATTGTTGAGTATTAGGCGTATCCGCAGCCTTCTTATCATAGTTGGTCTCCACATGGAAATCACAGCAGAGTTCATTATCACAAAGCGTCGTAATATGCGATCCTTGGGTAGGATCTAATAACTGAGTTGTATAAGGTCTCAAATCATCGTGAAAATATGGAGGATAAGGTGGTGCATGCAGTGGTACACCGGAAACGGTTGGTATTTCCGCTTGCTTGAATACGTGAACAAACGAGCGTCCTGCACGCACATCTTCGATACGCTTCTGTCTGTTGAGTTTTGATATCTTCGCGACAACTAATGCATTTGACGTTTCTCTAGGTTGATGGATCTTGATAGGACCTCTTTTTCCGGCGTAAATTCCACTACCTGGGCATACGTAATATGATTAATCTTAATATAGTTCAATACATACAATAATTAATGCACTCGCGATCGATATTTTTCAAACATGTAATTGTTGGATAATCTCTAGCTTAATTAATCGTTGAAAATTCATTTTTTAAGAACGACAGAAATGTCTTTAGTCAAAACTTATTATAAAACCAAGACAAATAAAGATCAGCCTACCTCCACTCGATGTTTGTGCGTCACTGTAACCCGACGCGAGTAAATTAACGTCAGCCCCATAAGCCCAGGCTGCTTGTTGTTGAATAGCGTCGTTGAATGGCAATTCGTCATACCAATGAGTGGAATACACGATATCCGTAACGTTTGGATTTCTTACGAAAAAATTCGCCGGTTTTTCCTGCACTATATCGAAACAGATGAACTGGCCAAAAGTTACGCCAAAGTCAGTGGTGAAGGTTGAGTATTCGGGCTGCGCAGTGACATTTGTACCAGGTTCGTTGAATAGATTGTACTTGCGATACTTGGCAATGACTTTGCCTTTACGATCGAATACAACGTTGGTGTTGTAGAGTAGGAAATTGCCTGGAGCGCAATTTGATTTTGGACAGTCAGCGTGCTCATGATGATTCACTACAACGTACATCTTGTACTCGCGAGCTGCACATGAGATAGTTTGCAGTGACTGTCAATCATAGAGACGATCAATTAGTCGTTTTCTCTTTACGCTTAGAAAAGTATATTTTAATTGTAAATTCTACGTTTGGGTCGAGAAAAATCTTGCTATGGCAAGCCGTAATTATGACAAATGTTCATTTGAAAATTTGCACATAGGAAATCCTTACTGTTTGATATTTGTTATCGGTGTCACAGAGTATGACACTTTCATTAGGATTTGGGATATATGATGCAGTATTCCGATAGTAGGCTCTGTACTCGGTGGCATTGAATTTTTTCTCCGCTCCGTTGCCATCCTTGGGAAGACTTGTCAAGCCGAATTCAGGAAAAACAATGATGTCAACTTTCTGCAAATAACGAGCGTCCGTGAATGTCGCGTAAAGAATTTATGAGAATATTCGACTGGCTTACGTATTCTGAGGCGTTCTTGATAATAGTCCGGTAATTATTGGCATTCGCCACGGCTATCGTAGAGCCATCGTCGCCGTCGGTCACCGGATGATACTCGACCACTGCACCAACGTAGCTTGGAGAACCTATTGCCTGTTGCTATAACAAAACAGAAAAATGTACACGGGATTACGTATGACGTGTTGCTACAGTGAAACTTGCTCATGGACTATTAATCGGCCCGTCATCTCGTCTAATTATACATGCATTTTACTTATCGAATGCAATTTTCTATGTTTGCAATAGATCGTTATGCGTGTAATACATCACTGCGCAAAAACTGCAGATTTTTTAAATGTATGAATAAATGAATGTTATGTAGATTAGAATTACTTTCACGAACTCCTATAAGTTCTAAACTAGAAATTAAAAAAAGATTACCTGGAGAGAGAGTTTCGACAAGCATAAAAGCATTCCCAACCGAAGTAGATGTGGTATCATTTTTGATTCTCTGGAAGTGAAAATTCTGGTAGTAATAAGACTTTTGTGGATAAGCATTATTTTATTTGAAAAAAAAATCATGAAATTGTCATTATAAAATAAAATAAACGAAATTGAAAAATAAACTAAATGAATAAGTGATAATTCTTTTTTTATACATGCAAATATATTCCAAGACAGATGATCACTGAACTTTGTATATTTAATTATGACTCTTTATCCACATGTAGACTCGAGCACGTTTACATTTAAATTAGTTCTCATTCTTATCCAATCATGCGTAAGTTAATTGCAAGAATTTACTCGAGTGAACAGCAGTAGATTATTAAAAAATATTATTGCTTTTAAAATATTTAGTAGATTATCTAAAGAACTAAAAATGTTCTGTAGTAATAAAAAACTTGCCGATAAAAATTAAAAAAGTGTATAGGAAGGAATATATGAAAGCTTCTAGATGAATTTTAATTTTATTTTTAATATTGTATTTATGTTACTACTATTACGTCTCCTTTATCTTTTTCTGTAAATTAAGTTAATAGTATTAAAATATTTATATAAATATTTGTAAATAATTTCTACAAACAGGAGAAAATTCTTGTTGTATAGGCTGATGGTTTGTACTAGTTAACCAGTAGATTGTTGTATAAAAAGTAAAAAGATGAATTAAAAAAAATCTTATTGTTGTTATTACAAATGTTATTACAGTATATATATTATTACATATTAATATAAGTGCCACTTAAACCTTTTTTGCATTAAATAAAGACCCGCATTAATTCACATTGCAAAGACCAAATGCATAGTAAAAACGCTGTAATCAATGTGTGTTAAATATAACATTGTGTAAAAATGAAATTGTGTTAAGAGAGGAAAAACAATTTTCCGCAAGTAAACATTTTCTTGATGGTCTTGTTATGCGTTTCACTTTCAATTTACGATAAGATGTTAAATAAACTTAATAGTTTTATTCTGTATTATAATAATGTTAATAATACAAAAATGTTACACATAAAAAGAACTATTATAGTTGAAAGATTTATAATGTTTCAAAACTAAAATTAAACGAGTTGTGGATGTTCTGTACCTTGCATGTAAATTAATAATTTTAGAGAATGTTGTATTTTAAATATCTATTTATACACTTAACATGTCTAATCAGCTCCACAAACTTCTGACACTGTAATATTCCACACTTATCAATTCACAACTGATAAAACCTCACCAAATATGAATTCAAAGCGTCACCAATTAAATAACAATTGTCTTCAATATCTTATCTTTGTCTACCTGTGCAAATAAAAAAGAAGCGAAAACAAGTTTTCGATAACAGTGGTGCTTGCAGTGATGATACTACATATACACGTGATAAAACTCGACTGCGTACTAGCCGTATTGTGCTGACACGAAGCGAATATAAGACTAGGAAGCCGATTCTTCGCGGCGGCAACGTTCGTTTCCTATACTTACTTAATGTCACTGTAGTCAAATTGGATGGGATGTAATATCGGTGCAACCATCATTTTCATTGTATCTTTGCCATCTTTCATGCTGCTATGTAATTTTTATGGATTTTTTTTCGAAAGTGTCCTTGAAGCTGGTTTGTTAAGAAAATTATTAGCTTAAGATGAAAGATGTCAAGAGCGATACTCAACTTTGTATTGCATTATAAAAGTAGTTATTACGTACTATTCGAACTCGATAAAAAAAGTTATATATACATACAAAGTTATATACAGTAACCCAAGAAAATAAAATTACTATAACTACTATTTGATAACATTTGGAAAAGTTAATTAAGTGTATAATTGATTAAAATGGATCCTTCCTATATTAAGCTTTTGCAATGATAATAGTAACCAAATAAACATGTTATGTAGTATATCATTTCCTGACAATATATACTTTAAAAGCAATTTAGAACAAATCGTGCCAAAGACTTCCGTTAAAAAGCTTATAATCATTTTTTCAAATGTGGATATTTGGTTCATATACACTATAATTATGAACATTATGACAACATACACAATTGAAGATTTACGATTATTGTATGTTCTATTCAACAACATAAAAATGTTTGTACAGAATGAATGTTGATCATCAAACATGAAAAATTTTTAAATTTTATATTTTCTAGTACATGAAATTTTTCAATAATAAAATAAACAGAAGAATAATTATGGCAATTAGTATTATTAAATAAGTAGAAAACTGCTATTGTAATATTTGAAAAGTGAGTATATATTCAATAATACATTTAAAAATAGATAAGCGTCCTTATGTTATAGATATAAATTAAATATAAAGCTATATGAAATATTTAAAATTTAACGTTGAATGTTTTCGCTGAACTTTCAGCCATATAATTTTTTTTACTGCGTAAGATTTGTCTACTAATATAGTAAAACTAACATAATAATATAATAATATTATAATAGTTTATACATATATAATATATATATAATACTACAATGGTGATACGAAAAAAGTGAACAAGTTAGCTTACGATTATAAAAATGTAAATGTAAATATAATGGTTACAGTTTCAACATTTTTTTTTACTGTTCCTTCGTGAACGACATCTAAAAGAGAAATGTCCTAATTTATGACAATTATTGCATAAGTGTTTATTGGCAGGACATTTTTCTTTATTTTTAGTGTGATGTTGTCCACACAATTCACATGGAATATGTAAGTCAGTTGAGCATCGCCATGAAAAATGTCCAGATTTTATGCAGTTGGAACATTCTTTCGTACTAGCTGCACATTCATTTATCATATGATTAGAACCACAATAAATGCAATTGATGATTGGGCTTTTCGAAAGCGCATCATCGTGAATGCTGGATTTGTTGAGTTTTTCCGATTCTTCCCAAATAAAAGTTAGTTCTTGCAGGGATAGAGATTCGTAATCAGAAATATTAGAAAATGATGGAACCATCTCCAAAAACTTATTGAAAACATTTCTAGAAATCAAATCTTGTAAAATTTTTTCCTTTATAACTCGATCTACATTATTCTCAGCTGTTTTTTGTGCTATAACCTGAGAAAAAAAATAATAGTCCAAATTTATCGTAATTTCAAGAATAGAATTAATAAGAATGTACGTAATAAGCGAAACTCACCTCTAAAGCTTTTATATAATTGCTGATAGATTCGTCAGCATGTTTAGTTCTACTTCCAAAAATAAAGTAAACGTCAAATTTGAACAATATGGTATCTACGTCGGTTTCGGTATAAACGTCGTGAAAATAAAATTTCTTTGAGATTTCTATTCCGGTATTGCCAATATATTGATAAAATTGACTCCCTTGTTTGTGGGCTGGAATATTGTTTTTCTCATTCATATACGCTAGAAAGCAATTCCTCCATGCAATCCATTCTTTTCGTGTATGTGATGCCAGTGGATAAGGTACAGCGTTGGGTTTATTTTTACTTATCGAACAACCTGTAACGTAATATAGAATTTTATCAAATATTAAATAATCATACAGTTTTACGATAAAACAAAATAAAAATTATTACAAATCTCGATCAACTCTACACCAATAGTGTCCAGCGTACAATATTTTTAATACGTTCCCCACGACAACAGGGTAAAACATCCATGAAAATTTTTACTTTGTTTATCGATAAATTATGGAATCGATTCATTTTATTTTAATTTGCATCCATTTATATAGCATCAAATTCCAATAGAATTCTATTATTTTTCAATGTTTTGAAAAAAATCGTATAAAAGAAATTCACATGAATAGATTTTGACTATCAAGCGATAAAATTATTCCTTATCAGCCCTCATTCATGAATCTGCACGGCTTTTTTTCAAATATTAATATAATGGCTTAATATGGCTGTCACAAATCATGAAAAAATGGAAACCTCAATTATAAAAGCTTGTAAAAAAAATATTTAACGTTCTATTTAATTGATCGAAGCCTCGAATTGTTGGTAGTTGGCGTTTTTATATGGTTAATAACGTAGAATAGTGAAATTCAAGATGGCTGACCCAAGATGGCAGCTAAAAGCAAAAATTGTCGAAACTAAATAAACATTGTTAGATAGATACCAAATGCAGTCTACGGAAATTTTTGAGGTCGCTGAATAAGAATCCAAAATTAGATTGTATTTTCATGTCCGCGAGGAGCATAATTGAAAATTGGATATATATAATTCTTGTTCAGCGATCTTAAAAACTATACTATAGATGTATCACTAAAACGATTCTAGTCATTATTACTTGCTTAACTTTAATTTTCAGGGTGTATTACAGGCATATTGGATCCATAATTGTGAATTTTGAAAATCTTATGTCTGTTTTCTATTTAGTAACTTAAAAAACTGTTACATATCAACAAGACGATTTTGCTCATTTTTTTTAATTTAGCTGGGTTTGAGGGTTTGAGGATGTGTTGATGTCATATTCGATCTGCTAAAACTTCCGTATTATAAATTTGGTATCTATCTGATAATGTTTTTTAGTTGCGACGATTTCTTGTTTTTAGCCGCCATCTCGGATCAGTCATCTTGAATTTCACCATTCTACGTTGTTAACCCTATGAGGATGCCAACTACCAACAATTCGAGACTTTGATGAATTAAATAGAATGTTAAACATTTTTTTTACAAGCTTTTATAATTGAGATTTCCATTTTTTTTTTTCGTGTTTTGTGACAGTTATATTGAGCCATTGTATTAATGTTTTCAAAATAATCATGCAGGTTCATGAACGAGGGCTGATAAGGAACAATTTGAACGCTTGATAGTCAAAATTCATCCATGTGAATTTTGAAGAGAACTCTGTTCCGATTGACGAAAAATGTCCTATATATAAAAATATTATTTATTTCTTAAACAGTTTAGCATTAAATTAACATTGATGATAATCTGAGATTTTCATTTAAAATCGGAAGCATTTTTCTTTTTCTCATTAATAATTTAGTAAACGTTTTCTTTTGAATATGTTAATCTGCTTATTTCACATTAAATATTTTTCGAAAAAAATTTTTGTTATTAATAAATTTATGTGTATCTTTCTTACTCAGGGGGCCTATTCTGAAAAAAAATTTTGTGGTAAATCAGTTTGTCACTTCAGTTTACCACAGAATTAATCACTTTAGATGTGATAAATGCTTATGACATGTGCTAAAATTAATTTTCAGAATAGGCCCCCAGAGCCTAGATCTCTGTTTGTATCTCAAGACTTAACCTACATTCACATTACAGCAATGAGTTGTTTACTGATTATTGTATCGAATTTACTATTATTTATTTTTGTTATAAATAAATTTTTATTTGTCACAAATTTATTGAAACTAATATCGAAAATCGTTTCTTAAGAAATTTTACAAAAGAGTAAAAGTAGTAGTTTCTTAAGTTCCTATAAGACTCAATGTAAACTTTGCCTATACCACTTTTCGCAGCTGTTGCGCTGTGACGTCATGCTAAGAAGGTCTATTGGCCATCGATGACACCAAAGGATAGGTGATACACTGCCGCGAAGTTTAAAATCTAAATTATTTTCGATGGTTGAGCATCCATGGCGCATCAAATGGGTTTTTTCTGGCAAGTTATAAGGGCACAATCTACCAAAATAAGCCCTTGACCTAACCTTATTTGGTGTTATTAATACTCAATCGTCAAAAGTAATTCGAATTTTGAACTTCGCGGGTCGAATTAATATTATATCAAAGCGGTGTATGCATGTTGTATATATACAGTTATAAGCAATGTTTAATGCGAGCCTATAAGAACGTTGGATCAGTGATACTGTACCGCACTAATCATATCGAGCGTAATACAATTACAATGCTAAAGAATATGTAGTATAAAAGACCTCAATTAATGCACGTATTCTCCAGGTTACGTTACAATTATTTTCCAACCTCCCATACAAGAATCAATTTCAAAACATAAATATTGCTACGCTAGTTTCGCATATAGGTACAGCAATGTACAAAAAAATACGTGACTCACCCATATTTTTCAGTTTTTCCACGAATAATCAGCACGTGGATCAAACGTTTGGTTGGCCGTATAACACTGAACCCTGAAAGACAGTCAAAAAGAAAAAAATGTCTGTCAGGACGTCGATTCACTTTCACTCGTCATAGTTGCAGTACAGAATGAAACCACCACCGCCAGCAGTCGTCTGCTGCTGCAGCTGCATTGCATTTTTTGGGGCCTGTTGCTCGTTGCTGCTACTCATATAGTTATGCACTCGCGGCGTTTATCTCCAATGAAGATTTCAAGTATGAAGAGAACATTACGTCGCTTTAAAGGAGCGAGAGGAAGCGGGGAGGGAGTGTAAAAAGAAATTAGAGAACTGCAGAATCGTCGTCGCAGTCAGCAATGTCAACAAACATTCGGCTGCACGCTGCACTTTGTCGCGTTCTGCTATGCTGCACAAGCAGTCGAAGTTGCATATAGACACTGCACTTTTGCTACAATCAGCGCGCTCAAGACGCACACACATATTCACAATAATGTATATATAGAACACTGCGATATCTCTCATATATATACACTAAAACACAAATACATATTAATATAGGATCTATACATTTAAGTAAGAGCTGTACATAGAAAAACTCTCCAATTTTTGCTTTGTTGAAATGTCCTTCAAGCATGTTGTCATAGGTGAGGATCAGTGATAATTCAACGATTACTTTATCAGTTAGTTTGAAGACTTGACAATTCATTGATCAAAGCACAATTCGTTGAAAGACGTATACTTCGAGGTTATGTTTTATTTACATTTTGCAGGCGGTGGAACCGGTTACATTGGCTCCTGTATTACAAAGGCATTGAAGAATTTAAATATCAAAACCACAGTTATTTCACGAATGCCAGGTCCGCAAAGAATCTCCTGGGTAGGTTTGTTTGATTACCATAAATAACTTTAACTTAAAAAAAACGTTTATTTTATTTTAATAATGGTAATAAACCGTAAAATAAATAAATTTTAATGAGAACGTTAAACAAAATATTTTTTAAATAAAAGTTAGGAAATATATCAAAAGATACAATGATCAAATAATTACTCACAACTACTTTAAATTGGATTATATAAATGCATCAATATGTAAAGTGATGATTTTTAAGCTGATTAGTGCTGAAATATTTATTGATGAAATGCATCAATGAATTTTTATATTGTAGTTAGATATAGAAAAAAATGGATTGCCTGATGATACCACTGCTGTAATTAATGTAGCTGGACAAAATATTTTGGATTTCACTAAAATATGGTCTCCTGAACTTAAAATGGATATTGTGTGTAGTAGAGTAAACACAACAAAAAATTTAGTAAAAGCTATGACTCTTAATTCACAAGTTAGAGTATTTGTGACTATTTCTGGAGTAGCTTATTATCCACCTGATGGGAAAGAATATACAGAATATGATAATTGTGAAAAGTATGACTTTTTATCAGGTAAATTAAAGATATTTATAGTACTGTATTTGAAGTTATTGACTTTGAAACAAATAATATTTCAGAATTATGTCATGACTGGGAGGCTGCTGCCATATTGCCTAAAGATTGTTCAATAAGGCAAGTGACAATTCGGTCAGGTGTTGTGTTAGGTAGAACTGGAGGCATGATAAAACAAACTTTTCTGCCCTTCTATTTTGGAGTTGGTGGACCTATTGGAAATGGCGAACAATATATGCCTTGGATTCATATAAAAGATCTTGTAAATTTATTCATCCATGCTGCAAAATGTGATAATCTGACAGGAGTTTTAAATGGAGTTGCTCCTGAGGTAAGTAATAACATCAAGCTTTATAAATTTGTTCAACTGAAAAAAATGTAAATCTAAACTCATTCCTATTTTTATAGATCATAACGAATGTGCAATTCACAAAAGCCTTTGCATCGTCCTTAGGTAGACCAGCAATCATACCTCTTCCTTCATTCTTATTAAAATTATTGCTAAATGAAGAGCGAGCAAAGGTTAGTATTTAAATAAGATTTTGTCTAATTAATACCATACATAAAATATTTATTTATTAGATAATGCTGGAGGGTCAGAAAGTAATACCTAAGAGAGTATTAGAATCTGGTTTCAAGTACGAATATTCCACTATAAAAAGAGCTTGTGATCAATTTGGTACATTAAAATATGAAACAGAACCTTATTAATATAAAATTTACTCTAGTCTTTTGTAAATAAACTTTTTTTAAAAAATAAATTTTATTTTGCGACTATTCTTGAAGAATAATATTATTTTGAATAATATTTATTAAGAATTATGAAATAAAAACGTGTTAAAACTTGAATATATTTAACTAAATGTTTGTAACTTGAGGTAAATATCAAAAGTCTATACATTATTCATTCCACTAAAACTGTATGTATGTACGCAGCTGTTACACTATAGAAATAGAAAAAAATTAAAAATTCTTCTGAAACTGCATTCAAAACTCCATTGTCGTGACTGCAAAAAAATGAGTACAATTTTTACTCTCAAATTTTTATGGACTATAAGTATGTATTTTACTACTTTTTATGATGTTCTCTTCTTTTTGGAATATCTCTAAACCTTCTTAGAATATATGAAAAAGCTGATTCAAAGTAGTTTTCTTGCAATATTTTATCCATTTTACATTGTCTATTGATTCTCTTTGCTCATTTAGTTCTTTAGTATCAAATATATTTTTTTTATCCATCAGTTGTTATTGTTGGTACATTGTTTACACCAAACTAATCAACTAATTTAGAATTTATGGATACAGAAAGTTTTCCAATTTTAGGATGAATCCAAAAAGGTAATTTTAACAAGTGATTTATTCCTTTAATGACATTTATGTCCAATCTAAAGTATGCATATTAAATCGTTATCTCCTTGATAAAAACAGGTATTCTACACTATTTTTTAGATCCCTAAAATTAATAATAATTTATTTAAACATTTATTTTAATTAATATTTTATTCAATCTGAATAAAAAATAATACTTGAAAATATTCTTTATAAAAGTTTACAGAAGTTTTCTATTTTCAAACACTAGTTAAATGTTGATCAAATACCGTTTTGATTTCTTTCCTCCTGTCTTTTTCAAAAATAACAAGAATAATGCTTTTACTTCTCTGCTTATGTCTTCTTGAAGAATAATGTCTAAATATTTATTTTTTCTCTCTTGTGTCCAACAACTCCGTTCTTTTACACATATTTTTGTAAACATTGGTTCAATAATAATAATGTTCATCTACAATATAAGATAAAAATATATTTACATTTTACAATATATTAACATAATTTTTCAATACACAGCTGAATAAATACTTGATAGAATGATACATTTTTTTAGCTATTTTAATTTTTTTCTTAAGAAATTCTCCACTTGAAATCAATTGTAAATAATGTATTTTTTTTTTCCCAACTATACCCAATCATAAATACCTCTTCTGCCAAAGAAAACCCATAATATGTGCTTAAAAGCAACATTGTCTATTGAAAATTAAAAAAGAGTTGTATTATTTATGTAATATATGATTCTTTAATTAATTCTAAATAGTTGAATAGCGTTACGCATACTTGTTTATCATGAATGTAGCGTTAGTTAGTCGTTTACTAACTCTTCTTCTGATATGTCTTGCTTTCTCATATTATACAATAAATCATTACAAGCTTGAGTATTTATTTATTGAATATATAACAATTTATTTAAACTAAAATTATAAAAAATACAATTGTATACCTCTCAAAGCAATATCTAAAGTCTTGACTGCTATTGCTATATATTAATAGTGTTCAAACATAGCAATTGCTACAAACATCTGCACCGCTGCAACAAGTTTTGACCTCATTATAATATCAGTGACATCAATATCGAAAAGACGTTTTCTTTGAATTGCTTCAAATTTTACTTCTTTGCTTTATTATGCTTGCCTAATTAATACTATTTAAATTTAGTGTGTATATTATTTTGAAAAATGAATTGAAAGTATGAAACATTGTAAACAGTTCTAATATTTATTTTGTAAGGACAAAGCCTTTTAATTTTAGTTTCCAGATCTATCAAAATAAAGTTATATCCAATTAATTTAGATAAACCTTAACTTTTCCATAAAAAAACACCTACTGTAATTAATTTATATATGGAAATAATTGGTGTTATAATATATAACATGAAGTAGATCGGAAAAATTGAAGTCATTCATGATTTTTGATATTTGTCAATCTTTGATTATGTGATTACTATAAATCAATCTCTAACTATACATTTACGTACGCTTTTACATTAATAAACTAGCTTACGTTGAAAAAATTGTGTTATCGAGTTTCAAATTTTATATATTAAAGTGAGTGTAGATTGTATGGTTCAACTCATTCAACTTTCACGCGTAAACGGCAAAAATACGTTCAGAGCTGCGTCGATAACTTACATACTCTATATACGAGACTTGTGAATCTGACGCCTAAAAAAATTTTTTAATCATATTTTTGAGTTTTCATGAGCTAAAACGTTTTCTCCCTTTTTCCGGATTATGTCTCCGCTTGAAATTTTATTTCCGGATTTTCCGTTTTTAAGAAAATTGCGAAAAAAAATTGGGCGTTCGTACAGGGTGCAAAATGCATTAAACATTTTTCTCCTGTTTAAAAAGAAATAATATCGATAGCGGATAATAGCTCCATATTTCCGGGATTACGAAACAATTTTCCTTTTGTCGATTTTCTATCCAAAATTGAGGAAAATGTAAAAATATATTTGTTTCAACGTAGCAACAATTTTGCTAATTTTGTGGATAATGATTACGATTAGGTATTTGTATAAAAAAATATAAATAATCCAACCTTCTTGTTTTATAGTTTTTAATATATTTTATAATACGACATATTGTTCACAATGTTTATCAATAAATATTGTATATGTAACATAAGCAAGGAAAAATAAATTATATATTTTTGACAAAACAAATATAGTTTATTTTAACTTGACCTGTATATTGAAGTATTTTTATAATATGCTACAATGGATTATTAATTTATATTGTTAAGAAGAATGGAAGTAAAATTAAGTTCGTTATTAAATAATTCAACAAATATAAAACTAAGCAATAAGTTTTTGATCAATGATTGTTTTTTTCAATTTTAACTAGTCAATTCAATTTTTTTATTACTTTGTTCAGAATTATGTTATTTTATATAGTTAAAATATTAATTATAAAATTGACATGTTGAAAAACTTATAGAAAACCTTAGAAAAAATTATTTATGTATATGTACATAAAATGTGAATGGTTAATTGAGTAGAATTTGAATTTCTTATTATTATAATTACGCACTGTAGAACTCATATAGGGATATCTGGTGATTAGCAAACGTTTGACCTGTTTTATCGACTAACTGCCGCATATTACTAATTTTTACATTTTTCTCAATTTTGGATAGAAAATCGACAAAAGGAAAATTGTTTCGTAATCCGGGAATAAGGAGCTATCATCCGCTATCGATATTATTTCTTTTTAAACAGGAGAAAAATGATTAATGTATTTTGCGCGCTGTACGATCGTCCGATTTTTTTTCGCAATTTTCTTAAAAATGGAAAATCCGGAAATAAAATTTCAAGCGGAGACATAATCCGGAAAAAGGGAGAAAACGTTTTAGCCAATGAAAACTCAAAAATATGATTAAAAAATTTTTTTGGGCGTCAGCTTCACAAGTCTCTATGGCCCCGGTCCCATAGGTACGTACGGATGCAGACGGATATGGACGCGAATCGCAACACTGATGCGAAAACAGCCCGACACAAATAACATTTTATAAAAAAAAAGTGATCACATCTCACGTACGTCTAACTATATTTCTCAAAAAAATAATTATTTGTTATTGTACCATTATATTTCTCATAAAAAATAAAAAAAAACGTTATCGATAATTCACCTCCTATTTATCCATATAAAAGACATAATTAAGCAAAAATAAATTCACAGAAAAATTGTACCTTCTATAGTCTAAATTGTACCATCTGTACAATTCTATAAATTTATTTCTAAAAGAAATAATAGGACAATTACAAATTACCACTAATTGTTACAACTTACAACGATGTTATCCGGAAATGCACTTTGCGCAGGCGTAGAGCTTTGTAATTGTCCTATTATTTCTTTTAGAAACAAATTTATAGAATTGTACTGATGGTACAATTTAGACTACAGAAGGTACAATTTTTCTGTGAATTTATTTTTGCTTAATTATGTCTTTTATGTGAATAAATAGGAGGTGAATGATCGATAACGATATTTTTTATTTTTTATGAGAAATATAATGGTACAATAATAAATAATTATTTTTTCGAGAAGTACAATTAGACATACGTGAGATGTGATCATTTTTTTTATAAAATGATATTTGTGTCGGGCTATTTTCGCATCGGTATCGCAACTGTAGTAACATCACTAAAAATATCTAGTTCGATTATTTAGTACCAATACTACCGATAGTGAGCAAAAGTGACTGTTGTTTAAAACTGTAGCACCGAACGTACCACATTTAATGTAACGCCTATCTAACCTTTACATTATTATTTAAGATGGCAAATGATAGAGAATTGATAGACTTTCAACTACAATTAGTGGAATTAGGCCTTACTTTTATGGAAGTACTTGAATATATGAGAAGAAGAAGAAAATATATATAAATGATATGTATTAACCATCCCAAAAGCTTTTTTTACATTAGCATACTCATCAATAAGCAATATTCATGAAAATTTGAAAAGTAAATTGTAGACTTGACATTTGAACATTAAATGTGGTACGTTCGGCGCTACAGTTTTAAACAACAGTCACTTTTACTCACTACCGGTAGTGTTGGTACTAAATAATCGAACTAGATATTTTTAGTGATGTTACTATGTATGCGATTCGCGGCCGTATCCGTCCGCATCCGTACGTACCTATGGGACCGGAGTCTATATACGGTACCCAGCCGGAATAATATATATGAAGCATGACGATTGCACTGATTTTAATTTTTAGTTGAGTGACAGTTGATAATATTAATGAAAAAGAACGTTTTAAAGAAAAGCCTAGATAATTTAACTGTAAAGAGAACATATATTGATCATCTGAATCCCTGTTATACGTTTGAATATTTTATTTATCTTTTAATTAATGCATTACAGAGATAATTTTTTGTTACAATGAAAATTGAAAAAAAATATTTATAGTTAGTAATAAAGCAAATAAACATTCATAATTATAATTGAATATTATATAAACATTGTTGTAGAAACTTTGTATAAGTAGTGTACGTAGATATTCGTCATGTTAAAAAGCACGTATTTTATAATTTAAATGATATCTTATTATCGAGAACATGAGAATTATCAGTTAAACAATATGCATCATCAGTTGAAAACGTGTTGAATGCCGTATCTCTTTTAAATGTTGAAACTTAAGTAGCTATAAAGTCATCAAGTAAGTTTATGATTCGCATAAGTATTTTATCCGAATACCGGTGGCAAATGGTTATTCTGCCATTAGCAATCGGTCGCGAAAAGAACTTCGGATAGATGATTTTTGTAACTCGATGCTAAACGGCTCACCAATCTTGCACGCTGTTGCATGAACACGCTACCACGGCACAAACTTCAAAACCTACTGACAGTGCTGACTCTGCCTTTTTGCAAGTTCTGTATCAATTCTCACCAATTACAACAAAGCTTTATCACAGTTATATTATCGAATTCCCACTGTACATTTTAAATTTCCTTCTTAATTGCCCTTTGAGCTCGATCACAATTGGTTTGTCAACTTGTAAATCGTCTATGGGTTGCCGATTTTGCATTTAGGAATTTCCAAGAATTGTAGAATATTAGAATTTTTGGACGCACGATAAACTTATAAGTTAAATTGCCGCAACAACGTGCATTGCGTATTCAATTAGTGTTGTTCAAACCGAATGGTCAAAAACCTTTGTTGAATTATAATCTTACGTTAACCCTTATTCTCCTCAGATTCATTGGACGTAAGCTTATTTTGCTTACTACCACCCGTTTCGAACTTCTAGAACCTCTTGCTCCAAATCTCAAGTCGTTAAGTCGAACTGTTCTGTGTGTTTACTCTTTTTGAACTTGTAATTTTCCGCAAATAACAGAGCATATGAAGGTTTTTGCGGCAGATAAACTTTTATTACCCATCTTTTTTTTTTTAAAATAAATAAACTAGATCGTACATATCTCTCCTGATATAGTTTGTACGTTACTAAATTCCGACCCGAGTAAATTAATGTTAGCTCCATAACCCTAGACGATTTCTCTGTTTCTGAAAGTGAAATTACTAATCAACTACACAAACTGACTGACCTACGTTATAAACTTTTCTTAGGCATCGTACATACAAGTAGGTTATATTTTGTAGATATTGAATTATAACTGAGATATACATTAAAAAAATCGAGAAAAACAGAGAATTCATTTTTTAGTACCGTTGACCGACGTTGGAAAAGAATGCTTAGAATTTTTCCGAAAGCAATAGCAATAGCGTTGGTTGATGGACAATTTCAAAATAAATTACGAATATTTTATAAAGTCTTAGACTGTGAGGATAGTATGGAAAGAGGTTTTTCACTGTATGAACAAGTTTTCTTTGCAAACATTCTATTTGATCTATTTATAATCAATTATTTTAATTATTTCTATTATTACATTACATTACATTATTGTAATATAAATTATTTTATATATAAACAACCTCCGTTGTTGAGGGGAAGCAAAGTTAAAACGACGCGCTAAATTTAGTCTGTATACAACATGTATGAAATCTTCTATATCGTCTCTGGTATGCAGAGTTTTTTATTATTTATTGCGGATCTGGCGCCATTTTTATTTATATCCTTATGTTAATTATACGGAAAGGAGTAGAGCGACACATTGCTTCTATAAATCCAATGTACAAATATATAAAAGTTATATAGGTGAAGATAAGAAATACAAATATAGAAAAGTTATAAAGGTTAATAGGACATAAGATAATTATTAATAAATTAGGGAAAAATGATTTCTTTGAATGAATATGTATAGAGAGCTTACTTTTAAAACATTTAGCTAGTTATTATATTTTTTTAGTTAAAATGAAAATTAATTATATTTATAAAAAAACTCACGGAGTTGTCTGATTTTTTTCAAACTCCTTTTGTTGCTCTCGCATATATAGCATACGAGGAGAGATATGCGTTCGTAGCTGTTCTCGTTTTGTTTTTTTATTGTTTTTCCTCTTGCGATATGCTGTAGCAACTTCTTATCAAATTATTTTCAAAATAATAATTATTTGTAGTATCAATATCATCTGTAGGCGAAGATATCAATGTTGTATCATTGTATTAGTTTCAATTTAATGATCAATATTCAGTTGAATCATGGTGTTTTTGTTTGTCTTCAAAATCTGGCGCATGGTCCAATCGATAATTATTTGAATTCGATTAATCAACGATTGGCGTTGTAGATTAATGAAACGCTATCTAGTAGATCCCCAATAAGGTGTCCGTAAAACATTACGGCCGTTACTTTTTTGGATTCGCAGCGATCCCATGGGTAATATTTCTAATCAATATTTAAATCATTTTCTGTTGGCTGAATATAGGTAAACTAACGCTGTCTCCTATCTTCTAGGAAACATTTCGCCAGAGAAAAACTGGTAGCAAAAATATTTTATAGATCTTCCAGGGAGATTTAAGACAAACTGTAGATATAATGAAACATACTTTCAAGCAATGAATTCGTTTGATAGGTAGATTTCTGATATTTTGATTCTTTGAAAGCATAAGTGATTAGAGATTCGCAAGATAATACATTCAGAAAATCATAGATACAATAATATACTCATCAGAAATAAATCTGACCGAGATATGAATTGCGGTTGACAGAGTTTTCATAGATTTTTTCAGAATATGTAGTGATAATATACAAACGGAACTTTTTCAAGAAGTAATAATGAACTTGTGTCATTAGTGTAGAACGTGGTGTTCGGCATGTATAAGTTTATCTTAAAATCTGCGGAAGTCATTTTTTTTTGGTAAAATTGAAAGGGCTTCTCTCAACTTGGCTCATATCTTATGTTTTACAAAAATACTGCAAGCAGTAAAACGAGGGCTCAAAAAATATTTGTTAAATCAGTAAAAAACTATTGGCTGCATTAGCAAGTTTGCCTTTTTAAGTCGGTAAAATAATATCTGTTGCAGTAGCTCGCTTGTCGGGGAACCGGTTGCACGTCTATTTCACTACTTGGTGATCGTATAAACGGAGAGAAGGCTAGAACAAACGCGGTTTGTCGGTCATGTACCACCGTACGGAGCTAATCTTCCTGCTTTCACTGCTCTTGCAGTTGATGCTGATCCGTGCTCATAATGCAAGGAATAGTTACAAGGAGATTCTTGTTCAGGATCGCATCGAAGAGAAATTTCAATTGATTGGACCTCGCGCTTTGTTGAAGTATCAAAATTTCAATTTTGTGAGTGACGAGTGTGCTCGAGATTTGGCTATCTACGAAAGAGGAATCGATAGACAGGAAACATGGGCTTTGCAAAGTGAGTGTGAAAGTGCATATTGGAGAAAGTTTTCGAATGCTTACTATAGTTCATGTATGTTATATGAAAGTTGTTTAACTAGATATTTTTTGGTTAAATTTTATTTTATTTTCAAAATTTGCTTAGAACTTTTCCTTCACAAGTCTGTCAATATAAGTGTGTGTACTACTTTTTATTTATAATATTTTTGTTTAACTATCATTTTCCAAGATGTTCCATTTGTTTTCGAAGTTTGCACTTCCAACTTTTAAATTTTCTTAGGCAAAAACTATTTCACAAATGTAAATTTCAAGTTAATTTTACATATGTATAATATTTCTTATAACTGGCTTGTTCAATTTAAAAAAATCTATTTTTCTTTAGTATGAAAAATGCAAAAATCAAAGTTAAAATTCATGATATTCAAGATATTCATATTTTAAACGTACGCAAAAAATACATTATTCACATTTTCAAGGCTCCGCTAAACATGCATATAGATATTCAAATTCATTTTGATAACAAGTAACCCTTGCTGGATGATTAAATTTTGACGGAGCAAAATTTTATCTTAACCAATTTATGATAAATAGTATTAAATATATAGTTTACGTTAAAGAAGTTCTGGAAATTTTGTTTAACAGTTTTAATAGAAAAAAATGAAAAGTAACGATCTAAAGTTTGGGTTATAAAATCAATAACAAATAAACCATGGGTTGGGTTCACATATGTTTTATTTATATCGAGAGATGACAACTGGATTTATTATTCAATTTCTAATATTTTTTTGTGATAAAATGTCTTTACAAAATTATACAGAGCTGCTTTAGCGCAAAACAAATATTTGATCGCAATGGACTCAAGTTATTTAATTTAACACGCGCGAATTTAACAATCAAAAACTAATTATTGTAAGTGATTATCTATTGGAAAGATTATATAATATTCAGAGCACTTATATAATTAGTTTTTAACAATATTGTAATGATAATAAGACGTATGGACCATCTAATAAAAAACATTTAGTGCTAGATTCTTCATCGAAATTGCCTACTGGCATATTGCGAGGGAATATAATAGACGTTGGTATGTACGACGAATGCATTGAGACTCATGGCATTTCCATGGAAGGTATAGAAATAAGTGGACAACATTGTACTTATTCAATTAATCGCATGGTCACTCTGGAGAAGCGTATTTTCTTCAATCCAGTACTATCCATTTGTATGCCGAAGAGATGCAGTAATGATGATCTTTTCCGACTTATCAATGGTTCAATTGATTCTGATTTGAATTTAAAAAATTTTGGATTAAGTGTTTCTTCTGCTAGTTGTACGAATACAGATTATAAGTTTATCGATAAACAGTTAATTATCTTTGCGTGAGTATTTTTTAATAAGATATTAAACTCAAAATTTTATTAACGCTTACATTATTTTTAGGATTATTATGTTTTTATATCATGGTTTCTTATTTTTTTGTACGGCGCTCCATTTAAAAAATATAATTGTTTCATCTAAGAAGCGCGATAAAACTGTGCAAACTTTAACGCGTTTCTCTTACGTGAAAAATATTAAGGCCATTCTCAGTTTGAAGGCCTCAGAAAATGACCTGCCAGTTATACATGGTCTTCGAGCTCTTAATACTTTTTGGCTCATTCTCTTACATGAAGTGTTTTTTCAATTCTTTTTGCCTTTGGTCAATTTTATGGATTTAAATAAGGTCACTATGAAAACTATGTTAAATCGTATTTCATGTTAACAAAATTATATTAATGATGTTTCTTTCATAGTGGTTTGCATCGTGGGAAGCTTTAATACTCCTTATGGGGATGTACTCGGTAGATACGTTTTTGGTTTTGAGTGGATTTTTAACAGCTTTCACATACTTTAACCAAAGACGAAGAAATATAAATTTTAATATTTTTTCTTTTTACTTGCATCGTTTTATAAGGTAAATTTATCATTAATAGTCCTAAATTATTTTTGATATATTAACCAAGGATTTTTATAGATTGGCTCCTTCAATAGCAGCGGTACTTTCTATTACCATAGTAGTAGCGCCGAAAATTCCTTTAATTGTTTCTGGGCCACGATTCGATTGGTTACAAAATATTTTTATTAAAAGTTGTGGTTCTAAATGGTTACCAGTTTTATTCTTTATCCCTAATTTAGTGGATAAAGATAATTATGTAAGTATTTTATAAGTATCTTATAGTCATATTTTTTAATAGTCGAAAAAATAAATTTATATCTTTGTAGTGTTTACAACATTTGTGGTCTATCGCTGTAGACATGCAGTTTATGTGGATATCACCATTGATTCTCTACGCTCTCCATAAGAAGCCAAAAGCAGGGCTATATTTATTAATAATATTATTATTAAGTTCAATTCTATCATATGCTACCATTCTTGGCATTAATAAATATTCAGCTATCTACTTCACTCACAGACCAAGGTAATATGTATAAACATAGCAATAAACATAAATAAGATAATCTTATGCAAAATGTATGAACAATATATTAGAGATTCGAATAAGTTTAAAGGAACAAATAAAAATGTTTCAGTATTACAATACTTTTGGAGGCTTTTCAAAATATCTATGAAATGCCATATACTAGAGCTTCACCATGGTTACTTGGCCTTCTTTTCGGTTATATTGCTACGCAAGGAAAGTTTAACCTCAACAAGGTGATTTATTTTTTTGTATATCTTGAAGATTTTTTGTAATTATAAATAATGATTTCACGGCAAAACCTTGAAATCCTATGTGTTTAAATTTTAACGTTTTAAGTGTGTAATTGTAACGTCACCCATAAGAAATATATTGTCGCTGAATTTAAACGTTTAGAAGTGTTTAAAATTGAGGACAATGTATTTCTTATGGGTGACGTCATATTAAACGTTTAAATTTAAACACCTGGGTTTACCGTGTTTCTTTAAGTACAGACGATGACCAATTTAGGCTGGTTATTAGCCTTTGCATCATTCGCTTTTTGTACAATCGGTACAAAGACATTCACAAATGAAGAGTATGAGTACAACCTCTTCTGGGAAATTACTTTTGCTGCACTTTCCAAGCCACTTTGGGGATTTGGAATTTGCTGGATAATCTACGAAAGCATTTACAAACCTCATGGTATGCGTTCATTTATACCTTTTAAATTAGAAATGTAACGATTAACGTGGACTATGTTTTTTTTTATTTTCTGTAATACTTACAGGTTTCGTAACAACTATATTATCATCCAAATATTTTTTGCCATTTAGTAGAATGTCCTACAGTCTGTGCATCGTACACGTATTATTTCCAGTATTACAAGCTGGTACTACAAAAGCTCCAAAATATTTTAGCGATGCTTTAATTGTGAGACAAATGAATTTTATAACAACTAACAGTATTTCACAGTTGCTTATATTTTTAACAATATATTTCGAATTTCAGTTCCATTCTTACCTTAGTAATCTTGTACTGGATTTAGTTATCGCATTTATATTCAGTGCTTCTTATGAAATGCCTATGAGAATAGCAGGGGAAATGATTTTCAAAAGAAACCACGAAACACCTAATCAAGAAAAATTGAAAGCTAAGTAATAGTTCCTATCAAATTATAGTTTAATTTGGTGTTTTTTTTATAATCAGTGATACTTTTTACTAGTCAGTAAATTGAGGACTTCATTTCGATCTAAGTGAAACAAATCAGCATAAATTTTCTAAATGATAATCTAATAAAAAAGTATTTATCAAACAGTTAAATTCATAATTAAATTAGAATTAGACGTTCGAAATTAAATTAGAATTTTGAAATTTCTATCATGTAGTTTTATTTATGTACCATTCTTCAAAATCTGCTATATTTTATCTGGAAAAAGTCATTGTTGTTTGGAATTATTTTATCATAAAAATTATAATTTTATATTTAACTTTGAGAGTTCTGACGAAAACATTTTTCAATTTATGAAAATAAGACGAAAAATACAAGGATAGTATTAACTATAATTTTTTTGGTAATCAATAAACATGAAATAAAATACTGATTCTATTGTTGAAATAAATGCAGCCACTACAAGCAGTATATTTTTACCACATTATGCAAATTACATACTGATGCATTTTTCATTAAATATGTAATCGTAAGGAGATATTAAGTAATGCGTCGTATTCATTGTCAGCCATGTCTCTGTACATGAAGATGACATGTGTTTTTAACATCTCTACAGTTTACATCTATCTACGTTGCTAGCACGAGAATTAATTACAAAAACATTTTAGCAAATGAAAATTTTGAACAGAACTCACAATACCTCGGGGCAAAGGCTCTTTTAAAAAATTATAAGCAAAGCAATATCAATGATATATGTACTCACGTACTCGCTGCTTATGAACAAGAAATCTATGACAAAAGCTATGCGCTTTGCAAAGCAAGTAGAATTTCATAATTATAATTTACGCATGACTTGTATAAAATCCTACTTTTCAATATTTACACAATTTTTTGATCGTGTTGAATATTATGGAGGCATAACCATCTGAACTTGATAATTAAATTTCTAGTGATAGATTCTTCATAAAAAATATCTTCAGGAATTTTATGGCGAATTTTGATCGATATCGACGTATATGATGAGTATATCAAATCAAAGTCGAATAGTGGTGAAATTCAAGAACAACATAGTATGTATTCTATCATTTCTATGATGAGTTCTTCGAGGTCAAAATGTCCTTTCAATCTAATTATGCCTATTTGTATATCAACAAAATGTACTAGTGATGATCTTACTGGACTTATTAATGAATCTATTATTTGAATTCACGCGCTAACGTCTTTGCAATTAAGTGTCTCTTACGCAGACTGTACAAAAAACGTTGAATTAAATATTGATAAGAAAGTTGTCGCATTTGTGTAAGTATATTATATAAAAAAAATTAGCAGCACTGATTCTCTCTCTAATCTAATTATAGGGTTGTATATTGGTTTTTTAATTAAATTCATGTACATTCATTGATATATGGAAAAGTGGCAATAAATTTAGCAAATACAATCAAACGATCTATAAGTTCATAGAATTTTTTTATTTGAAAAATATAAAAGCTATTTTCAATACAGATTTTTAAACAGATGATTTACCTACCATACATGGTCTACGAACCTTAAATACATTTTGGCTTATTATTGTAGACGAATATTTTTTACATCATGTTCCCCTTGGCTAATTTCATAGAAGTAGATAAGGTGCCTATCTGAAACTTATTCAACTCTATATCAATTAGATTACCATTGATCCAGATTACTTTTATGTTTTGACAGTGGTTTTTATCATGGACTTTTTTGATACTTATGGTACGTCTTTATTACGTCGAAACATTTTTTGTTTTGAGTGGGTTTTTGGATGCTTTTGCTTTCTTCAAACAAAAGCCAAAATAATAAAAAGTTCAATCTTTTTCACTAATATTTATATCGTATTCGAAGGTGAGATATATTTAAACATATATTATTACTTATTTTTCTTTTTATTCTTAAAAATGAATAATCGAAGCATAAATATTTCTATGTAAAAAAGTGCATATATTTTTTATTTCCAATTCCATTTCATCAATATATTTATACTTTAACTACAGTCATATATTACCAACGTTGTACTCAGTTCTACTGTTGCAATCATGTTCAGAATTATTTTTGAAATACCTATAAGAAATTTAGAAAAAATAATTGCAAACAAAAAATTCAAAATACCAATGATTAAATGCGAGACAAACTCTAGTAACAGTTATTCGAAAAAATATTTGAATTTTAGTTTTTTTGTAATTGTTAGTCGACAGCCTTTTCATTAAAGTAAAACTAGTGTTAGCATTAAAGTGAAATAGCATGGAGCATTCACATTATAGTCGATGAAAAAGTAAAACAGTTGTAATTAAGTATATTTGATGAGTAACAATAAAATCTTTACAGAATGATGCGATTTTTACGTAATCCGTATTAGATATATTGTATTCCTATTTTCCATTATCAGTTACTCAATTCATATTTAATATTTCAATATTACATACATTATTCAAATATTATGTGTATGTGCAATCGGAAAGACATTTTCAAAAAATTTTCATTGTAATTAAATAATAATTGTATTAATAAATTTGAGAAATTCGTTTGTATTTAAATAACATTAGTCGATAAGCTAGAAATCAAATTAATCTACGCATTTGACGTTCGCACGGCGTATGTCATTAGATGGTAGGTTACCAATAAATGATATTGTAGATATATAGTGGAAATGAAGTTTGAAAGAACGTCGTTATGATTGAATTTTATTAATTTCAAAATTTTTTCAGATTTATTTACCTCCTACGTAATAGATTATTGAACCAAACTGAAATCAAACAATGTTTCTTAAAGAAACTTTATAAAGTTCAAGGTCTTTTAATAATATCTGTAGTAATGTATTGGCAGTTATCATGAACATGTTCTTTGTTATTTTCAATGAATTATAAAATAAAGACTGTATAATTGTAATAATCTTAAATTTCAGTTATATAAATCCAAGATATTGTTTCAAAAATTTATTTTCGTCTTTGGTTATTGATGGTAGAATTATTAAATTTTTAGTAATGAAAATGACGGCTATATATACTTACTATTTGTTAACGAAATATGATACACACTTAAATATTTGCTACTAATTGTATAAATATAAATGTTAGTCCTTCCATTCAGATCTCCCTTTATGATTTCAACATTAGCGCTTTATTTCTCATTCATTGAACGAAAGCTCATAGTCTTTATCCATGTAAGAAAAGCTGTATCCACCAGAAAATTGTTATGACAATTGTTATTGTCGCGTGTGGTTATAATTATAAGAGTATATTGTATATTCTGTTTGGTGAGTCAATGTCGCTTACGGACATAATATCTACCATGTATATAGACATTTTGCGTTGTCATGACAATCCTTCACGTAATAAAATAAAGTAAGTTTAGCTGTTTAACAAAATAGAAAATTATTTTTATCCATAGTATATGTGTAGTATTAAATTTTATTGTGTGTGTAATTTCGTTATTTGACTTTAATTATTAACAATTTTGGTGCGTCTAGATTGATTTGCTGTTACTTTTTTATTGGTAAAGTGATGATTTATCTGGACTGATTATGACTAATTATAGCAGAGTGTTATCCGATATGTTTAATTCTGCAATTATTCGTAAAGTATAATGATTTCGAGTTGAATTTTGAATTTCTTAAAAATTAATGAATATTTTAATTATCTCGTTATTACCAATAAAAATTCAAGAACATCGTTGATTTGATTTCCAATAAAAATATCTGATATTTATCTGAAAGTAAAGGAAATCATTAGATTCACTCAAATTATATGCATTGAATTGTTAATAAATATTGTTATGGTTTCTGAACACTGTATGAAATATATAACTCTTAGTGGACTTGGTATGTACTTAAATAAATCGTTGGTTTAGTCAACTTTCGGACGACTTTATTGCTTTCCAAGAATATCAAGTACATGTGTCGTGATAGTGTGCAAATTCTTGGAGAGCTCCTCAAATAACAGAATCTGTCTATTGAATAAAGATATTTTAGTCTTTGAAATAAAATTAATTTAAAAATTTCACAAGTTAACAACATATTGTCTGAGCGACAAAATGGATAGAATCATGAAAGCAAGAATAGATAAAATAATTTCAGCATTATAATCATAGCTAATCTTAACGTAGTTTAACCATCGATTTTGATAGAAGTGAAGAGACGAGTGTATGATATCATTCACAGATAAAGGGGCAAAGCGTTACACGCGAGAGATAAATGACAGAAACGCTTGTCATCGGAGTGTTTAAATCGAGCTAGATCAATGATCAATAGTGTTTATCCATCACAATGCCTAGATACGTTAAATTTGCTGTTTCTAGTGTAGTGCTGCTAGTGTTTTTGACTTGTAGAGTGAGCGCCAAATATATAAATTATGCTCACGTCCTGGAGAATCCGGATTACAAAGATGCGTTAAGTTTACTTGCTCCAGAGAAAATGTTCACTAATCACGACAAAACTTTGGTTGTTTATACTGATGATGAGGCCTGGTCGAATGTCACCTGTTATCACGATTTACTCATCTTGGAAGAAGCAATTATACGTCGTGAAGCGTGGGCGCTTCTGAGTGAGTGGATATTGAATACTTTGCACAAGCTTGTGGTTTTAGAAATGTAGAGATTATTACTTTTGTCACTTTGAGATTCATATTTTATGTCGATCAAGCAAATTAAATGTTCAATTTATATTTCAACTAAATAAAAAAGTATTATTGAATTTTGTGTCCATTTAAATTCATAATCGATTATACTGTATTTTCTTTCATCGTTTTTATAGTATTGTTGAGTATCAATTGAAAGACGTGTTTATTTATTATTTTTGAGTTTTAAAATTCAAAATCATTAAGCAACATCTTGAAAGTATGAATCCCATATAATATTGTCATCTATGATCATATATCATACAAAAGCTCAAAGATAATAAATAAAAAATTGGTTATTAATTTATGAAATGATTCAACAAAGTCACCTACGTGTATTCGGTGTAATGCGAAAAGTTTCTACTTGCCTGTTAATCAAAATGAATAGCTTATTTATCGCTATCTGACTTTATATTTTCAAGTGTTGTTTGAAATCTTTATTTTTTAAATAGCCGATTTATTATTAATTTTGTAGTAGCTCTTAATTTAACAATGACGCATCGATTAGTCTCAGGAACGGCATAATTAATAGAAATGTATGGTATAATTTTAAATAAATTAGTGTGAAAATGTAAGGAAATTGTCATAATATAATTATGATTAGTAATTGTCGATAGAATCGATAAAACCATAGATAAGATATGATTGATAAATGAATTTTAGCTGAAATAACTTGATTAAAAAGACGTTGCTGGTTTATACGAAACAAATCGTTCGAGTAGCTAGTAATTGTATCAATGTATTAATAACAATTATTTACACACAATATCAAAAATAATAAATATTCCAATGAATCTGCTTCTAAAACAGTGTTGGATGCTTCATCAAAGTTAGGATCAGGTCTGTTGCAAGGCAACCTTATCGACCTTGGTCAATATGACGAGTGCATTGCTGTCCATAGCAATTCATCTGATAATGACATTCGTGGACGCCACTGCATGTACTCAATTAGCGCGACACAGGAGAATGTTACGATACCTATAAATCCAACCTTGTCTGTCTGTCTCCCTACAACATGTTCAGCCGAAGATATAGTTTCCGTTTTTAGCAGAACTATCTCGCGGATCAATAAGCTAGGAGTTCTTAATATGAAGATCGTCTCTACTACATGCTCACCTGTCGATCCGACTGTGTGGGATTTAGAATTTACTGTATGCATGTAGGTCGAATTCATTTTAGATTATTTCACGCTTTTTTTTAATTATCAAGCAATTGTATATTACAGAGCTATTCTGGTGAGCTTTGCAACTTTTCTAATCGCTTGCACGGTAATAGAAGTGGGCTATAGTCCAGCTGCTGACTACTACAGGCATCCCTTTTTCAATACTCTGGCTGCGTTTTCATTGAGAAAGAACGCAGCATCAATTCTTAATATGGACATAAATAGGGGAACACTGCCTGCTATTCACGGAATACGTTTCTTTAGTATGGCATGGGTTGTTCTTGGCCATGAACATGTAATCTCACTTATGGGTGCTACTGTCAATACACTTGACTTTATGAAAGTAAGCGTATCATATCACACTGTTGTTTGTTACGTTGTTATTTTTAAAGTAATTTCGAGCATAATATAGAGGAAATATTTTCAATTTTCATATAAAATCGAGTATGCTAATACAAAGTTGAAAAGTTTTTAGAGAAAGACTTTATTTTTGCAAAGGTTTGCATTTAGAATTTCATCACGAACTCTGTAACTTTTTAAAGTCAGATATTTATTTAGCAATCGATTAAACTATTCAAATAAGTATGAGAAGTAAACTTGTCAACTAATCGTAAGAATAAATTTTCCAAATGTATAGAAAAATGATTAAATCATCAAATTTCAATAAATCACTGATAACGTTTGTGATTTCACTGATGAGTGAAAAATAAATAAATTACATCGGTATTCTGTAACTTCAAAAATTGTCCAAAATTCGATACCAAAGCTAAATTGTATATTTTAAACTAGATTTTATTATTTAATTTTATGCATGATTTTTATTTCCAGTGGGTTCAATCTTGGAATTCATTATATATTTTCATCGCTCCATTTACAGTTGATACTTTTTTTGTAATAAGCGGTTTCTTGATGACTTATCTATTTCTAAAGCAGATTCCAAAGAAAAAAAGATTTAACATTCCCATGTATTATTTGCATCGATACTTTAGGTATAGACTATTGCTATGTATGATTTTACCACTTTTTAAGAATTTCTTAAGAACGTTTCTTAAGAACAATCGACAAGAATATTGAGAACTAGTATCGTTACAGGTTAACTCCAGCTGTAATAGCTTTGTTAGTTTTTACAATAGTTATTGTACCAAAAATCGGTTCTGGAGCTCGATGGGATGTACTGCTTCGTTTATTTACTGGAAATTGTCGAAATAAATGGTGGCCTCACCTTTTATATTTACAGAATTTTATAGAGAAAGATAATATGGTATGCTTCGAACTGTTTTAAATATTTCTATTAATTCATCACAGTTTGTAAAATCATATTTTAAAATACAGTGTTTAGCACATTTGTGGTACTTAGCAGTGGATATGCAATTCTTTTGGATATCGCCATTGATACTGTATCCTCTCTATAGAAAACCAAAGTTAGGTTTAATAATACTTAGTGCGCTATTTCTTGTATCTTTGGCCATTACAGCGTCGGTTGTCGGAATCAGGAATCTACCTGTCGTATCATTTACTCACGTACTCAAGTATGTATATTTATTCTTGTCGAAAGTCTTCTTTCTCACTTAAAAAAAAACTTAATCAAATTTTAGTACGACTATAACAAGGGAGGTTTTTTACGATATTTATGTGATCCCTTACCATCGAGCAGGACCGTGGTTAGTGGGTATTTTCTTGGGATATGAAGTAGCGACACATAATCGCCAATTCAATAGAGTGAGTATGATTGATGTTATTCGTAATATAAATATCGTAAATTAAATTGTTTAACTATTTGAGACAATATATTATGAATAAATCGATTTTGTTTCTTTACGACCGTCGCTGTTACTGCATTATATAGAAGCCTGAATAAATAAACGTAGTAGCAGTTGCTTTGCATTTGATATACATGTATGACATATGAAAAAAAACACACTAAAAAAATTTAATTTTCTTAATGAAAGTGTAATATACAGATGTCCTTGTATTGGTATATTCATTGACAAACTGTAAATATATAATATTAATAATAATAACACAGGCCTGCAAGGTTTTGTTCTTTTGCAACTGAGGGTCATTTCCGAAGTAATTTTTGGCGTAGAATTCGAATCCGTCATCAGAATTTCTCCATCACGTCAGGTTTTTGAGTAATCGTCCCCTAAAGGTCGAAAAAACACGTTTTTTGGCCATATTCAAGGCTTGATTACATCGTGAGTTTATATTCTTTTCAAAAACGGTTGACGGCATCTTAAAGAAGCACTCTTACCCTTCAAACCCCATTTTTCAAATTTAAGATATCATTTTTTTTCATCAAGATATCATCAATTGAAGTTTGCCATTTTTGAGGTTTCACCATGAGCTTAAAAGTTCGGCCAATTTTCCTGAAAGAATACGATATATTTCTTAGTATTTTTTGGATAATGATTCTAGAATTTTTTTTTTTTAAAGTTCGGCCAATTTTCCTGGAAGAATACGATATATTTCTTAGTATTTTTTGGATAATGATTCTAGAATTTTTTTTTTTAAAAAAAACTAAGAAATATATCGTGTTCTTCCAGGAAAATTGGCCGAACTTTTAAGCTCATGGTGAAACCTCAAAAATGGCAAACTTCAATTGATGATATCTTGATGAAAAAAAATGATATCTTAAATTTGAAAACTGGGTTTTGAAGGGTAAGAGTGCTTCTTTAAGATGCCGTCAACCGTTTTTGAAAAGAATATAAACTCACGATGTAATCAAGCCTTGAATATGGCCAAAAAACGTGTTTTTTTCGACCTTTAGGGGACGATTACTCAAAAACCTGACGTGATGGAGAAATTCTGATGACGGATTCGAATTCTACGCCAAAAATTACTTCGGAAATGACCGTAAGTTGTAAAAGAACAGTGACGACTCTCTATTTTGCAGGCCTGTGTAATTTTAGATATATTACTTTTGCCAATAATTTATTAATTTACACGATGAAAAATAATAGCGTTCATAAAAAAATTATAAAATAACTATACTTTTATGTTGGCTGTAGGGGACAGTGATTGGTGGCTGGATAACCGCGATTGCATCGTTTTCTTTTTGCACATTTGGTACTAGATATTTTGTGAATCCTAATTATGAATACAATGCAGTTTGGGAAACTTTCTTCTCAGCAGTTAGTCGACCAATTTGGGCCATTGGAGTGTGCTGGTTAATTTATGCTAGCATAAACAATCGTGCAGGTAATTCATTAGTAAGAAATCTACAATCGATTCCAATTTAATTTTATAGATCTCATTTTCGTAATATTATTTCTAGGGCCGTTGTCATATATTCTCTCATGCAGAATCTTCTTACCTCTTAGTAGACTTTCTTATTGTGTTTATTTGGTTCATTTTGTTCTTCAACTAGTTCATGCAGCTTCACTGAGGACGTCTATATATTTTTCAGCTTACTACGTCGTAAGTATATAAAAATATTATAGACAACTTGCGATTTTTTTATTATTATTATTATATATATATATATATATATATATATATATATATATATATTGTTTCTTCGCAGTGGCGTTCTTTTTTTGGCACACTAATATTTTCTATTGGGGCTGCTTTTTTCTTAGCTCTATTGTTTGAATCACCAATTATAGTTTTAGAAAAAATGTTGTTGAATAGAAAACGAGAATCTCAATTGGAGTCACAAAGAGAACTGGAGCCTAATGTTGATGAGGATTCAAAACATGGAAAAGAATAATTGATCTGTCAATCGTTAAAAACACTGTCACAAATTGTAATTTTAATATTAAATACTTTAACACGTTTATGTAAAAATTAGGAAAACCTTCGATAAAAATGTAACGGATTAATTAGAAAATACAATCTACTTTACATGTTGTGAATAATAAAACATTGTGCAACGTGGGAGATAAGTGAACCATTCTCTGATGGGTAGGTTGCCATCGGACGCGAAGCGTAGGGTGGAAAACTCCTGAAAGGTATGGCCCAATTTCCTCTCTAATAGTACATACAATTTTTCCGCGTATCAAGATCCACTGAAAAACTGTACTTACGACGAAATTCGGATATAATTTCTGTATTCCTGTTCAGGTAAGAAAGTGTTTCGCGGCACGGTGAGCAGGCGCAACCATGCATGTTTTACATTTGAGCCGTAACCAAGAGCAAAAAAAACAGCGCAGGTGCGAAACATTTTCAACCACGACCAGGAATACAGTACTTTGCGACCAGATTTTAATGAGAAAAAGACATTAATTTACATCAGGGATGTGGAAAAAAATTAAGTGATAGCAGAAACTTCCGTTACAAAATCGTTTTTGTTAAAAATTTTAACTTAATGAAAATACCGTAAATTAAATTGTTTAACTATTTGAGACAATCTATTATGAGTAAATCGATTTTGTTTTTTTACAACCGTCGCTGTTACTGCAGTATATAGAAGCCTGAATAAATAAATGTACTAGCAGTTGCTTTGCGTTTGATATATATGACATATGAAAAAAAAACACATCGAAAATATTCAATTTTCTTACAATAGTGTAGAGTGTATCTTATGATAAATATTTGTAAATACGTGTAATTAGTCATATTTACACTATATCAAATAGTGTACTTTTATTATTATACTTAATATTACTTAATTTTGTAAGAGTTTACAATGAAATATATTCTACAGCATAGAAATCAAAAGTAGTGTTTATAATTAATGGCGTTTATGAAGTTTATAGGATGTACGTGTTGTAGATACCATAGTTCTGGATGTATATTTATATTCAATAAATCAATTTAAAAATCAAAATCATTATATCTTTGAAATTGTGAATTTTATCCTTTATACTTTACTAACCCAACCAAGAACTTTTTATTCCTGTTATCATATATAGTAAAAAAATCAAAGATAGTACAAAGTAAAAGTAAATTTAGTTTATGTTTCAAATTAGAATTCCTATGTGAAGCGTAGACTAATAAATAAAATAAAAGGATAAATTTATAGATCAGGTCTGGGCTATTATTGTACTTTAAAATCAATCTACATTCATACTTGATTATTTAAATTATTAATCTGGAACTTTTATTGAAAAAAATATTTTAATACGTTCTGTACGATTTGTGCTGTCTGCTCAATTTGAATAAGTTAATCGGCTGATGTAATGGTGGTGTAAAATGTTCGTTCCTTCGTTTATTATTATCGTTGTTTTCGTAAGAAACCCTGTCATCACAAGTTGCTGATCTCTGCTTTCAAGTTGGCGCAGAAGTCTCCCCGAAAGATCGGCTGCCAGAGATGCATCGCTGTTGAAGGTCTCCACGAAAAGGTAGGCAGGCGTTGCTCTCTCTCTCTCTCTCTCTCTCTCTTTCACTATGTATGTTGTGCAGCAGGTATACAGAAAAGAGAGAGGCTAAGCGCGGCGTTACGCAAGACACGTGGCTGGTTCGAAGCTTTTACTTTTCTCGCTCGCTTGCTCACTCGCGCGGTCTTCCAATGCTAAATAAAACTTCCCCTCCGGGACTCTCCGGGCCGTTTGGGAACCTGCCATGTGCTCTAATTTTGCGCCGCGCTGCTCTCTTTCTATCTCTTTCGCTCGCACGCACAGTCTCGCCGCAGCTTTTTCCCCGGCGGCTAGTGTTTTTCGACTGTTTCATTCGATCGGGAGAGAGAGACTTGTCGAATCAGTGAATCGCTTTTTCATCTTTCTTACTCTCTGTGCCATTCTAGGAATTTTTCTTATCTCTCTCTCTCTCTCCCTCTCTCTCTCTCTCTCTCTCGATCTAAAGTATAGCTTTTAAGTTTTTTCGAGAAATATAAAAGTTCGGACAAACATACCTAGACCTATATGAAAATTTTACGAATAATTGGAATTTCAGTCAAACGATATTAGTGACCGAGGTATTAAAGTATTGATAGGTAATATTTATTAAGCTGAATTCAGAAGTAGTTAGTGTAAATAAGCAGATTGACGGAAATTTAGAAAATTTCGGAAAACGACCGAATTAGTATTTGGTGAATCATCGACGGAAAAAGTAGAACTTGATTGTTTTCAGAGTGGAAAGTCGTAAATAGTACGGATATTAACCAGTCTCACTTCGACGCTTTACAGCACAGTTATAGTGCAAAAAGGTATTAAAATCAAATAACTTTTGTAACAAGATGGAATATATAATTTTCCTGATATCCAAGTGACAAACTGAAATAATTAGCTTAAAATGATGTATTTTTACACTTTAAAACTCAATTGAAGTATTAGAGCTCTTTAAAAATTAGAAATACATGTAGCAAGCTCAGATGTGAATGCAATCGAATATGGCTCTGCCCAGTTGGGGCAAGTGCTATGCCGTTATAGTGCCTATATTTCTGTTATTCCTAGTCGGTTTGTTCTATACCGGCTATGCATTTCGCATACGCGACCATGCAGCTCCTACGAACTTGGATGTCTGTACTTCCGAAAGGTGTTCGGTGCCGAAGCGAGGATTTGAGACGGCCAGCGTACGAGGGGGCTTTGCCAAGATGCAACCACTTGGTCAAACGGATGAATTGAACAAGAAGGATAAGCCAAAGTGGTCAAAATTAAATAAAGTGGAAAATATTAACGATGATGGTGATAATGAAATTGATAGTGATGATGAAATTGTTAAAATTGAAGTGGAAGATGATGGGATCGTTGTGATTGATGAACGTGAAAAGTTGAGACTGGAGGAGAAAAAGAATAAAGAATATTTAGAAAGTGAAGAGCAGAGAAAGAAGGAAAAACAAACTGAACGATTGAGGAAAGAAGAGAAAGAGCGACAGAGAAAAGAGGAAGAGGAACGATTGAGGAAGCAAGAAGAAGAGCGGCGAAAAAAAGAGGAGGAAGCACGATTGAGGAGGGAAGAGGAAGAATATCGAAAAAATGAAGAAGCAGAGCGATTGAGGAGAAAAAAAGAAGAACAACATAAAAAAGAAGAAGAGCGATTAAGAAGGGAAGAAAATGAGCGACGTCGAAAAGAGGAAGAAGAGCGATTAAGAAAAGAAGAAGATGAGCGACGTAAAAAAGAGGAAGAAAATCGGTTAAGAAGGGAAGAAGAGGAACGAAAACGACGTGAAGAAGAAGAACGCTTGCAGGAAGAGGAGGAATGTCGCCTTAAAGAGGAAGAAAACGAGCGTAAAAAACAAGAGGAGGAACGTCTAAGAAGAGAGAGAGAAGAACAAAAACAAAAAGAAAAACAAGAAGCTGATAGAAAGCGAAAAGAATTAGAAGAATTAGAAATTGAGAAAAAAAGAAAAGAAGAAGAAAACAAAAAAAAAGTTGCAAGATTAAAAAAAGAAGCTGAAGTACAAAAATTGAAGGAGATTGAAGAAAAAAAGAAAAGGTCTAAACCGATAAACGATGACGATGATGCCGAAAATGGAGACGCTATGGACGTACCCTCTAAAAGTAAAAAAATAATCGAGAAAATGAAAGCTATCGACAGGACTGAGGCTAAACCAAAATTAAAAAATGACAATCAGTCAACATCTAAAACTATTACGAAAAAGCCGTCATCTGATAATTGTAAGTAGTGGTTAAATTATAAAACTAGTATACTGCAATAATTATATATTCTGTTACAGCTAAATCCAAAGCAAAGAAAGATGCAGACACGGTATCGCTTAGACTAGCCGAGCTTAACGACATAATTCTAAGCGTGCCGACCTTTGTGCCAAATTTTACAGCCGTCCAAGATCCAGCCTGTCAGCAACATGGCAAAATATTTCTACGGCAGCTGCGAGGCTACAAACTCTGGGCCCTCCAAAGTAAATTTTTCTCGAATCATATTTTTTTCCGATAATGTTTGAGACTGATAACGTTTCGTGTGTTATTTTTGCTACTGTTTTTAAAATATTTATTAGACTTCTGTTTAATTTATTTAAACGTTTATTTAAAGTAATTGATGATAAACACCTGTTATTAAAAAATAATGTCTCATTTCTATGTAATTCAATTTACTTATAAATTTTACGGTGCAATTGTTACAAGTAATATTTATTCGACTTTGAAACGTGCATGCAATAGATGGTTGCTACATACTTTGTAATGTAATAAATTATATCATTTCTTATAATGAGTCGGATAGCTTAGTAACGAATATCTGAGAAAGATATTCCTTTATAAACTTTGGCAATTTATTCCTTAAAATCATCTTCTGTGCACAAAATTTTCAATTTCCATAACTTCATAGTGCTGGACTCAAGCGCAAAGATTCCCTCGGGTTTATTAAGGGGGAACGTCAATCAACTGGGTGACTTCGACCAATGTCTCGAGGTGTTGGCGCGCGTAAAGATTGACGAAAAAACAGTTAAAATACAAGGAAAGTATTGCCTGGCTAGCATGGATATATACGCCTTGCATCAAGCAGCTAAATTGCCTGTCAATCTGATGCAGGGCCGTGCTTTGATCAGGGGAAACATGCGCGACGTAAGTACGTGACATTATTAATTTAAGGCTGATTTTAGTTCAACGAAATTTCAGTAATTACTTCGGAATTTCCTAAAGCTATTTTTTTATAATATGAAATTTTATTAGCCGGGTCACTTTGTGCCAAAGTTCACGACCATCAATTGGGCTCTTTGTTTGCCAGCTGTGTGCACCGCTCAAGATGCACGCAAATCGATTGAAAATGCACTTGGCTCTTACAATATGACGATAGGAATGAAATTCATGGTGGACGTTGATCCTGATATGTGTTACGTCAAGCCAAAAGTACAAAGTTATACGAAAGAAACTATTGGAGTACTGTAAGTAAATAAAAATAAAATTTTAAATATAGTTGCGACCTACTAGTTATATTAATTTGATGTTTTTGCAGATATTTCTTTGTTTTTTTTATATGTTTGGCGATTGCTGCTACTTTCAGAGATTATTTTATAACTTTACAAGATAAAGGTAATGCTCAAAGAATATTTTTCGAAACAAAGTATAATAGGAATTGATTTAGAATTTTTATTTGTTTATTCTAAATGATTTACAGGGTCTTATTCAGAAAGGATAATAATGTCTTTTTCTTTAAAGAGAACTGTCAAAGCTTTATTTGCAAATAATGAAGCGAGTTCCTCTGATATCGGGTGTATACACGGTATAAGATCCTTAGCGACCATTGTTTTGTACGCAGCTCATAAGTTGATTCCAATGTCGAGAATGCCTTATGCCAATCGCATATCACTTACTGAGGTATAATGTAGCAAAATAAAAATTTGTGCGTGTATTAAAGTCATTATTAAAATTTTTTTTTTCAAATTAATATGTATCTTTTAAACAGATAGCTAATCATCCCCTTAGCACAATACTTCGAACTTCTTTAGTATACACTGATTCCTTTTTACTACTGAGTGGCGTGTTGACAGCATACAATATGGCAAAAGAATTAGAAAGTCGTGGAGAAATTCGTTGGTTTTGTCGTTTGATTGCAAGATACGTGAGGTATAATACACATTCAAAAAGTATGGATCAAGATGATGTTAATTAAAATATATTTTTCAACAGATTAACGCCTTGTTTAATAGTCGTTGTATTCTGGTACGCTTACGTGATGGAATATATTGGATCGGGACCTCAGTGGAATGCGGTTGTTAAATCAAATGCCGATATTTGCAAGGAAAATTCATGGATTAATTTACTTTACGTACAAAACTATTTTCCATTCGAGGAAATGGTAAGACTAAAATTAATATAATAAAAAATTTAATATTCGCATTTAATAAAAATATTTGCAAAGTGTGAATATTGCTAATTAATGAATTATTTTTTCTAGTGTGCAACTCACACTCATCAGCTAGCTCTTGATATGCAGCTATTTCTCGTTGCGCCGGCATTAGTGTTTTTCCTGCTAATTAAACCAATTGTAGGTATTATTATTGTTTTCTTTTTGTTGCAAATATCTGCAACGTTAAGATATTTGGCTACGTCAAACAATAATTTATCGCTCGTAATCTTTCATGGAATGACGTGAGTACTAATTTGAAATAGATGTACGTGTACATTTTTAAGTTTATTATAAACTATTGTTTGATTCACAATTTTCAGATTGAAACACTTATACAAAACAGCTAATTTAACTTATACACTACCACTGCATCGTGCTACACCTTACCTCTTTGGAGTAAGTCTTGGAGTTCTCTTGCATTGTACAGGGAGAAATCTACGATTGCACAAGGTATTTCTTTTTAAAAATATTGCTCAAGAATATATTGGTTAAAAATCATGATTCATATTCATACATTTACAGATTTTTGCTCTGTTCGGATGGTTGATGGCTTTAGCTCTAGGATCCTGGTCACTATTTTCTCCGTGGCGTTTAGCTAAAAGAGATTACACGTATGATGTTGAACAAGCGACATATTATGCTGTTATTAGTCCCATTTTAACGGCCCTAGCGTTATGCTGGGCAATATTTGCTTGTTTTACAAATAGTGGGGGTACGCAGTAAAATGATAAGAATATTTGTTGAAATTATTGATAGTTTTTAATTCAAAAATATATTCATATTTAGGCATTATCAATAGAATATTATCAAATCATTGGATGGTCGTTTTCAGTAGGCTGTCTTATGCCATTTACTTGACGCAATTTGCTGTATTTTTCTATAATGTTGGTACAGTCCGCTATGCTTCTGATTTTCAATCATTCAGAACTGTAAGTTGATGAAAATTTTTACTCAAAGTACAGAAATTTCTTTTTTAATATTCTAATACTAATTTAATTACAGATTGATTTACATGAGGCAATCATTGTCATATCTGTATCAGTTGTATTGACATTGCTATTTGATATTCCTATGCAAGAAGTAAAAAACATTATTATGGAATGTAGTGATACGCTTGCTGAAATTGAAGCCGACAAGTCTACAGAGAACCATCTGCACCAACAAATTTGTAATATCGGGCATAAAACTTCTAAAGATACAACTCTAGATGATGACGAAGAATGCGCTCCAGGAGGATGGAATTGGAATCGCGGCGTATTTACAAAATCAGTTCGACCAGAACCACGCGAATATGAAGAAAATGGCATTGAAGAATATAGAAGCTCTCGGATTAAAAGACAAGATATCAGAAGACAATCTATGATCAGATCTGAAGATTATGAAGAATGGGATGGTCGAAATATCAGCAGGCGGACTTCGAGATTTGAAGATGACGGTAGAACAAGCAGAAGCGATTATAGATTGAGTGATGCTGGATTAGAAGATTTACCTTCTGAAAGTTACATACATCCGAGAGAAAGATATTATTCTAGAGGGTATTCTAGATCTCCCATGAAAGATCTTGATACTCCACTATCTCGACGGTCCGTTTCAAGAGAACGGCCATTGCCAAAAGAGGAAGATATTTCTAGAGAGTATAATAGACGACCTTTGATAACTATAAGTAAGGAAGAAGATTATCAAAGTCCTCGTTCTCCAAGATCCTTTATGTCTCGATTCAATGACAATCAAAGATCTTTATCTTCTGAAAGTGAAGATCCTATAAGCAACCGTCGAAGTAGTGGTAATTATAGTCGTCGATTATCTGCAGAACCTAGAGTTGCTGATGAGGATGACTGGGGAGAAAACTTACCTATTCATAGAAACCGATTTATTGATAAACGGGTTAGTTCTCAGGAACGTGAACGAATGCCTTCATCTGTAGAAGAGGAAGATAATAACCAGTGGAGTTCACTGAAACGGCGATCTTCTGCTGAAGGAAAAATGGCTCTTCTAAAAGAACCATTCCGACCAGGGAATATGGAGCTGTGGACTGTTTCCAAAATGGCACTTGGTTCATCTCAAGAACCCGACGAAGAAGACGAAGAAGTATATTTACAACAAAGGCGAGAGTATAGAGAACAAGAGCCACCTCTGAGAGAGGAATTTGAAGGTGAAGATGATGACTCGAGCAGACGAAGAAGTTTTGCGAGTGAAAGTTTGCCAACTTCTTTTGACGAAGAAGAAGACAGCAATAGTAATGAATTTTCTTTAAGCAAAGGTACAAGAAACTTACATGTTACCGTCCAAGATCTTAGCAAATTGTCAGCTGAAGATGATACTACTATGAACGACAAATGGAATAAGCTAGATATTAAATCTGGGTTATTTAAAAGAGAATCCATAGTCAAGGTAACTTAATTTTAATATAGAAATAATGTTTAACGTCAATTAAAAAATTTTTTGTATGCTATTACAGAGTCAAGCAAGCGAAGAAGATCCAGAGTATTTATTGCCAGAGCGACCCAAGTTGATAGAGCAAGAACAAGAGCATCCATTTAAAAAAGCGTGGCAAATGCAAAAGTCTAGATCCGAAGAAGAAGGCTCAGCTGCGTTTATTATTAAAGAACAAACAAAAGTTTCATCATCTTTGGAAAAACAGAAAGAAGAATCAGAGGAAAAATCTGAAAATGAGAATTTAAATAAAACTGGAGAGCAGGAAATTGACATTCCTGAACCAGACGTCAAATGTGAAGTAACTCTAGTTTGGCAGCCACGTAATACCGATTTCGAAGATACTAAAAGTAGTACAAAATCTACGTCTTCAACATCTTCTGCACACATCACTTGGCCCGATGAAGAAGAACAATTCGAAAATTATCGAAACAGAAGAAAATCTGATGAAGAAAATTGGATGTGGTCTGAAAAACATACTTGACTGAGAAAGTGATTTAGTAAGAGGAGAGAGAGACTTCAACATAATTATTTCATCTCAGCATGTGAGTGTAGATTATTACTTAGTCATTTTTATACGAATTTCTTATAAACTTTGCTAGAAATGACTTGAGTAAAAAATACAACAAGAGTTCTAATGAGGAAATTTTTCCAGTATGTTTATAAAGTGTGAATTAAATTCAATTATTCGAATTAATCAAAGGAAACAGCCGAAACAGTAATTTTTGGTATATATAAATACTATCAACTAATACAAATAGAACAATCAAACACAAATAAGTTTTTTTTTAGAAATTTAATGCCAATATCATAAATTTACAGTAATAATATTTGTGACTATCGATTAATATATATAATTATATTTATACATTATATAAACACATTTCATATCTATAATATATGTACATAATACATCCCAAAAATTAGGAAAAATAAGCAAATATTGCTTTGTACAACTTTTTCAGTCTGAAAATATTAAAAAATATATTTTCCAATCAATGTCATTCAATTTATTATTAAAATAAAAATATAATTATAATAGCTAAAAGATTATAAAGAATGTAAAAATATATTACAACCGATTCTTCGAGAATGAATTAGCGTAAATAAGTGCTCATCAGCATCTGCCAATGAAGATATGTACATACTAATAAAAAAGAAACTTTGTGCACAGCTATATAAGGTTATTATAATCGTGACTTGATGTATAACGATCACATAGATGTTCCATTTCTTGTGTTACAAAGATAAAAAATGGAAATAAGAAAAAATTGACCAGTCTAATATTGACTATACTCATGCATCTGTTGTAGTGGTTTCTTCACTATCGGTTTTCTTTGACAACGTACAAGATGGTTTTATTTCTGTTTGGACAATAAGAAAAATTTAATGACAAGTAAATATTCATTATCATTTTTAAAAAGTTTATTTAACATGACTAAACAAATAATAAATGAGATCTTTATCCTCGGAATTTGGCCAACAAAAATTTCATTGCTATAAAATAGAAGGTACTTGCTTTATATATATAGTTTTTTCGTTGACACTGATGACGAATTTTTGATTAGTCATTTCAAAAATAGTCAAATTATCAAATGCAACTCAACAAATATACTTGAAGTATGATTCTAATCTTTTTGTTAAAATATACTATAAGACAGCTGTTATTGTAAAAGTTTCTATAAACAAAATCCTAGCTTTGATTTTTTGTCATGATACATAAATTTTTCATTGGTTCAATCATATATTAATGTTTTATTCACTTTAGTTTATTACTTACCACGACGTAAAAAAATCCGTTCTATTCCAAGTATTGGTGACTCGAACATTACTGAAAGTAAAACTGCGCCGCCAAATGTCAATGTTAGGTGAGACAATACTTTTCCTAACTGTAATACAGAGAATTTTATTATTGTTAATGTGATTAAATACAAATGAGAAATATATTCGAGTTGAAAAAAATTGATGTTATTCTTACTTACTTAAATATTGCTATTATGTTTCCATAATACCTATCTATTTAAACGAAATAAAAAATGTTGTAAGTTTTAATTATATACAAATTATCTTACCAGACTAAATGTGTCTAAATGTTGTGGTACACGAACAGAGGAAGCACTGTGTAGTTCAACAAGGCCATTAACCAAATAGGCAGAATAAGTTAGCCTACTGAGAGGCACGAAAGGTCGCCACTTCAAAAATTTTCGCAGAGAACCTGTAAATAAATTCGTTCACTAAATTACGAGTTAGATATCTTTGAAAAGTATAAAGTATTTTTTATCAAAAATTAAAACCTTTATGTTTTGATTCAAAATAAGATAACTTTTCTGTATTTTTTGTGTCAACGGTCATAGTCAAATGAAATGTCTAATTATATTTTCACAACTGGTTTTAATGATTCTCTAAATAATTTTCTTTTTTGTTGTTGTGTAATTGAAATTCTTCATTTAAAAGCAATATATACTATAAACCCATTACTGATTTTAATTTTATTGGCAAGTTTTTTGTGTTAGTACGAATTTGAACAAACCGAGAATAGTATATTTATACCACTTTAACTAAACAAGTCGTACCTGCATTATCGGTGATACAGGCTAGAAGAACCCAGCCAGTACCAATGCTCCACAGTGCTCGATGTACGGACGAGTAGAAGGCGGCCTCGACAGTTGTAAAGTTCCTCCGTGGACCGTAAAACAGACTAATCGAGTACATAGATGAGACGAGTGCACAGCTGCTCAATATCCAACCAATCTTCACTGTTTTCTATTCATTTAAACAATACATGTTATCGTTATCGTTCGAAATTTTATCATATTTAGATGTTTTAGCGATCTATATATATCTTGTAGAGTATCGAGAACATTGCTTATTCGCGTTATGATATTCGTGGATAAGTTTAAGTTGAACGTTTGAAAGAAATCAAGTATCATGGTTTTTAAATTTTGTGTATTTTCATGACTTTTACTTTTATGATTTTTGAAATAAGCCGCAAAATATTTATTCTGTTTTCATAATTGATCGCAGCATCGTGTGAGTGAGATTTTTTACCTTAGTAATCTTGGTATCAGAATTTTGTATACGGTATACTATGTAGCCATACAATAAGCCGAAGCAATAAGCTCCGGCTCTCATGTGTGTTTTGATGTAGCTGGTTTTAAAATATTCGTTTGCAGAAATGTCCTTGACTTCCCTGAAATTGACCACGCAAAACATTTATTAACACCGGATTCGCGTATACCACTAATCAATGGAACAGCATTTTTAAATTAATCAAATCACGGTAATGATAAAGTCATAAATATTTTTCCACATATTCACTTACGGGGTATAAATCAGTAACGTAGGATCCAATTCTTGGACAAAAGTTACGATGAAGGGTAAAGTGGAGGCAAAAATTGTTACAAATCCCAGGATAATGTGTCCAAATTTTCGCCACTTCCAAAGTGGATACACGACCACAGGTGCAAGTATAAATAATTGTGTATCTACTGACAAGTACCATGATTGAAACATGCACTGAAAATTAAAATAATGTTAGAAAAATTAATGAATTTTTTTTACTAAATCTTCAGTTAAATAAGAAAACCAAAACGTAGATTTACGAAAATTTCAAACGATCATAAATAACGATTACCCTGTTTTGCATTAAAAAAATGCGAAAGCTAATAATTTGTACTATAATTATATGGTACAAATTATTAGATTTGGATATCGTATTGTGCATGAAATTTAGAAAGAATGAAGAAATACCAAATGATTTGTTTTATACCAATTTATCAGTATTGACGTAGTTGTTGATGTATAAAACATTCGCCCACCATGAAGCTATACATCTCTCGTTCTCCAATCTCATGCGCGACCAAAGAGGTCCGGAGTCAAGTCTTGGTAGCCAGGTCACGTATAGGCCGACGATCACCATATACGCAGGTGTAAGTCTGAAATGTTATCAAGGCGGCGGAGAGCCTTATATTATTGTTCTAAACGTTTGCGAGATGCAGAGATCAAACAGGCAAGTATTTTAAGATGACGTTTATTTTGGTTCATTCAATTTACCAATCACGTATGATTTGACATGTATTTGTTTTAATAATTAATTAAGGATACGGAAAGACCTCAAAATGCATCGATAGTAATTGGAATATTAAAGGTTTTAAGATTAATTCCAAAGAAAAATACCGCATAAGACTAAAATTTTACAACTTTTACTCTCAGAGTTCAAGAAATTTTTTATTATTCTGTAATATTAATTACCTGAAGTAACGATAGATGTATAGGAACAAAAAGTTAACAGATTTTCTTTTGTCCAGTTCCTGTAGGAGAATTCGCGAAAAGAGGAATCCACTTAATAGAAGGAATGTATCGACGAGTAATGGATTATTCAGGAAAATGGCATTCTCTACTTTTCCAATTGCCTATGACATAAATAATTCAGCTTAGTATATCGAGGAAAATTAAAGTATTATCAATATTTTTTCGACAAATACTGATATGAATACATGCATACTAATGTTTAACTATAAATAATGATAAAAATTCTCATCTTACGTGAAAAACAATTCTTTAAAAATAACGTATATAGCATACCTCAAACCAAAATTTTTGATTAAGTACCGGTCCACTGACTACGAAAATCAAAGTATGACCGGCAATGATAAAAACCATCGCGAGGAACTTGACACCGGAAATGCATTCGAATTTCAAATCCTCATGAGCAGGGCCACATAATTTTTTCAAATTTGTCGGAAATGAAAAAGCCACTAAAATCTGAGATAAAATTCCTCTTGATTGAGCTTTATTTTTCATGAATAAGGCATCGTAAATTGTTCCAATAATCATAACTGCAAGTGTCAGTGATATCACAGTTCTGAAAAGAATTAAAATTAATAAATTGATTTTAATGTATGATTTATTTGTAAATAGTATATATCAAATAGTTTAATTTCGTCTATTTTTCATTGGAGCGTTAAATCTTATGAAATGCTATTTTTCAACATTTTGATAGTTCAATTATATAACGTATAACTGAATTAAAAATACGTTTTCTCCAGACAGCAAAGTATTATTGATATTTTGCTGAGAGTGTGGAAATGATGTCGCGGAGACCTGGTGACGCAAAGCTTGATTTTGCCTCAACAGATTTCGTCATTGTAAGGAATACGTATACGTAGCTGTTTAGTCTGATTTTGAATTTCCAAGATTATTTAATTTACGTAGCAATTAGAGCTGGTTTCTTAACTATTATTATATTATTTGTCAACTGTAGAAGCTGACTTATACTTACAAGTATATTATTTCATTAGTCGTAATTGGTATTTCTTCGTTTTTATAGCAAGCTTTATTCGAAATATTAGTCTTTACGTTAAAATGCATATTTGCCAATGTATTGGCGAAAATGATTTCAATAAGCTCTTGTACATCTTCGCTCGTACAAGAGTCTGGTACGCAAATACCCCAGTGTAATTCGTCAATTTTATTATCATAACGATTCTCTAATTTAGTGAATTTTTTCCACATCGGCGATAATTGGTTGTCCAGGTCATGAGCTCCCGTGGGTACGTCGATCTTTACTTGACCTAAGCAATATTGCCCACCGATGCTCGAAGGCGTCTCGTCATCGGCATTTCTGCCAATGTCTAAGCACTCATCGAAGTTGCCTAAGTGATACGTTGACCCGCTGAAAAGAAAGTTTTATGTAATTCGTTGTTATTGAATAACACACGAACGAGGGCATCCTCGATAAAAAATAAATAAATACATATCCGTCCTTATTTAACAATAATTCTACGTGAAACTCGTTAGTAAGCTATTTGCATAGCAGCGCTACCGATATAGTGTAACCGTTAGCAATTTTTTCTTTGCTATGTTGCAATCTGCATAAGATATTATATCACATGTGTTTATTTAAGCCGCCATAGTGGCGTAAATTGTAATCATGCTCGTACAGAATGTTCTACAATAATTTGCAGCACTACAATTTCTGATTAACAAACAGCAATATTTTATTAGAAAGTGAGCGTTTGATTGCAATTATTTTATGGCTGACCAATTGGTTGTTTACTTTAAACTTTCTTAACTCAAATTTCTTGAAAGTAGTGGAAGTTGTATTTAATTTAAAAACAGCTTGCACATACCTAAGAATACCTTCAGGCAACTTGCCAGATGCATCATAAAACTCGACGGCCCACGTGGTCAAATTTCTCAAACCAGCCACAATTAAGTGACACTGTTGTCGGCATGCTGGATTGCTGATGTGTTCTATTAATCCAGTTAACAAGTCCAAATCACGAGCAATAAAAGGTAAAGTGTAGCCTTCATAGTTTGTTTCATATGTAATCACTTGTGGCTGATCAGATTTTGCCACTTGTTTGTCGAAAGCTATTAGCTCTTCAGCTTCAATAGCCAGGAAGGAAAGACTCAAAAGTAAAGCGTGCAGAGTTATGAATTTCATGATTTTTTTATTACCGCACTGATACTAATAATAGTTTTCAATTAAAAATCCATTAACGATAATAAAAATTATTATCAATGCACCGACAAACTTGAACAGAGTTTCCTCAAACTTTATAAAGTCTTTATCTATGCAGTTCACAGTCAAAATCACATAATTCGCTTTTCCGTGAAAATTCATGCAGCACTATTTATAAGATTTTTATTGTATTCGAATTTCAGTCCCATCTTCAAGTTATTTTCTAAAAAGTATGTGGCATACAGTGAAACTAGACAACTTTGTAATATGAAAAACAGGTCCGAGGAATTGTAGCAGGAGCGCGCGACCAACAAGCTGTCTGGCAAACGAGTGACTGTTTTGGTATCTCAGCAGTCTACGGGGCCTGCGATGCAGCTCAGCATGCTCAGGTGGAAGGGAAAGGCGTAAGTGATTTGAACGCGCTGAATGATCAGACGCGCGATTCCCGGCATTTTGGAATTTAAGTTTTTTGCGTTTGCGTATGTGATGGCGATGTCATCTTTTCGGATTGTCGTTAACTCATAATTCATTGTCATTAATGTCTCCAAAAACTTTTCCGACGGACGATAAGGGGCTTATTAGGTTTAGTATGCAATAATCATTTCGTTGGAGTCTGAAGGATCCGGTGTTATGCATTTTAATGAACTTTCAAAATTTCCATTCTAACTTCTCAGTGGACGTGATGAATATAAAATTAAAAGGTGGTTCAAACACTATTAATAATTTATTATTTTTTATTTATATATAAAGTAATGGTCGTGATTGGTATACAATGTACAACGTGATTGATAGATACAATTAGTCCAGTGGTAATTGTCTGTAATTCATTTGAAATGAAAACGTTTTAAACGGCTGAACAACATTTTTGAACATGACAGTTTGCTCAACGTGTTAAAAAGTTTTTCTCTGCACAGGAATTAATCTTATCATAGTAGATGAATGAAAAAATTAGACTGTGTTTGTTTGATAAACTATTACTTAAAAAATAAACTATTATTAATTGCTTCATTAATTTATTAAGTGAAATTCCATAATGAAACTAACAATATTATTAAAGTTTGAACAATAATGATTAGTTGAAAAAGATGGAACATCATCTTCTTATATTCTCTACTTAACATTTTTTTCTAGGAGTTTTCCAATTACAGTTCTGAACCTCTCGAGCAGCTGAACAATTTTGAAACGATTGATTACACCTGGAGATAAACAGCTTTTTTTGTAACAGCTTAAAGAATTTAATTTAAGAATTTTCTCTGCGTTAATAAGTGAAATATATGAATGTTGTAGAAAATGGGTGAGAATTAGATTAACACTATTCGTATATTGACAGATTACACTTTGTCCATTCTAAAAACTTCATAAAACTTTTAAATTTCACTTGAATTTTCGATTTATTACATTTTTTAAATTAATTAAAGGATAGTTGAAAAATAGTATATAATGTTGAAAAGTAGCATGTGTTTGTCTTATGTGTATTACGTTAGCTACCAACAGCTCATAGTGAAAGTGAGAGTCACCAAGAGTTACTCCATTGCCTGAATGATGATAGACGTAGAACTCGGGAAAAAAATCCGAAAACGATTTAACATTTTTAGAAAGCTGTTTTAATAAATTTCGCCTGAATTAGATTGAGTGAAAGGTTATTGATGTATCTTTTTTTGATGATTCGTGAAACGTTGTGTAAACCGCCTTATTTTGAAATTATATATTACGTTAAATGGGATGAGGGAGATAACTTAGCCTAATTTGTTTGTAAAACGCCTTTGTAAATAATGATTGTAGATGTTTTTGTTGATCTTCCAAAATAAGCTTATACGCTTTTTTACAAATGTGTTTTCAATTTAATGTAGATATTGATTGATCAGTTCTAAAATGACAAGTGAACGCCAAACCTTCTTAGTACCTCCACAAAGGATCGATGACCGATAGCGGTTTTCGATAAAAGTGAAATTTTGAAAATCGTTACGGAAAGTAAAAGAACAAGAGCAGGATGTAATCGATCGCCGGCGTGAAGACACTCTAGCGTATTATCCTTGGAATGCCGGCATCGAAGTGTGCGTCAAGTTTATTGAGTGAACTGTGTGTGCCTCAGTGTACATGCTCGGCTTTGCTCATGAATAATTGAGGACAATGTGCTTGCAGGTTACGCAGCTCAACTTGGTCGATGGTGGCATTATTGTCCCATCCACAGAGAATGAGTGAGAGTCACGAATTGGCCGACTGGCCAATTGTCAAAATTTCATTGCCTTTGAATAATTTTCATTAATTGTATCTTAAATAAAACTAGAAACAACTCGCGAATGTATGGAAACATATAACGGTTCAGTTTTTTTTTCATTTTCTGGGTAATGGAAATTTTTGCAAATAACAAATGAGGCATGATATGATCTTCGTTGACGTTGTTCTCGATCAGCGTAGGCAAAGAAGAAAGAAAAAAACCTTTCTGACGTTTCGTTCTGTGTAATCTGTATTTCATTCTATCTGAACTATAAAGTTTTGAGGAGGTTAACAAACCTGTTAACCTTCTCAACAAACGTCAAAATGTTTTCTTTCTTTCTTTGCCTACGTTGATCGAGAATAGCGTCAACGAAGACAAAAAATAGCAGGCAGAACCAACATTGAAACAAATGATATTGTAATGGCTGTCGTGGAAAATATTGATATCGGATATACTGACGTCGTAGTAGTGGATTCAAATCTGTTCTCTACAATAACCAGTTTTTCAATACATTTAGGTGTGCAAAAAAGTGATTATTATAGTAAAATATTCCGTAGAAAGTGAGTATTACGATGGAAAAAAATTAATTCTATTCGACTAATGGATGCATTATTTAAACGTATATTTTGATTATTGATGACTAAGCGGATATGAGTGGAAAAAATGTTAATCAGACGGCTTAAGCCAGGAGTCGATGACATATAAGTTCTACCAATTACGTCCGTTTTAAATTATAATAAATTTGTACGCAACCTATGCGTCACATTATGACGTTGCTCTATTGTTAAAATCAAGTATATATTAAATTATTTTTGTAACGACAAGAAGGATATCCGACTGAGCGTAAACCGCTTCGTCGATTGCGGAAAGAGTCCCTACTCGGCTTTCCGTATGGCTCTCTAAAATGGCCCTCTGTATGTAAATGTGTCTCCATGAGAAGCCACGTAAATGTTTTTTTGATGCTCTTGATAAGAAATTTGAAAATTCAATCACGGCTACGACTCATTTTAAAAATACAAATGAATTTTTGTACCGCGTTGGTAATAACTATGAAATCAAAGGTGTAGCCGGAAATTGTATAGCAATTATATGTTGAAGTCGATGAACGAATTCCATCGCTGGTACGTATGACTCGACTGTGCGAATAACGCTTTTTAATAAGCAGCCGCCTCACGCGGACGTGCGCGATTTAAATCGATTGCGTTCACTCTCGTGCAATCGAGATCGAGGCCTCAAATCGCGTGCGCGCTAGCGGTAATAGGCGAAAGTCGCCGGTAGTGCGCTTGGCTTTTTAACCAACGGCCTTGTGTGCCGACGCCCACGATCTATTTTGGCTCGATGTTGCTTTATCTGTAACCGGCTTCCTGTATTCGCAGACTCGATTTGCATATGTATCTCGCAAGCTTACAGATAATCTTATATGTTTTATATATTTTTTTTTGCCTCGTAAAATTGGCAATTGTTGTTCGTATTAGTTGCGAAAACTTACACCGAAGAAGATCTTTCCAGCGCGAGATGCACGGAAAAAATGGACGAGCTATTACGAAAGATTTCACATGTTCGAGCTATGAGAGTTAATTGCGACAGCGAATGCTATGTGGTTGCTTCTCACTGATTCTCTTGAGTTTTCCTTTTGCGTACTCACATTGAGTCTTTGACGTTGAACAGCACATGGAATTCCAGCTCGATCGGTGAGATTTTTTTCGCTCATCTAATGTCAAGGATGTTGTGTTAAAGCATGTTTCGTTGAAGTTCCTTTGCAGTTGACCGACTGACGTATGAAACATTTATTTGTCATTTCGCGACTGAAACTGCTATCGTATCAAATAATTTGTTGTAATATCTACAGTTGTATTCAAAGATAAGGTGACTTGAGGTTTAATAAAATTGTACTTGAGCTTCGGAACTAAAGCTTTTAATAGGTAAAGAAATAAGAAAATGAAAACAAAACGGCATTGTTTACGACAGCTGCATTATGCGCGGGAACTAAGCAGCTGGCAGCGAGGATCACCGAGACAAAAAGAAGAGCGAGAAATCCGCTTTCCAAAGAAGATTTTGCCCTGACAATTATAGTACGAAGTCGACGACTCGCCAAGAAGGAGAATAAGACGACGACGAAGAAGAAGAAGCAGTCTGCGACTCATTAAAATTCAGCCGAATTCGTCCGCTTTAGATTCGCACAGTCAAAATCCTTCGTTAATGCTAATTACAAATCTGCTTGAGCTGCAATCGATCGCCAATTGAAGATTCGCGACAGAGTCAAGCTTGACTAATGATCCGATCGTCAGCCGCGAGAGCCTTTTATTTTGTGATTCCGTCTTTTTTGTTTCCGAAGCGAAGTTGTATCGATGCCGGAGCTTTCAGCCTCCTTAATTATCTGTTCATTCGCTGATTTTTCTTATTTCAAAAGCTTAGTTGAAATTACCGACGTCATAGAAAATTCGTTCGGCTTGATTTTGTCAATAGTATCTAATCAACGTGATTTTGATCAATTTTCAAGCTGCTATGAATGATACATGTAAGCTGAACAAAGCTATATGTTCTCTACAATTAGATTTGAATTTTGTCGAGTTGTTGCCGTCTCTATAATAGAATAGCCGTTCAAATAATAGAATTATTTGAAACTAAATTCTTAGAAACTCTATAACATAATGATACATGTACGCTGAACAAAATTAACGTATAAAGCTAATAGCGTAGCATTGTATTACACTATTATAAAAGCAAATTTATTTTCATAAAATCATTCAACTGTTCTTTTTTG